GAACTGCTGCTAGCCGCCGAACAACAATATTCACCAAGCGGCTTCCGTTCCATCCAGCAGTCTCTAAACGTGAAAAAGAAATCCCCCCAATAACGAGACAGAAGCTCCGCATTGAGGGTCAAACAGGATCTGGCTTTACTGTGGGCTACCTGCCCGTATTTATACAGGTCTCCCACTTGGTGGACACTCCCCTAGGGGACCAAATGGGAGACTTAAATGACAGACAGATATGGGGACATTCCAGACACACAGTCACAGTTTTTACCCACAGTGCATTATGATTCCCTCCCCTCTGCCCTGGAGTTAATTACCAAGTAACTCAATTAACTCCAGGACAAAGCCAGTCGCCATCTTAAATATAAAAACATAAAAGACATAAAAATGCATAACTTCAAAATAACCGAACATTTCCCATTCGTATCACATATCCCCAGATAGCCTGGATCTGAGTGCATATTATTAGCGAATAGCGCTCAGATCCCACACACATAGTTCAATCGCCATGGAGTCAAAGTTCTTACAGTCTTTCGGTATACGAATGACTCCATGGGAAGGCTATCTGGGTTAAGTCTTTTCGTATGCTCCAAATCTCCCGAACGGCCGGTATTCGTATGCTTTCGTGGAGGCAGCCAGGCGTTCCGTTGTTTCAGCGGTGTTCGGCAGAAAAAGTGTCCGTTTTTAGTTCCATAGAAATAGAGCCAAACACCGCTGGGCTTTCGCTTGGTTTAAAATGGCCGCTGCCTCGTGGTTGACATACGAACGACGACCACCCTGAATTCAGTTTAATTGAGAAGTGTCTGCGGTTAACCACAACGTTCTAATTGGGATCAATAGGTTAACCAGCAGCACACTTCTCTCCTGGGTGGCCGTCCGTTCGGCAGGTTTGTTCGTAAAAAAGAGTGATTCGAATGGCTGGGCTATAGAAACCAGCCATTCATACGAACGGGAGACAAACAGACGAATGCAACTAAAATACAAGCAGACAGATGGTTCTGTCACAATAATTATGATACACAATGGGTTAACATAATTATCACAAGCAGGAAAAATACAGTTTTTATACATGTGCTATAACTTTAAAAATATACGTCCAATCTTCATAAAAATTACATATTCAGAATCCGCATGCTTGAAATATACACATATTCAAAAATCAGGGCAATCGGTTCAGGGGTTAAAAAGTTAAGGGAAAGTCCTATTTGACCAAATGAAGCATGGTTTTTCTGCGCAAACCAGTTCCACAGAGTCTTCTATCTTGGAGCTAATTGGGATGTAATCCAATTATCTCCAAGGACAGAGGCAAAACTCCATTAGCCACATGGTAGCAAAATGCAATAAAATACATAAAAATATATAACTGTGCAGCTATTGCATAAAACGGGTACATCCCCAGATAGCTTCGATCTGAGCGCAAATTATTACTGAATGGCGCTCAGATCACATACATACAGTTCAATTGCCATGGAGCCAAAGTCTTTTACATAGTCTTTCGTTATACGAATGGTCTCCATGGCATAGCTATCTGGGGTAACACTGCTCACATAGGGAAAGTACCGAATGACCCGGCTTTCGGGTCTTTGCAGGGGAAAATCCAGCATTTCAACATGGGGCCATAGTCACAGGGCAGGAGGCTGGCAATCAGTCTTCTCCAATGCCCAGTGGCGAGGTTGGTTTCGCCACAAGCTCACCTCCGCCCCCCCCCCCTTTTCAGAAGAGTAAATGATGAGTTTACTCATTTTTTTCCACCGCCATGGAGGTCTTGATTAGACTGGCCTCGCTCCTCCTCCTTGACTGAGACCATGAAACTTGACAATCTCAGCCAATCCAATGCTTTCCCATTGGCAGGCTTGCACATGCGTGGCAATACACTTCACTTTGCCAATCAGAATCTCTTCATAGAGATGTATTGGATCAATACATCTTGATGAGGAATGTTCAGCGCCTGCATGCAGAGCGTGGAGACACTGAATGTCAGTACAGCACATTGTGCAGCAATGACCCAGGAAGCACCTATAGTGGCCGTCTGAGTGAGGTGTCTACGGAGCAATGTAAAATGCTGCCTTTTCCGAGAAAAGCTTGCAGGGACATACTATACACACCAAAACTACATTAAGCAGTCGTTGTTCTGGTGACTGTAGTGTCTCTTTGGATTGTACCATATGCAGCAAACTTGGTTCTTCTCGGTCAGAAATGCCAAGGCAGCAGATGACCCAAAATGGTATATCTTTACACAATATATGGGGTCACAGGCCATAAATGGACTCTTCCGTTGTAGATTAGACAGTTGGCAATTATAGTTTATTCTCTACACCAGGGACTGTGGAGAATTGATCTGGGAGTTATACATTGTCTGCTAATAAAGCTGTATTGGCAATTTGTTTCCACAAATGTGCAACATATTTAATTCTCAGCAGTTCCTTATTTGGTAAGGATATCCCTCTCCTAACACAGACGATGAGAATTGCAACTGTAACTTCAGAAATTGTTCCACGGTAGTTTTTCTTGAAATAAAAGACAGCAGCTCTGGATCATTTTACAGAAGTGAAGTGATGAGTTGTTTTATTGGGTTTGGATAATAGAATGTAGTAGTATTCATTGCAGTTGCTCAGTGCTTTGTATAGAACATCCACAGCAACAGTCAGTGTTCTTTTCTACTTGACTGAAAGAAACAAACCATTGTGTAAACAGCTCCATAATTACACTGAACTTGTAATAGTTACCGTACAAGGGTTATTGCAATTCAATGGAACAAACCTATTTACTTTTGACAGAAGACATCATTAAATGAACAGTTGTGTCTATTCACAGGTACGGTTGCCAGACCAACCGTAGTTTCCTGGACACATATATTTTACTAGCTAGTGCGAATTCCATGAAAAGTGCTCCCTGCAAGCATGTAGACTTCATATCCTACTGGTATGAGATCAAGTCATTATAATCTTGCAGCATATGAATTCCTAATACTATAGGGCAGAACATTTCATGTGCTGCTCATCAGGAGTTATGAGTATATGTATGTTCTGGGAGGGCTGGAGTTGCATCCCAATTTTTTCCCTTTGCTAAGGTATGTCCAAGTTTCCTAATACCAGTAAGAGTAACCCCTTGTGGTACAGTTAATGCCATATCCCCTTGGTACCATGCCCACTAAAATAAATGGCGCTTTTCAGTCTGACGTCCAAAAGTGAGGAAATTTAGAGTATTAATATACATTGCAAGTCTGCCCGCATGTTGATAAAATCATCCTGTCCCTTCTTACATTTTAGGCAGAATATAAAATTGAACTTGCTTACATCGGTTGGAATAAGTACTCAATGATATAGAATAAACCTCAGTGATATTGGGCTAAAAATGCATACCAAATCCAACAAAGTCAAAAAGCACCATAACCACTACAGCATGTCAGTAGTGCCTTGTTGCCCTTCCCCCACTTTAAGTAGTCAAAGCATTTTAGAATGGTTTGACTTGTTACCTGGGGTCTATTGGGCACCCCTCCGTGCCTTGACTGCATGTGACGGAGAGCTGGAAGATCCTACCTAGGTGCTGATATTAGCGCACATGAGCTAAATAAACCCTGTAGTGCAGAGCTAGCTTTTTTGCCTTAGGGTGACTGCTGATCACTCTCAGCCAATGAGCTAAGCCTTGCAGTACCAGGGTTTAGCTCAGACAGAGAGCTTCTGGCTCAGGTGACTATCTACTACACTGGATACAACTATGCATTTTTTCATTATTTAAAATTATAGTTTCAAATACTTATTTTTCATGTTGCTGTGTGTCTGTTGAATTTGTATTCATTTGCAGAGGGATGATGTAGGAGATGTATTTCCTAACCTGTTTTGTGTACTCTCCAAATCATGGAGGTTGCAACAGACAGCAGGAACCCTAAAAATATTTTTTTACTCACCTTTTTCCAACGCCAAAGCTTTCATGGTGCTGCTTCACTCTCCTTTTCCCACGGTGTCATTGAAGAGGCATGGCCTTCTCCGGACTCAGTCCAATCCAATGCTTCTCATTGGGGACCTGGTGCGCATGAAAGGCAAATGCTGTATGCCCATCTCTTTTTCCCATAGGAAAGCACTGTGTCAATATTAGAGGTTGATTTAACTTTTTAAATCTTTTTAGCTCTTGGGCTAGCGGATACGAATTATATCTAGCTTTGTGAATAACTGGTTTGTTACTATTAGTTGCATTTACCTATGTAAAATGTTGTGGCATATTCTGGCGCATTATAAACACAATATTTTGCTTAACGCGATTAGTGTCTGTTTCAGTAGTGCTAGATGTCAGCACAGGACTATATGGGAATATAAATTGAGAGAGAGCAAGAGAGCACGTCTGATTGTCAAAGTTCAGTAGATCCTATATGTCATCGTGACTCTCCACGTCTAGGCAAACAGGGCCAACTAGACAATAGTAAGAAAAAAAAACACATCAAGATAATGGACCGTAATAGCTAAGTAACAACACTACACACACCCTATTAATGCTTTCACTATCAAGTTGTTTCTCAGACATACACTGTCTTTATTTAACCCCTTAAGGACCAAACTTCTGTAATAAAAGGGAATCATGACAGGTCACACATGTCATGTGTCCTTAAGGGGTTAATAGAAGAAGAAAAAACAAACAACATAAAACAACATTACTCTAAGCCAAGCATGTCAAACCCAAAGTCTAGCAAGGGCTAAATAAACAAGGTTTAAGTTTATGTGTGCCGCAAAAAAAAAAAAAGATTGGCAAACACAAACTAAAATTACTTGTACCATTCTCATGCAAACAATATGTAATCCTGGGTACATATAAATAATTTTCTCAAAAGCTTCACCTCAAGTTACTTACTGTCTCTGTAGTAATGCCACTGTCTGGAGTGTCCGCTTCGCTTGCACCCTCAGTCCCTCTGCAAAGTGCAGTCTCAGTCCGCTCAGCTCGCTTCCTAGCCCCTCTGCAAGCTCCAGGCAGAGTAAAGTGTGGCTGCACTCTCTGCCTCTACTCCCCTTCCATCCATGTCTCTCTCCCACCTTCCATCCATGTCTCTCTCCCACCTTCCATCCATGTCTCTCTACCCTCCCATCCATATCTCCCTCTCCCCTCTTCCATCCATGTCTCTCTCCCCCCTTCCATCCATGTCTCTGTTCCCCTCCATCCATGTCTCCCTCTACCCTCTTCCATCCATGTCTCATTATCCCCTCTTCCATCCATGTCTCCCTCTCCCCTCTTCCATCCGTGTCTCATTATCCCTTCTTCCATCCATGTCTCATTCTCCCCTCTTCCATCCATGTCTCTCTACCCTCCCATCCATATTTCTCTCCCATACATGTCTCCCTCTTCCATGTCTCCTTCTCCCCTCTTCCATCCATGTCTCATTATCCCCTCGTCCATCCATGTCTCATTATCCCCTTTTCCATCCATGTCTCTCTACCTTCCCATTCAGGGACGTTTTAGCCGCGAGGCAAACAATTGGGCGGCATTTTCCGGGAGGCGGTTAAAAAAAGCCGCCCCCAAATGCCCAGGGCAAATGCCTTGTTAGCCTTGCAGCTAACTGACATGCTCAGCTCCCTCGCAAGCCGCCTGCAGAGTGATGCCAGGAGCCGGAATATGATGCGTGAGGAAGCTGAGCAGAGAGCTCAGGGGAAAGTGCTCCCTCGCCAGCGCCACCCGTCTGCCCAGCAGCCACAGGACCCCCAGGGAGAAAGAGAACTCCTCCCCAGCATTCCCAAAAGAAAGGAGGCTGGGGGGATTAAATAAAAAAAAAAAAGTGAGTGTGTTAATGTGAGTGAGTGTCTGACTGTGTGTGTCTGACTGTGTGTGTCTCTTAGTGAGTGTGTGTGTCTGTGAGTGTGTGTCTGCGTGTGTCTGTTAGTGAATGTGTGTGTGTGTGTCTGTTAGTGAGTGTGTGTGTGTCTGTGAGTGCGTGTCTGTTAGTGAGGGTGTGTGCCTGTTAGTGTGTGTGTTTCTGTTAGCTAGTGTATGTGTATCTGCCAGTGAATGTGTGTGTGTGTGTATTTAGAAGGCGGGGCAGGGGGCACGGGCGCCTGAGTTTTGTCCAGCCTAGGGCAGCACAAAACCAGGATGCACCACTGCTGCCATCCATGTCTCCCTGTCCCCGCTTCCATCCATGTTTCCCTTCCTCCCATATCTCTCTAAATTGTTGAAAAAAATGTCCAACCACACCATGACAGAAAATAAATATCACACAAGCACACACAGGTTTAAACACTCTAATTAGGTGTGAGGATTTATGCCATGTTTTTTCTATCACAGTGTAGTTGTATGCGTTCCTAATTTAAGACTTGCCAAATTAGGCCAGGATCATAACCCTCTGGCTCTCCAAAACTAATTACTACAACTTGAGATTGATGTCATTAAAAGTAGATACTTGCTATGGGAAGGCCAGGATTTAACCTTTCTTGTGCCCCATGGCCATTTTTCTCAATGCACCACCCCAGCCTCTCATACATATGAATTCAGTATTTGCTGTTTATTGATATGTCACAGAGTACCACAATGATAAAACTGATAGTAATGTAAAGAGTGTATGAAAGTACATAGAGCCCCTCAGCAATACAAGTCAATGTACTGCAATGCAATACAATGCACAGTGTTTGTGTATCACAGAGCTCCACAGCCATGATACACATTTATGTGTAGAATGTAGAAGTGTATCACAGAGCTCCAAAGCCATAAAACACACAGTTTTGTGCAGAATGTAGAAATGTATCACAGATTTCCTCTGAGTGTGACGTGAATAGGATGCATATGCGTCTGCTGTGTGTACGGTTGGCTTAGTGGGTGGAGTGTATATGCATGGTTTTTGGCTGAATGTGATCTTGTGTGGTGGTTGACTGAGTTTGGTGTATATATGGGATTAGCTGAGTGCGATGTTTTGTGGGGAGACTGTATTGTATCTTCAGTTAACCCTCCCACTTATGTTTCTGTCGGGGGAGGGATATACTTGATTTTGGACTAGCAGAGGGATACTTACTGGTAGTCTCGTGAGTGCTGTGACAGGCTCCCTGATAGTCCAGTTAGGGTGCCAACTCCAGCGGGTGCAGAACAGGCTTTTTCCAGTCAGTTAGTCATTGGATGACACAGAGAGTAGCATGGTAGAGCTGCAGTGCTCAGACTCATTAACTGATCTCCAGGGTCACCTAAAGTGGTCTGTACCTTCCAGAGGTGTCAACCAGATGCTCCATAACTGCAGTGCTACCCCTCTCTCACCTTTTTCCCTTAGGCCATGGCCTTGGTAGCCTTGTGCGAAATCTGACCATTTTGTTTTTACAAAGACCCCACGATATGATGTCTGTTTACAAGGTAAGGCCTAGGTGTTGCAATCTGCATGCGGGTAGGATAACTGGCAAGTGCACACAATAATGGAAGAACACACACCACACATGTTTAGCACTTTACACTCAACAGGGCAACAACTTTATTGTACCACAAGCAAAGAAAACTTTCAGGACATTTTATGATTATATCCCCAACAACCCCACTTGTTCTCACACAGACTTTTGAAAGAATTCTTTTTTACATTTCCCAACAAATAACTCACAAACTTTTATCATTTGAACTTGGTTGCGGGATTACTCATGATATCTGCTATCATCCTGTTGGTTGGGCAGCAATCAAGGACCATGGCAACTTCATTAATCACAGATCAGTTGAAGTGGTATTTTATATAAAACTGGATTCCTTGAAAGAACTATTGCTCCCTGATTATCCCCCAAAACTTGCAATGGTTTATATAGACAATGATTGTCCATTCCCCTGAATAACTGTACCAGGTACAAACTTGTGTAGTTGCAGCTAAAGCCTTGGGCAGACTGGGGACAAGTAACTGGGCAGTTTTAAGTGACTCAGCTGTTGCTGGGGGACAGGAGCTATGAGAATTGGTGGCTGGCAGTGAGCCAGCAAAGCGTGGGAAAACAGGTAAGGATAAATTGAGCTGAGCAGGTTAATTCCCTGTCAGCTGTTATTGACAGGACGGGAGAAGCTTGGACGGACCCACCCGCCCTACCCTATTTGTTTAACTTTTGTATAAGTATAGTCGTGGTGTTTGAAGCTTGGGGGCAAATTCATCATCAGGTGCAAGTTCTGAGGAAGGATATATGGTATTTTTGGTGGTATATAAAAGGCGGTCAGGTCTGCTATGTCTGACTGGCAATTAAGTGGTGGTGAAAGTGAAAGACTGGCCTGGACATAACGTAATGCTGTTTCAACACAGTTAAAAGGAACTTTGTATTTTGTAACCTTAAGAAGTAAACAGGAGGAATACTTATCTACAGTTTAATTTGTGAGCTGTGTACAAGGGTAACAAGAACAATGGTTTATTACATAATGGAACTTTACAATCCGAGAAACTTAAACTCACAGAGCTTCAAAGGGGTATACAAACTATGCAATTGGCAGAGTGTTTGTCAGCCATACGAACCCAAAGTCTGAGGTTGCTTCCATATTTTCAGGATATTAGAAATTAAATGAATCTATTGGAATCATGCATGATACACAAATGTAAACTAAATGTGTGATTGCTACAGTAATGTCTATAACTGCATCCTTGACTGATTTAGGGGTAAAAGGTAATATAGATATACTAATATAATTAGATTCTATTTTTCTTTGTAAAGATGAATGTATCAATCAGTTAATCATACAGGTTAGATTGATACAGGATATAGACATATTGCATGATGATTAATATAACCAACCCTGTTTCAATCAAAGAATATACATAACCAAAGATAGATATTTAACGTTATTTGAAATATCCCCAGTATAGGTGAATTAAAGGTCAATTCATTTATTTCACCAGGTCATCAATGATCTAATCATATTTCTTATTTCCCTAGCCTGGAATAGCCCTATCCCACATATTTCTTATTTCCCTAGCCTGGAATAGCCCTATCCCACATATTTCTTATTTCCCTAGCCTGGAATAGCCCTATCCCACATATTTCTTATTTCCCTAGCATGGAATAGCCCTATCCCACATATTTCTTATTTCCCTAGCCTGGAATAGCCCTATCCCATACACATGTTGAATTGAAGATAGGAGGAAATCTTCGGGCATATCCTATATTGCTAAGGGACGTTATTTCTTATTTTTTCATTTTCACTATAACCACTCTCTGTATCACTATATGTGGATATTGGGTGTGTGAGAGATTTTATATATTTCTCATCAATGATCTAATTCAGGTCTTCATACCTAGGGAAATAGTGCCATCTATGGATGAAAGTCCTAAGGGCCACATTAATAATTAAATATTAAGATACGCCCATAACCAATCAAAAGCCAGATTTAAGTCCCAGTTACCGCCCATTTACAAACAAGGGGCAGGAACTGATAAGGGGGAAATAATGGTTAAATAGGGAGAAAAATAAGAGAGAGGGATCAATATCTTCAGATCATCTTAAAAAAGATCAAAGGAGAAAACAGAGGGCTAAGAAAGGAGGAGATTGACTGACTAAGGGCAATAGACTGAATTACAGACCAGAGCACCCAGACAGAAGAATCCCAAATTTAATTCATTCATCCTAGACTCTTGGTAATGTATAAAGGTTTCTCTTTACTTTATATTAAATAAACGGGACTATTGAATGCCCTATGTGTCTATATTGTGAACTGATCCCTATTGATAGAACAGTTATATCTCATTCTACCTGCAGCCTGAGTCAGATATAACTTCCTAAGTCGGAATATTCTTGATTCCTTCTTTAGAAGTATATTGGTTCAATATATATATATATATATATATATACTAAGGCTATCAGAAACCTTATATAAACGTACTGTAGTTAAACTGATGGCATAACTTGGCAGGGTTGGTTGATATTTCACTAATTAATCAAATGACAATTGTATCATTAATGCAAGGGGTGTCATATGATTAATTCTGTATACTGGTATTGCTGTGAAGTTTGTAATAGATTTTATTGTCCTTTGCTGATAAGATTATAGATGAGACAAAGTGTAATGTTGATTCTTAGGCTTGTCAAGTAAACTAATTGACTTGTTGATATACACTCATATATAATACAGCAAATTGATTATAATTGTATTGTTTTGTTGCTTTTCATTTTATAGTGTGTATTATTAAACTTATATATATTTTAAGCAAAGTCTGTTTATTGGCCATCTGCCGTTCATAAGTGTTTATATCACCGCTTAAAACAAAGAACTACAGGGTCCCTGAACGCTCTATGTGTGTGTGAATATCATCAGATATTATTCAATCTATGTTCCATACATATAAAACCTTAGATTACCCAACAGTGAAAAAGTTTTGAAGTTAAGTGAAAAATTGGTGGATGTTACCGTTATCAAGTATGGTGTTATGCCCCATGTTTCAAGCTTTAATAAACATCACGGCCAAGCCCATTGAGATAAAATAAACGGTGTCTGTGTTTATTGTGTGGTCTACGTTCTTTATGCGAATTATTGCCTACCGGACATATTGAATTTGTCAGTAAGCATTTCCTTTACATCCTTGAGCATTGTTTCACTCCTGGCACCTATGATGAGATCATCTACTCCTGTTATTATTTTTTCACCTTCATACTGTTTGGTGTGCATGCTGTGGCCTGCAGAATTCTGTTCAAACTCATTTTCACTTAAATGATAATGTAATACTTTGATCCAATTCTACCTGACTGCTTCAAACTGTATAATGACTTGTACAACCTGAGGACTAGTGTTTCATTCTGTTTGGAGTTGACCTCAAAACCAGGGCCGGTGCAAGGATTTTTGTCGCCCTAGGCAAAAGAAAAATTTGCCCTCCCCCCATGTGACATCACAATGCCCCGCCCATCTGATCTGCCATATGAACTAACGCCAGTGCTGCACACAGTGTGTGTTTACATTAAAAAGCCTGCAGGGACAAACTATAGACACCAGAACCACTACATTAAGCTGCAGTGGTTCTGGGGACTATAGTGTCCCTTTAATGTGAGGTAAATTAGAGATTAGTGCCACGAATAATATACTAGATTGCCTACTTACAACCAGATGAGGATGGTGATCGGCTCTGGCTGCAGTCTGGCTTCACTGGTCTGGTGTAGAACAGGCTCTCTGGAGGCGGTTTGTAACTGTGGTCACAAAAATCAATGTCCTGGGGGAACGGGAAGCAGCTCCATTTTTTGGGGCCCCTTACACAGCTCAAGGCCTGAGCCCCAGGGCCTGACAGTGAATATGCCCATAAGGCCCACCCATAAGTCCACCTATATATTCCACCCATGAGTTCGCACACAGGGAATGTGTGTAGGGATGCATTGTGTGTTTCTGTGTATGTATAGTGAAGTATTGTGTGTGTGTGTGTGTGTGTGTGAAAGAGAGAGTTTGTGGGTTAGGATAGGGGCTGAGTCTTACCAGCCCCTTTGTGCTACTCTTTCCCCCCTTCCTCAGCCTCTCTTCTATCTTGTCCCTTACTGCTCTCCCCTCCTGTCCCTTAGAGCTCTCCCCTCCTGTCCCTTAGTGCTCTCCCCTCCTGTCTCTTAGAGCTCTCCCTCCTGTCCCTTAGTGCTCTTCCCTCCCGTCCCTTAGTGCTCTTCCCTCCCGTCCCTTAGAGCTCTCCCCTCATGTCTCCTAGTGCTCTCTCCTACCCCTGTCCCTTGGTGCTCCGCCCCCCCATCCCTTAGTGCTCTCCCCTCCCCCTGTCCTTTAGAGCTCTCTTCTGCTCCTTAGTGGTCTCTCCTCTCGTACTCTGTCCTTTAGTGGTCTCTCCTCTCCCTCCCCCCCCTCATTAGTGGTCTCTCCTCTCCCTCCCCCACCCCCCTTTAGTGGTCTCTCCTCTTCTCCCTCCTTCCATAGTGGCTTTCCTTTGCCCTCCCACTAGTGGCCCTGCTCTCTCCTCTGCCTCCCCCCAGTGGTCTCTCCTCCCCTTTCCATGAGTGGCTCCTTCCCTCCTTTTCCATTAGTGGTCTCTCCTTCCCCTTTTTGTATCTCCTCCTCCCACTCTTAGTGATCTCTCCTGCCCCCACTCCCATAGTTGCCTCTCCTCTCCCCACCCTTAGTAGCCTCTCCTCTCCCCACACTTGTGGTCTCTTCACCCTCCCCTAGTGGTCTCTCCTCCTCCACCCTCCCTATCTCCCTCTCCTCTCCCCTTCCCCTAGTGGTCTCTCATCCACCCCTCCCTGTAGTCACTCCTCACCCCCCAACCTTAGTGGTCTCTCCTCCACCCCCCTCCCTCCCTTTCTGGTCTCTCCTCACCCCTCACCCTTAGTGGTCTCTCCTCACCCCCACCCTCCCATAGTGGTCTCTCCTCCACCCCCTCTTCTTCCCATAGTGGTCTCTCCTACACCCCCTCTCCCTCCCTTAGTGGATTCTCTCCCTCCCCTACGTCTTTTGTAGAGTGGCCAAGCTCCGGTCCGATCCGCAGTACATAGGGGCGCCCTAGGTGACTGCCTAAGTCGCCTATAGGATGCATCAGACCTGCTCAAAACATTCTGGGTGTTCTTCATGTATTTCACAACCTGTTGGCCCATATAAAAAGCTGTTCTCACATCCATTTGATACAGAAGTTATACTGTGCTGCTAGTTGCAGTAAGATTCGTACTGATGTAATGCTTGCTGTTGGAGAGAATATTTCTTCGAAATCAATGCCCTACTTGATTATAATCATTAGCAACATATCTGGACTCATATATATTTCTGATCCACCAATTCTGTTCTTTACTGCCTATGCTTGTCACTTCCCCCCACTAAATAAATATTTTATATCTTAGTATATTCTCCATGTTACTGGGGGCTCTAGAATCTGCTAGGACATACTGCACATTTCTGGGGACTCTAATACCCCAGTACAAACTATACATTACTGGGGGGGGGGCAAGGGGGGGGCTCTGTATTCTCCCAGTACACATGCACATTACTTGGGTCTTCATAAATCCCCACTCTGTAATTCCTTGGAAACACTACACGTCAGTGTCCCACACTTCTTATTATATTTTTTAGTTACAGTATAATTCATACTCTCAGACACCCGCCCTCCACTGACTGAGTTTGGTGTTTTACTCCACAGAAGCATTTGATGGGCTTGTCAACCAGTGTAGCTCCATCAAACTAGCAACACTCATCAAACTCAGCCATATTTCAGCATGGTGATAACTGTAAATCACAGCAGGATAGCCTTAAAATGGAGGAGACATGTAGTTGAAGTGTGTATATGTATAATAGTTATTTTCCTAGCTTACCACGGGGTAGCTGTATGTATCCCTCTCCTCCTTGCAGTCTCCAGCAGCATGCGCATGCCAGCCTCATCACTACAAGCGCTCTGATTGGCTGCTTACTTCAAAGACAGCCCATGATGACATCAGAGGGCTAGCCCTAGTCTGCAGCTCATCCAGAGCATTATCAGGAGCAGAAAGAGGGGTCAGCTGCATTATTGACAGGTCAGTCAGTAGTGTGGGCCTGGAGCTTCGCCAGCCCCTATGTTAATCTGGTCATTCGACTCTAGTGGATCCACTTAATTGCATTGAGCCACGATTGTGACTGAGGTGAGTTTATGGTATCTTCAAAGCGTTACGTTACGTCAAACACTTTGTAACAATAATCAATGTTCGTTAATACATGGCCATTTCTTTTAAAATCTGAAGCATAGTCTTCCAACATATCAAACATAGACTTTGCAACACTGGCCTTCACCCCTTTTACTCCTCCCACCGGCATCCGCCTTGACAGGACGCTGAAGTTGGGAGATGTGATAGCGGGTTCTGCTGCCTGGAATCTCCGCTACTTGTGTATTAGTGCATTCTGTTAAAGATCCCATGAGACCACTAGGGTTTCCATAGGTAAATAATGAGATGTCATTGGCATCGAAAATTCATGACATAAAAAGATGGCTGTTCCCATCATGTCAGGGGGAGGAATTATTAGCATCAGCATAGGAACCGAAGAAAATAGTAATCCCAGCCCACTTAGGGAGCATACAATTTGCTGTAGGCCTAATTATATATTACGAATAGGGAGTCTAATCAGGCTGTCTTTAATATTGACTGGATCCTGGGCAAAGCATTTGCTTGGGCCCCCTGGACCCTGTCCCCCCTCCCCAGGTGTGCAATCATGTGCTTCACCCCAATGCAGTGGTGGACCTAAAGTAGAGAGGTGCAAGAATTTTTTGGGCCTCCCTATTGCATGGGTGATTAAAAGGTAGACCCCCATCTGTCGTGCAACTCCAAAATGCATTGACAGCTGGGGCTCTACCAGTTACACATATTCGCAGATTTGTATTTAGCACTAAGCAGTTTTTGTGTATTTGAATGTGAACAGGTTTTTGTATGGAATATGTTATGTAATTGTATGTGGTGTTGGCATGATTGCAAGCATGTATTTATGTGTAGTGTTGGTTTTTGAATGCAGGGGTGTATTTACATATAATTTTGGTGTGTAACACAGACGTGTGTTTGTACATAGTGTTGAAGTTTGAATGCAGGGGTGTATTTACATATAATTTTGGCGTGTAACACAGACATGTGTTTGTACGTAGTGTTAGTGTGTGAATGCAGGGGTGTATGCACATACACACACACACACAGATAAATACACACTAAAACACATGCAGACACATAGATACACAACCTGACACACATGCAAATACCCAGACACGCGCATAGATACACCGAAACACACAAAGACAAGATACAGATACACACACAGACTTCATACAGATATACACACATATATACACACTAACACTAACAGATATACTGGCACACATAGAGACAGACAAACTGACACACACACCCCCACAGAGACATACTGACGCACACTGACAGACATACTGACACACACAGACATACTGACACACACACAGATATACTTACACATACACCCTTTTCCAAATTATTATGCAAATTATATGTTTCTCATTTACCTAAATGATTGATGTAAATAACAGTCAGCATAATTTTCATGTTATCAACTATTAAGAGTACAATTTAAATTTTATGGAGCAAACCTCCAATGATAACAGTATTTTTTTTAAACATAAAAAACTTACAATCCACTGTTCCAAATTATTACAGACAGTAAGTTTCAAAACACTTTATAGGTTGTAAAGAACTGAAAATTGTAATTTGTTGTGTTTGCAGCATATTTACTGAAATCAAAAGCTATTTCAATCAAACTTATAACAACATTTTAACAGGTCACGTTACATTTTAACATAGGACCCCTTATTTGATAGCAGCTTCACAAGTCTTGCATCCATTGAACTTGTGAGTTTTTGGACAATTTCTGCTTGAATTTGTTTGCAAGAGGTCAGAATAGCCTCCCATAGCCGCTGTTTGGATGTAAACTGTGTCCCACCCTCATAGGTCTTTTGCTTGAGGATGCTCCAAAGGTTCTCAATATTATTGAGGTCAGGGGAGGATGGAGGCCACACCATGACTTTCTCTCCTTTTATCCCCATAGCAGCCATTGATGCAGAGGTATTCTTTGCAGCATGAACTGGTGTATTGTCATGCATGAAGATGATTTTATTACGGAAAGCATAGTTCTTCCTTTTGTACCAGGGAAGAAAGTGGTCAGTCAGAAACTGAACATGCTTTGCAGAGGTCATCTTTACACCTTCGGGGACCCTAAAGGGGCTGACCAGCTCTCTTCCCATGATTCCGGCCAAAAAAAACATGACTCCACCACCGCTTTGCTGACGTCACAGCCTTGTTGGAACAGGGTGGCCGTCCACCAACCATCCACTACTCCATCCATCTGGACCATCCAGGGTTGCACGGCCCTCATCAGTGAACAGGACTGTTTGATAATTAGTCTTCATGTATTTTTCCACCCAATGCAGCCATTTCTGCTTGTGAGCATTGGTTAGTGGTGGCCGAATAGAAGGTTTATGCACAGTTGCAAGACTCTGGAGGACTCTACACCTTGATGTCCGTGGGACTCCAGAGGCACTAGCAGCTTCAAATATCTGTTTGCTGCTATGTAATGGTATTTTAGCAGCTGCTCTCTTGATCCGATGCATGGATCTGGCAGAAATCTTCCTCAATGTGCCTTTATCTGCACGAACCCGTCTGTGCTCTGAATCAGCCACAAATCTCTTAATAGTGCGATGATCACGCTTAAGTTTTCATGAAATATCTAATGTTTTCATACCTCGTCCAAGGCATTGAACTATTTCACTCTTTTCGGCAGCAGAGAGATCCTTTTTCTTCCCCATATTGCATGAAAATGGTGCTCTGCTTAATAATGTGGAACACCCTCCTTTAGTAGTTTTTCCTTAAATTGGGCTCACCTGGCAATCTAATTATCACATGTGTCCGAGATTGTTTTCAGTGATCAAAAGAAACCTGAGACACAATGCCATCCATGAGTTGAACTGAAAAACAAAATATTTAATCTTTGTGACACTTAAATAGAATTTGCATAATAATTTGGAACAGGGTGTACAGACATACTAACACATACACTGACAGACATACTGACACACACACAGACATACACACAAAATGTACACTTTTAAACCCACCCTCCAGTTTCCTACCTTGGAGGCTGGCTTTCCTGCTGGTGGCTGAAAGTGTTGGGAGTTGAGGTCTGGCTCTCTCGGCTAGCCCCCCTCCACTCTGCCTACTCTTCTCTCCGGAGACTAGAGACCACGTCTCCATAAAATGCAGTAGTCACTAATAAACCTTAAAGTAAACCTATAGTCCCAAACATATCAATCATTATTTTGAAAATATAGGTGTTTTTAAAGAGTTTTACTCTTTCTGGAGGAGAAAGCATCTTTAGTGGTTGCCTGGAGGACGGCCTCTATAGTTGGGTTTAACCCTGCAAATTATACAATGTACTTTCTAAAAGAAACTGCAATGTCTTGCATTTATGGTTGCCTCCTTTCTAGGGAAAAAAATACGGGATACATTAATTTGCACAACTTATTATATATGCGTGACATCACAAGACATGATGTCACCAAATGTTACGTAGCATCACACTGAGTGATATAACAGGAAAAAAAAATTTTTTGAAGGGGACACTTACCTACTGATGATGTGTGTACTATGTCTGACTGGATGGGGCACTCCCTACCTATCTGGGGCAGGATGACTTGGTCAGCTGGGGGTTTCCCTACCTTGTTAGAGAGAGCATAATTTGAGGACTCGGGAGGGCTCCCTACCTTACTGAGAGGGGATGATTAGGGGGAGCTAGATGGCTCCTTATTTTGCTTGGGGAAGATGATTTAGGGCTTTGAGTAACCCTACCTAACTAGGGAGCCTGTTGATTTGAGGGGGCTTGGGTGTCTCCCTACTTTTCTGGGTGGTAGAATAATTGGAGGGCTCCAGCTGACAGGCCTTGCCAATGCTGTATATTTCTATGGGCAGTTCACCCTTCACAATGAGATCTCTGCCAAGCCTAGCCCCATAGCAGGAGCGGAGATTTCAAATAGCAGAGGGCTGCGGGGCATTCCAGGAAATGTAGCCCTAAGGTTAATACAGAGGAAGGCAACCGTTCGCACTCCAGATGTCATGGACGACATCCCATATAATAATTACGGCTGTAATACTGCAAAGTGTCTAGGGAGATGTAGTCTACAATATCTGGAGTGCCAAAGGTTGCCTATCCCAGGTCTACAAAGTATTGACTATTTGAAACTGATTAAAGAGGCTCTAGAACTACATATCCCATGATGTTCTGTTTGGAAATGGAGATCAATAAGCCTTAGCCACTAAATCTGCGCACTGGCTAAGGCTTATGGATCTTGAAGTCCATGATCAGACTGTAGGAGTTGCTGGTATAATAGAAAAAGCAAAAATAAACTACAAGTACCATAGCCAAGGCAGAGCTTATAGTCCAGTCAAAGAAAAATGCTGGAAAAAATAAGTTAAATACCGCACTCAAAATTGATAATAATAATAGAAGCAAAATGTTATTCAATATGCCAAAAAAATTTATGAGATATAGAAATCAAGCAATTCATATATCTACACATAGCTATCTGATGATCTCTTTTCAGATATGAAAAATTAATCTAAGAAATATTTAGTAAATCACTTATCCTAAAGACACAGCATTGAAATAAATAACCAATTCATCAATATCTTAAATCAATCCACACCTCCCAGGCTATGCATAGCACTCTGATTATATAATGACCTAATGGATCCAAAGCCAGAAAAATAATGTATATACAACAAAAGAATGTCCCAAAACAATATATATATATATATGTGATGCAGCCAAGAAAGTTGCACAAAATGTGAAAAAAAGAAAAAAAGGAAAAAAATTGAAAAAAAGGAAAAAAGCTTTGAAAAATAAGTCCTTGCCGAAATCAGTGTATATATATACAATGTAAGTATGGTTGGATCTCACCATATACTGCAATATAGTTTGTTGTCAAAAACAGCATCCAAAAGCTCTTGTGTCCTCTGAACATGCCATAGGAGTAAGGTGTGGATGATAGTTGGTTATATCAGGCGGCTGGAATAGTCATCATGCTGATTATGTCAGGCGGCTGAAATAGTAGTCGGGCTGCGCGCTCGGGATTTCTGTTCCCTTCAATGGCCCCTGTTTAACCGCTGAACAATGCTGGTTAAATGCCAATTCCGGCGGCAAAAAAATCCTTTCACTTCCGCATTGACGTGATGACGTCATCCTAATACGAAACGTCAAACGTAATATCAAATAAACTTTATCAACACTATAATCCTGACAGTAATATTGAATTGTAACCACCCATATTAGATACTATGTAAAAAGAGATAGACAATAATGGTTATTAGTCCAAATCAAGGGAAGGGACAATATCTGACCAATGATACTCGTTCCAAACCTGGAAATCTTTTTGAAAAAACTGTCTCAATTATTAATTCTATATCTAACTGTAAGTTAGTTGATTAATTGGTTAGTGGAAAACTAGAAATTAGTCATAACTCAGAGTAGGTTAAATATAGTAAAGATTAAATGTATAAATGTGCGTTATATTCACCAGGTCTCATGCTCCGATCCAAGTAATTTATGTATTATCTTGCCATAAGTCTGTACGATATACCATGATACACCTGGGTGATATCTATAATATGAAGGGCTGCTCACCTGTAACAGGGTATCAGGGGAATAGAAAAAATAATAATGATATAGAAAAAAATAATAATAAGCCATGATCGTTAAAAGTCTGTACGATAAAGGTGTACACTCAAAGCCTAAACTAAAGAAAAATGCTGGCACCAGCCAGACATCATAAAATATAACCTGTGCTGGTAAAATACCAGCTAGGAGGCAACCCTACTACATTGCAAGATTCAAATAACAGGTCCACAGCACCCAGACCACCATTGATGAAGTGATCTGGGTTACTATAGTGTCCCTTTAATTGGGTGTAAAAAAAATTTTTTTTTAATGTATTTATTTAAAAATAAGCATATTACAGACACACTTATACATGCAAAAAAATATTTGTGAGTGTAACTATAACATATTTTTTCAATAATAAATTCATGCTAACTTTACATTACATGATTTAATAATGATACATTGGAGTGTATTACTCTCCTCCATTCCACACATAATACTGTGCAGCTTAGTCCAGGGGGTTAGTACTGCCTTTACATCAAGGACAGCAATATATAATCAGTATTTCTTCTTTGGATTACAACTCTCATGACGCAGAGTTGTAAAAGAGGAAATTGCAAAATAAACAATGGAAATTGCTAAATGTAGGCACAAATAGCTGACTTTGGAGAGAATTGTTTTTCCAGCTCTGCTGTTTTAGTCAAAAAAAATATAAAACTCTGCACAATCTGCTCAGTTTTGATTGAATAAACTCCTTTTGTCTACTCTTAGTTATGTGAACATTGTTCCTGTTTTTAGAATGTCTTTACTCTCTGACAGACTGGGAGAAGTTTATTTTAGAATCCCACAGAACCCTGGCATCCTGGTCCCCTCAGTGGGAGACTCAGCCTATTTTCTGTGAGATTACCAATTGACAGCCCTATTGTGATTGTCACTTTGGTTTCCAGAGGAGCAGGCGGTCACATGATGCAAACAGTGCCGAGATGACTAGTCTGAACTAGAGAAGGAGATTGAGATAGGAAACAAGATAAAGGAGAAAGTGAAGGACGATAAACACCTTGCTTAATCTAATCCCATAATCCCACTCATCAGACAGCAGACTCGATGAAACCCAGACATTCCATGCTGCTGCTAGCCTAACTGGGACTGAAGATCTCAAATACAAAAGGTGAGCTGCGCTCCTGCACATGTTGGAGGCCACCAGTTAGTTAGTTAGTTTGTTTGTTTGGGGGGTGGGAGGGGGTACCAGGGAACTGGAGGTGATGATTAGAAAAGTTACATAGCTCCAAAATAAATGTATAACTCCACTGTTCTTATTGCAATTTTAAAATCCAGCTACTCAAATGTTTGTGTCCCTCCTAAATTATAGTGAATTCAAATGTATATTAAAAAATTAAGGCACAAAAACCAACTGCTTGACTACTTGAGGCTAAGTTTTGCTGTTATGACTTTTAATATTTTTTTAGTTTGGCTAATTTTGCCTAAAATTTGAAATTTGCTTGGAATTCCTGACAGTTCACAATTTAGTAAATAAACCCCTATGTCTACTAAATATGTTTGATATTTCTAATAGTTTTGTTTCTTATTCAAATATTGTGTTTTCTTTATTCTCTATGGACATTCCATCCCTTCCATTATTGTCTATGGGCATTCCACTGCCCTGTTGAAGTCTGTGGGCATTCCACTGCCCTGTTGAAGTCTGTGGGCATTCCATTGTGTCATTCATTTCAGTAGGTGTTCCCCCTCCATTCACCATAGCTATGTTGACTTAAAGGACCACTATAGTGCCAGGAAAACATACTTGTTTTCCTGGCAATAGAGTGCCCTGAGGGTGCCCCCACCCTCAGGGTTCCCCTCCCGCCAGGCTCTAGGAGGTGGAAGGGGTTAAACTTCTTTCTCCAGCGCCGGGCGGGAACCCTCCTCCTCCTCGGCTGAATGTGCATGCGCGGCAGGAGCCGCGCACGCATTCAGCCGGTCCATAGGAAAGCATTCACAATGCTTTCCTATGGACGCTGGCGTCTTCTCACTGTGAAAATCACAGTGAGAAACGCGGAAGCGCCTCTAGCGGCTGTCAATGAGACAGTCACTAGAGGCTGGATTAACCCTATTATACACATAGCAGTTTCTCTGAAACTGCTATGTTTATAGAAAAAAGGGTTAAACCTTGCTGGACCTGGCACCCAGACCACTTCATTAAGCTGAAGTGGTCTGGGTGCCTATAGTGGTCCTTTAACAGTGTCAAGGTTATACACTTAATTAATTAAATTCAAATGGCAAAATATTCAGTTTGATTACATTTCACTACTAATTAGTATTTAGTATATAAACCCAATGGACTACAAATAATTTCGGAAAGAGATAATGACCAAAAAGATGGTAAAACAACAAAAAACTAGAAAAGCTACAATTTTCTTTTCTCCATCAGTGTTCTTTTCTCCACCAGTAGTCTACAACTGGAGTGGGCGGAGTCAGGGGCGTACCTAGAGCATCCTGTGCTTGGCACCCCCAAAAAAAACAACAAAAAAAACCTGTAAAATTTTTTAAAGGTTCTCTTTTTTTTTTTACAATTTGTAAACTGCAAAACCGCTGTCAGCCCCTCCTACAAAACCCTTGTCCTGTCCTGCCCCTCCTACAAAACCTCTGTCCTGTCCCTTCTACAAATCCTGTACTGCCTCGCCTACAAAACCCCCGCAACCCCCTTCCACAAATCCCCTGCTTATCCCCCTTATAAAGACTCCTGTCCCAATACAAATCCCCCGCCCCCTTCTACAAAATCCCTGCAGCCCCACACACACATTTACAGGCAGACAGTCACACACTCAGTTACAGACAGACAGTCACACACTCAGTTACAGGCAGACAGTCACACACAGTCATGTGCAGACAGGTCACACATACATTATTTTTCCTCTGTGCCAGTTTTTCAGCTGCTTGCTTGTGTGAGCTGTACTGCCGCGACGTGTACCCCAATCTTACCATGGGACTGCAGCTGCTGGAAGCTCACACAGCCCCTCCAGCCAGGGGCCGTGCAAGGGATTTTGCCGCCCTAGGCAAGTGTGTGCAAAGTTTGCTGCCCCCCATGTGCTTCTCTATGATTTGCCATGTTAATTAACGCCAGTGCTGCAGTGCCGCCGTGTTTACATTAAAAGGCCTGCAGGGACAGGCTATAGACACCAGAACCATTACATTAAGCTGAAGTGGTTCTGGGGACTATAGTGTTTCTTTAATGTGAGGTAAATTAGAGCTTAGTGCCACGAATAATATACTAGATTGCCTACTTACAACCAGATGAGGATGATGATGGGCTCTAGCTGCAGTCTGGCTCACTGGTCTGGTGCAGAACAGGTTTCTGGAGGCGTGTTTGTAACTGTGGTCACAAAAATCAATGTTCTGGGAGAACGGGAAGCAGCTCCATTTTTTGGGGTCCTTGCTGTGCTAAGGTTCAATGGGTCCCAGGGTTCACTCTTCATGTTCCACCAATGAGTTTGTTCACAGGGGGTGGAGTGTGTAGGGGATGTCCTGATATGTGTGTAAGGAATGCATTTTGTGAAATTGTGTTTGTATGTGTAAGGGCTGCAAGGTGTGTTTTTGTGTATGTATGGGATGCATTGAATGTGTGTAAGGGGTGCATTGAGTGTGTGTAATGAATGTATTGTGTGTTTCTGTGTGTGTAAGGGATGCATTGTGTGTAACGGTTGCATTGCTTGTGTATGTGTGTCTGTGTGTGTAATGCATTGTGTGTTTTTCTGTGTGCAAGGGGTGCATTGTGTGTATGTGATGAATGTCAATCTCTCCTCCCGCTCCAATTTCCTTCTCCTCCTCCCAATTTCTCTTTCTCACCCCCCTCCTAATTTCTCTCCCCCCCTAATTTCTCTTTCCCCCCTCCTAATATCTCTTCCCCCCTCCTAATTTCAATTTCTCTTTCCCCCCTCCTAATATCTCTCCCTCCCTCCTAATATCTCTTCCCCCTCCTAATTTCTCTCACCCCCTCTCTCCTTTCTCTCCCCCCCCTCCTTTCTCTTTCTCCCTCCTTTCTCACCCCTTTCTCCTCTTTCTCACCCCCCCCTCTCTTTCTCACCCCCCTCCTTTCTCCACCCCCTTCTCACCCCTCCTTTCTCACCCCCCTTTCTCCTCTTTCTCACCCCCTCTCTCTCCTTTTTCACCCCCCTTTCTCCTCTTTCACCCCCCTCTCTCACCCCCCCTTTCTCCTTTTTCACCCCTCTCTCTCCTCTTTTCACCCCCCTCCTTTTCACCTTTCTCCTCTTTCACCCCCCTCTCTCCCCCCTTCTCCTTTTCACCCTCTCTCTCCTCTTTTCACCCCCCTCCTTTTCACCCCTTCTCCTCTTTCACCCCCCCTCTCCTTTCTCTCTCACCCCCTCCCCACCTCTGCTGTAGCGTGGCCGAGCCCAGTAAGTCAGCGGGTACAGAGAGCAGCTGTCTCCTGTACCCGGCCGGACTAACAGGAAGTGCACACTCAGTGTGCACTTCCTGTTAGTCCGGCCGGGTACAGGAGACAGCTGCTCTCTGTACCCGGTCGGACCATAGCTGCAGCTACAGAGAGGGAGCTGACAGGAGAGAGCGCTCAGCGCTTCCCTCCTGTCAGCCCCCTCCTCAGGCTGCGCCCGGGCGGTGCGGTCCGCCCTCATGGACGCACCGCCCGGGCAAAGCTGCAGCCGCCTGAGGCTCTCTACAGAGCGCTCGGGCGGCTGCAGTATGGGGGGGGGGCGGCGGGGCTGGTCATGGCACCCCCCATCCTGCTGGCACCCGGGGCGGACCGCCCCCCCCCGCCCCCCCCTTAGTACGCCACTGGGCGGAGTAACTGGGTGGAGTGGCTTGAGTAACTGTTGTGTGGCTGGAGTGGCTGGAGTAACTGTGGAGTGGCTGGAGTAACTGTGGAAAGGTTGGAGTGTGGTTCACTCACTGTACAGCAAGGGCAGAGAAGAGCTTTCAAATCCCTCGAACATTCCACCAACTGCCAACAGGAACTAATAGATTTCAAATAGGGCAGAGAAGAGCGGTTAAAAACAAACTGCTCCAACTTGCTCAATAAGAATAAGAATAATATATGTGAGATAATAGTAAGTGGTCTTGCCATGGAGGGATATAAATATACCAATTTATATCAAAACGTTCAGCTTCCCCTGCTGCCACTGTGATGTTTTGTACAAATCAGTCAATAATTCCTGTATAACTAAGCGCTCACTTTATTAATACTTATATAACAGCATCTTCATATTGCAGCCTTGTTACACAGGGTTTCTGCAGCCGCCATTTCAAATCCCTCGAACATTCAACCAACTGACATGTAAGATTTGTGTAGGTGGGCTTGAAAATGAGGGGGCAGTTTAGAAATCATGTCCTGATTTTTCAGCTTTTGCCAGCGCCCACTCTAGTTTTGAACATTTTGCCATTCATTCCTATGGGACCAATTTCACCACAAGAACGACGATATTCCGTGAACCATTCGGCGAAACGTTCCACAAAGTAATAGGAATCCAATATGGAACAATCCGCACGTTTCGGTATATTTCTGTCTATGTAGTGTAAAAACTGGGAGAAGAAGTTAGGGTGGTAAATTTGGCTATAATAATAATAATATATATGTGAGATAACATTAAGTGGTCTTGCTATGCAAGAACACTTAAATATGTAAAACTCTAACAGGTGGCCTCAACCGGACCCACTATAAGTATCACCATTTTCTCATACCAAGGCAGGTGGGCACTACAATGTTTAGCCAAGTTGGGAACGAATGAGTACCAAAACAACTTTAGATTAACTAGAAAAGCTAAAATTTCTGGGGAAATTGTGTGAAGTGTTCTTGCCTCCACCAGTAGTCTACAACTAGGGATCGAGCGATTATTGGTTTTACCGATATTATCGGCCGATATTCGGTATTTTCAGCAATATCGGTATCGGCCACTAAAGGTACCGAAATTGCCGATATTGATAGAGTGAGAAATGCATTTCAACTTTTATTTATTTATATAGCACATTTAATTGCAACGTTGTTGCCCAAAGTGCTTCACAGTTACATTAAAACATACATTTGTAAAAACATTAGCAGGTGTACAAAAGGCCCTGTCTATGACATCACTTGCTGCTCCAGCCTGGCACAGGTCAGAGTATTTTGGCGGTTGCCATCTTCAAACGGTCGTATTTTAACACCTATACATCCTACAGCGAAGAGCTTTATATTGTGAGAATCACAAGACCCAGACCTACATTTTGATACCTAGTATGTCTCTGAAGTATTAAAAATGAAGGCACAGTCGCAGTTTAGAAATTGCCCTTCAAGTTTGAGCTGGCTAGAGTGGAATTTCAATGAATGTCAATGGACGGCGTGAGTTGCAAACAAATGGTCATATTGTGAAAACTATCAGGACTATGGCTTAGCCATGGACATTTTTAGTGGCAGCAGGGATAGCTGAACGTTATGATATAAGATTTGTGTAGGTGGGCTTGAAAATGAGGGGGCAGTTTAAAAAATCATGTCCTGATTTTTCAGCTTTTGCCAGCTCCCACTCTAGTTTTGAACATTTTGCCATTCATTCCTATGGGACCAATTTCGCCACAAGAACGACGATATTCCATGAACCATTCGGCGAAACATTCTACAAAGTAATAGCAATCCAATCGGGAACAATCGCACGTTTCGGTATATTTCTGTCTGTGTAGTGTAAAAACTGTGGGAGGAGTTAGGGTTGTAAATTTGGCTATAATAAGAATAAGAATAATAAATATGTGAGATAACGTTAAGTGGTCTTGCTATGCAAGAACACTTAATAATAATAATAATAATATATATGTGAGATAACATTTAGTGGTCTTGCCACTTAATTAAGCAGTTTTGGTATATAACTGCCTGTGTCATTTTTTTTCGCTCAATTTTCTGCCATTTAGGAGTTAAATCACTGTGTTTATACAGCCCTAGCCACACCTCCTCGCATGTGACATACACAGTTTTCCTAAACACTTCCTTTACTGGACAGTCTGTTTAATTTAGAATTTCTCATCGCCTACACTGTTAATAGCTTGCAGGAGCCTCCTGTGTGAGATTAAATTTACGGAAGACAAAAACTTCTAAAGCAAGACAACATCTGATTGAAAATGAAATAATTTTTTCATACAGGACATATAAGTCATAGCCAGGGAAGGTGTGACTAGGGCTGTATAAACCAAATCCAACGTGATTTAACGCCTAAGTGGCAGAGCATTGAGCAGTGAGACTTCAAAGGCATGATTTAGACACCAAAACTGCTTCATTAAGCTAAAGTTGTTTCGGTGACTATAGTATCCCTTTAAATTCTCTGAATGTCTGACCATTCATATAAATTCATGGGAAAAGAATTCTATGGTTTTACATATCATGACATAATAATAATCATCTGTTCCTTAGCTGGACTTAACATTAGGTAAATACAACTTTAGGTGAACAACACAACACATTGCATATTAAACTATGTCATGATTTATTTAACAAAAATAAAGCCAAAAGTGAGAAGCCATGTGTGAAAAACTAAGTACACCTTATGATTCAATAGTTTGTAGAACCACTTTTAGCAGCAATAACTTGAAGTAATAATTTTCTAAATGACTATGAGTCTCTCACATTGTTATGTAGGAATTTTGGCCCACTCTTTACAAAGTTGCTTCAGTTCATTGAGGTTTGCTGCTATTTGGTTATGCACAGCTCTCTTAAGATCCCGCCACAGGATTTCAATTGGGCTGAGGGCTGGATTTTGACTGGGCCATTGCAACACCTTGATTCTCTTCTTTTTCACTCATTATGTTGTAGATTTGCTGCTGTGCTTGGGATTATTGTCCTTTTGCATGACCCAATTTCGGCCACGCTTTAGCTTGAAAAGAACCCGTTTTAGTAGGTCGAAACGTTGCTGCCTTTTTGTTTAATTAAATCTGCCTGCGGCTTTAACACTCTGAGTGCCTGGGAATTTCTTTGTAAGCTTTAGCTGTCAGACACATGGCCTTAGATTTTACTCTAAAATAGTTTAGTATACATGGAAGTTAATGGCCGACTCAATGACTGCATGTCTGCCAGGTCCTGTGGCTGCAAATTGAGCCCAAATTATCACCCCTCCACCACCGTGGTTGACAGCTGGTATGAAGTGTTTGTGCTGATATTCTGTGTGTGGTTTTTGCCAAACGTGGCGCTGTGCATTCTCTCTACTTTATTCTCATCTCTCCAAAGGACATTGTTCCAGAAGTCTTGTTTGTTTAGATGCAACTTTGCAAACCTAAGCCTTGCTGCCATGTTCTTTTTAGAGAGAAGAGGCTTTCTCCTGGCAACCCTTTCAAACAAAGCATACTTGTTCAGTTTTTTTCTAATTGTACTGTCATAAACGTTAAAGGGACACTATAGTCACCTGAACAACTTCAGCTTAATGAGGTTGTTCAGGTGAGAACTATAGCTCCCTGCAGCATTTCTCATGTAAACACTGTATTTTGTGAGAAAATACAGTGTTTACATTGAAAGCTAGGAACACCTCCAGTTCCAGTCACTCAGAGTGAACCAGAGGGACTTCTGAGTTGATGGAGGCATAATATGCCTCAATCCACTCAGATCTGCTGTGCACGAGCATCCTGTGATTCAGTATCTCCTCCCTCTGCATGCAGACACTGAACTTTCATCATAGAGATTCATTGATTCAATTCATCTCTATGAGGAGATGCTGATTGGCCAGGGCTGTGTTTGAATCATGCTGGCTCTGCCCCTGATCTGCCTCCTTGTCAGTCTCAGCCAATCCTATGGGGAAGCACTGTGATTGGATCAGGCTATCACATGTCAGCAAACTGCTTGTTTTTCCTGAGTCTAACAGCATGCAGATTGAAAGCTTCTGGCTTGAATACAGTAATATTTTTACTATATTTATGGAGGCATGAGAGGCCCAGGGGGACTAGATGGTCGTGTTAACACTATAGGGTCAGGAATACATGTAGTTGCACTGGTGACTATAGTGTCCCTTTAACATTTAACATGCTAACTGAGGCCTGTGGAGTCTGAGATGTAACTCTTTGGATTTTTGCAAGAACATTGCACCGTCTGAGCTTGGGGTGAATTTGCTGGGGCGTCCCCTCCTGGGAAGATTGGCAACTACCTTGAATGTTTTCCACTTTTGAATAATATTTCTCACTGTAGAATGGTGGACTTTCATTTGTTTGGAAACTACCTTATAACCCTTCCCAGTTTGATGGGCAGCAATGATTGCTTCTCTAAGATCATTACTGATGTCTTCCCTCCATGGCATTGTGTTAACACATTTCTGAATGCTCCAGACCAGCCAACTGCTAAAACTTTGGCTTCTATAGAGCTTGCTGATGAACAATTAATCAAGGGCATTTGATAAGCAGGACCTGTCTGCCATTTAGCCTCTTATTTCCTATGGAAGCAGTATACTTAGAGTGTACTTGTTTTTTTACACATGGCTTCTCCATTTTGGCTTTATTTTTGTTAATACAAATATAAAGAAACTAGTCCTGCGCTCAAACTCCCATTACTCCTGGGCGGCAGCAATGACTATATTACAAAAGGAAAAAAATTACCTGCGCTCTTTCCACATCCCTATGTATTTTTAAACAAATGGAGGTTTTTAGTTACCGCCAATGGCCATGAGAGGGTATGCCCACCTGCCAACGTCAAGGCAGACCTCTTAGGTGGGTCCTAACTCTAACCATTCGCCTTACTTCCATTAGCTTCTGGCACAAATATCTCTAATGAGACAGAAAGGGGTGTTTTTTTATATACATCCCTACATGCTTATTAACCCTTAATAGGAAACACATGGGATGGGCAGCGGCATTGTAACCTAGCTGTGTGATACAAAAGTGAATACAAATACAAAGAAACTAGTCCTGCGCTCAAACTCCCATTACTCCTGGGCGGCAGCAATGACTATAATACACATCAGCCAGAAGCTCAAGGAAGCAAGGCAAATGGTTAGTTAGGACTCACCTAAGAGGTCTGCCTTGACGTGGCAGGTGGGCATACCCTCTCATGGCCATTGTAGGTAACTAAAAACCTCCATTTGTTTAAAAATACATAGGGATGTGGAAAGAGCGTAGGCATCTTTTTTCTTTGGTTTTTACTATATGTATTTTGGCTGATGTGTACTATGGTCGTTGCTGCCGCCCAAGAGTAATGGGAGTTTGAGCGCAGGACTTGTTTCTTTGTATTTGTATTCACTTTTGTATCACACAGCTAGGTTACAATGCTGCTGCCCATCCCATGTATTCCCTATTAAGGGTTAATAAGCATGTAGGGATGTATATAAAAAAAAAAATACCCCTTTCTGTCTCATTAGTGATATCTTTGCCAGAAGCTTAAGGAAGTAAGGCGAATGGTTAGAGTTAGGAACCACCTAAGAGGTCTGCCTTGACGTGGCAGGTGGGCATGCCCTCTCATGGCCATTGGAGGTTAATAAAAACCTCCAATTTGTTTTAAAAAAAATAGGGATGTGGAAAGAGCGCAGGTAACTTTTTTCTTTTATTTTTGTTAAACCATCATGACACGGCATAATATGTCATGTGCTGTTGTTCATCTAAGGTTGTATTCACCTAGTTTTTAGACTGGCTGAGGAACAGATGATAGTTTCTATGTCCTGATATGTAAAACCATAGAATTTGAATGAGGTGTACTTTCTTTTTCCCATGACTGTACAGGGATAAGGCAGTACCATACATAGCTGGCATTTGCTTGGATGTGTGTTACATCTCTAAATTTCAGTAGGTTTGTGTAAATAATTTTGTTTGTTTTTTGTACACAATTGAATAACATTTTAGCCAAAGAATACAATGAATACAATTAAATCGATTTTTAAACTGATAATTCATTATGTTGATAAAATGTGCTATTATTTTATTTAAAATATATCACTTGCCTAGCATAAATGTAACCAAATAGAAGTCTGAATTCATTTTACCCCAGATTTTCTTTTTCATTGTTTTGTCACTGTGTATTTGTTTGGAGAAGACCTATAGTTAACAGTGATTATTCTCATTACAGGCACATTGCTGCCCTCTTCTGCAAGATTACAGAATGAGTCTCAGTAAGTAAATGGGCTCAGTTTGCAGCCACTGGACCTGGGAGACATGCAGATGTAATTAATATTCTCAATGCTTTTATAGGTTAAAAACTATCATTCACTTTCTGTTTTAAAGGGTAACTGTCACTTCCCTGACTGTTAAAGGGACACTATAGTCACCAGAACAACTACAGCTTATTGTATTTGTTCTGGTGAGTATAGTCAGTCCCTGTGGGCTTTTTGCTGTAAACACTGTCTTTCCAGAGAAAATGCAGTGTTTACATTACAGCCTAGTGATAACTTCACTGGCCACTCCTCAGATAGCTGTTAGAGATCATTTCTGGGTCATGGCTGCCTAACATGCATCCAAACATTCAGTATCTCCTCCCTCTGCATGCAGACACTGAACTTTCCTCATAGAGATTCATTGATTCAATGTATCTCTATGAGGAGATGCTGATTGGCCCTGATCTGCCTCCTTGACAGTCTCAGCCAATCCAATGCTTTCTTATTGTAAGCATTCTGATGATGTCAGCTAAGCACCCGCCCATCAAGTCCCGCTCACGTAAATACTGGACACAGCTTCAGTCCTGTTCCCCTCTGATGAGCCGAAAGGTGAAACGTGTGTCAGGGGACTAGACGCTCGAACCGCTTGATTGACTCATATGCTGACTTAGTCACCAATCGTTGAGGTCTTACATGTTTTCCGCTCCACTCACTCTCCAGCTTACTTGGATACCGAATCACAGCTTAAGAGGAAGACTTGTTGGGCGGGTGATTATCGAGCCTCTTAAACTAGGGTCAGTCTTTATCAAGGGGTGCCCTCGAAGGCACAATAGGGTGACTATAGCAGTTGGGTGTCAAGGTGATTTATGTCTGATCCTATATTAGGTCCGTTATCTGGTTAGGATTTATACTCGACACATTATTCTATCTATCATAGTTTGTTTATAGTTCATTAAAATATTGGTGCGCCCTTATACTGTCTATATCTTATGTTGCTATTTCTAGCCCTAGTACAGCCTATATGAGGTTCTAGTGTCTGTTTGCATGTTCTAGTATTTCACAAGATTTTTAGAGGTTTTAGATACACATACCTCTAGACACTACCTTGTGTAAGATCATAACAAGAGTAGTGGTTATGAGAAAGCATCTGCATTATGCACTGGGGCTGGTGATTAAATAAGGGCCAATACCCGGACTATCTGGCTAGCCTCCTGCCGTGCCACAGGGAGGAGAATGAACAAACTGGCAAAGAGACCCTGCTGGTCCAGGAGTATCAGGACCTTTCTGCTACAAATACTTTCCCTGCTGTTCTTTATGCCTCCAATATCTCATACACTGAACTATTCACTAAATTCTGAACTAGAAACATAGAATGTGGCGGCAGATAAGAACCATTTGGCCCATCTAGTCTGCCCAATTTTCTAAATACTTTCATTAGTCCCAGGCCTTATCTTATAGTTAGGATAGCCTTATGCCTATCCCACGCATGCTTAAACTCCTTTACTGTGTTAACCTCTACCACTTCAGCTGGAAGGCTATTCCATGCATCCACTACCCTCTCAGTAAAGTAATACTTCCTGATATTATTTTTAAACCTTTGCCCCTCTAATTTAAGACAATGTCCTCTTGTTGACAGTATTTTGAATGATTAGGATGGATTCTGGGCACAGTCAGGTTTATGGGAAATTTCGTGAGGAACAAAAATGCATAATTTATCTTAATCTCCAATTATCTCTCATTTCAGAAGGGGTGTCCTTGCCGAGTACCCCAATAACCACATTTAAAGATATGAACACTTCCAAAAGAAGATTTCTTGCAACCCCCCTGAGTCTCCCAGTACTGTCAAATGGTCCAAGTTCACATATGACCAACAGGGTAAGGAGTACATCCAGCCGATACGAACACATTATTTATTACATAAGCTTGTGTAGTCTAATAGACAATTGCAATGAAGAGACTGGAGAGAAAAGCTGTCATTAGGGAAAAGTTGCTCAAATTAAAACCATGGTTTGTAGGCAAATACCTTCATATTGTGACAGTCTTCACAAATCATCTGTCACTCTAGAGGTTAAAGAATTGGGGCTAGTGGCAGGTGTTTTATATTATTTTGCAGTACTATGTATGTCCAGTGTGTGAAAAATGTCTGATAGCACACTAATCTATATCTTCTACATACATTGCTCATCTAAATCTTTTAAATTCTAGGTAAGCCCCTAAAATTGCACCCCCATTAATTAGAGCTGATCCATGGAGGCTGCTCAATGCTCACAATAAATTAACACGTGCATGCATGTGTTTTTGTGTTTTGTTGTGGTTTTTTTTTTTTGTTTAGAAGAACATATCATGAATATATATATATATATATATATATATATATATCACACACACACACACACCAATAGATTTGTGGTGGGGGAAAAGATGTGGATGAAATCCCCTTCCACCTGAAGAAAGTGGATAGTTAATACAGTGCTAAACACAAATACACACACCAGTCAAGCTATGAGACTTGCTTTTCCCACAGAAATTTGACAGTGCTTTCACTACTGCAAGGGATTCTGGGTAGACGTATGCAAATGAGCTCAACAAAGAACCACATTTTTGCCTCATAATTCCACTTTATATATGGATTCTTTGAAGTATGTGTCTGCTGTATACAACAGCTTTGAAACACAACTCAAGAAGAGAGCAAAATATTAACTATCCACTTACTTCAGGCAGAAGGGGTTTTCTTTTCATCCACACTCTTTTCCCCACCACAACTGTTGGTATGTACTTTACAAGTAACACCAAGCCTCCATTGCAAGCCAGTAACCAACCTCATGCTGATGAGTTGTATTAACAACAAAACAGCTGTCCATGAGTGGTTCATTGGCTTTGCTCTTCTTCCTGAGTTGTGTTTCAAAGCTATTGTATACAGCAGACACAAACTCCAAGGAATCCATGTATAAAGTGGAATTATGAGGCAAAAATGTGCTTCTTTGTTGAGCTCACTTGCATACACCTACCCAGAATCCCTTGCAGTAGTGAGAGCACCGTTAAAGTGAGATTTCTATGGGAAAAGCAAGTCTTATGGCTTGACTGGTGTGTGTATTTGGTTTTTAGCAATGTATTAAATATATATATATATATATATATATATATATATAACTCGTCTATGTAGAGTGAAAAATCCACAAAAGTTGCAGATCTGCCTTTTCAATCCCTCCCCTTCTAACCCCGTCCAGACTCTCTGTGGCTGTCCAATCACAGCTCAATGAGAAGTCTGTACAAGACAGGTGCTCTGAGCTATTGCTGCCTTTTGAGTTTAGCTCCACTGGGCTAACCAAACCAGCAAGTAACAGGACCTGTTGTCTGCTTGAAAGCCAATGGGGAGTAACAAGGTCCATTTATAAAAGTGTCAATTTGTAATGAAATCTGCACTTTTTGCAAAATAAAATAAAAAGGGCACACTTTTTATAAATGTTTTTCAGCAAGCTAAAGTGCTTTAGGGTTCTGGAGTGTCCCTTTAAGGCTGCAGATTAGTGCTGATATTTAAACCATGGGTCAGAGTTATAGCAGGACCATTTGACACAATCTTCTATAAATGTTGATGTCCATTCCACAATAGAGTAAAAGGGGTTCAGAAGATCCAATGTACAACTCCTTGTCAACTCAACATGTGCAGGCTTTTGCCTTATTTTTTAATATATGGCTAATATGTATCCACATATATGTGGTTTATCATGCAGTTCATATGGATTATAGGTTTAACATCAAAGTCATGCTATGTCCACTGCACATTGTTAATTGGTTAGTGTGTGTTTTCTACACAGGCTGTGCCTCGCTTAAATCCCCTTCACCCCCCTGGAGTCAAGAGGAGGACAGTAAGTTTGGAGACAGTGGCAGTACACCACCACAACCACCAGAGAGTCCTTAATATGCAACAAAAAGAGTACTATAAGTAAGTCCTCCCCTAACCCCCAATTCTGAACACAAATGGGGTTTATTAACTAAAGTATATAGAATGAAACACTAAACTGCAATATTTAGACTAAAATATTTGAGCTGTGGCTAAAGTAGCGTTATAATGCAAACTGTACAATTTATGCAAACATAGACACTATAGAAACATTTCTAACTCACTACTCTTCAATGTTTAATGAATAATCTCCAAAGACATGTTGACATACACATACATTCTAAATTAACGCTGCACCCTCTCTTCTGCCTGTTGTACCCTTTTCTTTAGCAGTAAGGAGAGGATTGGTTGCTGCCTTAAGTGCCTAGAAGTGCTGTACACTAAGCTGCATGGGTTCCATTCTGTTCCCCCGGACATGTTAAACAGGAAACAAACATCCGATGTAGAACCTCACTTCCTGTCATTATATGTACTCACCACATTAAAGTCTGTTGCTCACAGGCAGCACAGTAATCCTTGGCTGACTGGAACATGTTAATACATTTGTGGAAGTTCAAGTGGGACAGGGGAGCTAGGCAATGTTGAGTTAAGGCTCTGCCATACACTTGGATAGATTGATGAACATCCACTGGACTAAAGGTGCCTCCAGGGCTGGATTAACATAGGGAATAGGCCCATTGATTAAAAAAAAAAAAAATATATATATATATATATATATATATATATATAATTATTTTTTTTATCAATGGGCCTATTCCTATTTTTTTATTTATTTATTTATTTATTTTTACAGACTACTATAAGGGTTGCCAGGTATTTCTCAGAAATATTTATCAGGTATTTGAGGCTGCCTAGCCGGTGCCAGTATTGCAGTAATTTTTTTATTTATAAAATATTTTACCAGGAAAGATACATTGAGACTTCTCTCGTTTTCAAATATGTCCTGGGTCCACAAAACATTGCATTGATACATTATGGTACAATAAAATACAAAAACAATATTAATACACAATATATACAAAATTTAACATAGAACAGGTAGGAAATATATAATCAACCATGACACGTGCATTCTATTTTGAGGTATGGAGAGAGGGATCTCTTAAAGGACTTTAGGTTTGGGGAAGATTTTAAAGTGTGCGGGAGATCGTTCCACAATTGAGGAGCTCTGTAGGAGAAGGAGGACCGGGCTGCTTTCTTTTTGTATTGTGGTAGACCAAATAAATACCGGCAATACAAATGGTAGTCTCAGTATAAACTGAGATTAGATGCAATACCGGCACCTGCACCTGTGTGTGTGGAGAGAGGCAGGGATAGGATGTTGCAGCATCTCCCTCCCTGCCTCTTTCTACTCACTGATCTGCGGGGGAGCATCTCTCAGCCTGCAGAGATAGCCAACAGCTCAGGTAAGTGAGGGATGGGGGGAAAGGCTGCAGGGAGACATGTGGAAACAGACACTAGGGGACACTGTGAAACATGGGGACACTGGGAGACATATTGACACTTGGGAACATTGAGACACTAGGGGTAACTGAGAGACATGGAGACGGTGAGAGACTTGGGGACACTGAGACATTGGGACACTGGTGAACATGGGGACCATGAGACACTAGGGACACAGTAGCCCCATGTCTCCCAGTTGCCCTTAGTCTCTGTGTCCCCATGTCTCCCATCCAGTGTCCCTGGTGTCTCTCAGTGTCCCTAGGCTCTGTGTCCCATGTCTCTCCCAGTGCCCCCATTGACACTGGGAGATATGGAGACACAGACTCTAAGGGACACTGGGAGACATGAGGATACAAACACTAGGACACTGGATGACATGGGGACACTGAGACACAAGGGGGGCACTGATAGACATGAGGACACTGGGCGACTTTGAGACCTGGGAGACATGGGGCACTCCCAGTGTGCCCATGTCTCCCAGCCAGTGTCCCTAGTATCTGTGTCCCCATGTCTCTCAGTGTCCGTAGCGTGCCAGTGTCCCCTAGTCTCCCAGTGTCCCCATGTCTCACAGTGCTCCAAAGTGTCTGTGTCCCCTAGTATAAAAGAAAAAAAAATCCCAGGCACTCACTGTGATAGATTTAAGCAGGTTTATTGGACACCGCAATGTTTTGACCTGTACCCAGGTCTTTATTAAGTCTCCAGTGCCCCCTATATATCAGTGCCCCATTTGTATCACAGTGTCTGTGTCCCCTCATGTACCAAGGTATCCCAGTGTTCCCTAGTATCTCAGTGTCCCAATGTCTCTCAATGTCCCCTAGTGTCCTAGGGAAATGGGGACACTGGGAGTCATGGGGACACAGACATGCCCCCTTTTTGTGTATGTTGGTCCTTTTCGGCAGTTCTTGTTATGTGATTTGCGTCAGTGGCCCACCCTTTTTTTTTTTTTTTTTTAATTTGTATTTTATTTGGTTTTGTACACAAAGTATACACTTTTCCATTATATGTGTTATTATATTATTATATGGGTTAGAACAGGTTCAAATAACATTTCGTTGGGCTACATGCATAATAACAATCACAATGTCAGAGATCCTTTACTGTGGCCTGGTAAAGAAACAATTTGTACATTTCTACCTTTCTACAAAGATCCCCCTTTAAAGAGGTTGCTTAATTTTCGAGGCTGCTTGATTCTAACAATCTTTCTGGCTTATCCTATATGCGAGTCAGGTATTTAGAGTAATAGGGTAATAGCATGGAATGCTGGGTTTGGAGTAACAGGAATAGTAAGAAACTTTCCCGGACCATGTAAGCTTATATATATATGCAAAACATTATTCTAATGGTTAATTATTGCATTTCTCATTCTGCTTTCTGTGTCCATTGGCTAATATGCCTAGTTTTTTGAGGAATGTCTCTGGATCGTCTCCCGAGGTTAGGGTGAGTACATCGGTGCCCTTTGTTAGCGATCCCTCTGTGCCCCATCGTTACCGGATCGATTGTTCTCTCAGTCTCTTAGTGACTGGTGCTAGTAGTCTCCTTGCAGCCAGCACAGCAAACGGGAGGTCACTGTATATGGCCACCTCGCATCCCTCAAATTTTACCGACCCCAATGGTCTGGATCCGGCCATGATGGTAGCTCTCGCAGCTACGTCCCTGGTGGTAGCTATTGTGTCTCTGGGAGCACCCTCGGGTGCCGCTGGTGATTTGCGCACCCTGAAGGCGGACAGAATCAGTGGGGTGTCTGAATTACACCTGGGGCCCATGGAGGAGGTGAGTCTCCGGACAAAGGGCAGTAAGTCTTCACCGCTCACCTTTTCAGGGATACCTCTAAGGCGTATGTTACGGTGGCGGTGTCTGGTTTCCAGTGTCACCACCGCTCCTTGTAGGCGTCGGACCTGCTCCTTAAGATCATCCAGTTGCAGTTTGGTGTCTTGGAGTTGGTGGTCTCTGGAGCTTTCTCTGTTTTCCACCTCCTGGACTCTCTGTTGCAAGACCCCTATTTCAGCATGTGTCTCCTTTAAGTCTGCCTTCCAGACCTGCCTTAGGTCGATCAGCAGCTTTCTGATGTCCCCCTTTGTTGATGGGGAGTCATCCTCCTCTGAGTCAGACCTGGGAGTGGGGCCCGGGAGGGAGGCTTGGGAGTCCCTCTCTTCCTGGGAGTCGTCAGAGGTCTCTATCTCACTCTGCGGTTCCGGCGCCATCTTGGCGGGCCGCGCTTGTGTAGGCCTCTGGAATGCCAGCCTGATGTCGGGTGCCGCGGGTCGCTCCGTGTAGGTTTGTTTTTTGTGTTTGCGCCCCATGTTGTCGGCTGTCGGGTGGCAGGTAAGCTGTGCGTTTTTGGAGCTGATTTGTCCTCTCTAAGGCTCTTAGTCTGTGGGGCCGATGCAGAGCTCCACAGACATGCGACTGTTCAGCTCCGTAGTCGGCCACGCCCCCCCCAGTGGCCCACCCTTTTACCCCGTCCATAGACTTCCTGCTTTACTGGACACTGCTGTTAATTGGTATGGATTTACTTGAAAGATGAAAGCGTGAGATTAGCATTGGGTATGTGTTTTCTCATAGCTGCATCATATGAGTTTCCCTCCAGCACCGTCTCCATCAGATACATGACACTTGGGAGGTAGGACTGTTTTTTTAGTGTTTTTGGTCCATAAGATTTTGTAATTAGGCTCATCAGAATTGTCAGCACCAGGCCCACTGGGCTCTTAATCGGGTCCTGGGTGCCTCTCAACAGGTGGCCATCATTTAATGCACTGTCTAGTGCCCAGTGATTATATACTAATGGGGAGGGGAGTCCAGAATGAACTAGAGCAGGAAAACAATCTTGGGAATGCAAATTTATCATTTATAAAGGGCAAAATTTGCTGCCATCTCTAAGTATTGCATAGGACAACGTTAGCCACTTGGGATAATTTATTAACCAACACTAGTCCTCAATCACAACTACTCCTCTTGCAATCATTAATGAAGGAATTCAACAGTTTTACCTATTTTTGTCCTGACCTGCCTTGTATACTAAAATAATCGATTCAGAGGCATATTCAGAATGTGTCATATCGACATATCAGTTATACTCTTTTAGGTTGCATATGCTTATATATGCATTGCTAAACTCTCCATATTAGCAATCACATTTTTGGTAAATAATTTCAGATCTTAATACTTCAGTGACATGGTTAAAGTTGCTGAGATTTATTTTTGTTGTTAGTTAACTTATTAATGTTTTCTGGTTGGGTTATTGGTTTGTTCTGTCTTCTTTTCGGCAGCTATCATCAGGGATGGAGAAGACCATTTTATGGTACAGTTTTTGAACAAGAAGAATACAGGTAACAAACTAAATAAGAAAATCACTCTTACTATTGGGTTCCAGAGCACCAACTTACATTTCTGAGACTGACTTTATTGCATTGGCTCTTCCTCTTAAAGTAACCCACAAAAGTTAAACTCACACAACAGAGTTAATGTACAACCATCCGTACTCTTACAGGGTTCTTTACATTAGTGAGAATTGTCTGGAATTCAAGTTGAATTTCAAATTTAAGGCAAAAATAGCCAGACTTGAAGCATAGCTGGATAATCCATTGCAACTACTGTGGCCTTACATTTAAAATTAACTTTGAATTACTGACCATGCTTACTTCAGTAAATAACCCTGTTAATGATCAGTTGTGTGTTTAACCCAAGCTTACGTTTTCCTAAAGAAATGTTGCCTCCAGGACAAGTAAAGAGAAGGACTTCAGCTCCATCGGCTGGAAGAAAAAGGTTTCAGGAAGTCTTGCATTTATTGAGATCCTACTGTACATTAACTTTTTAATTTATTTTTTAAATGGACGTGTGTTGAGTTGATAATATTTCCATGCCAGGAAGGAAATCAGAGACCTGCTTAAAAAGCAAATGCATGAAAAGTGGGCGCTGCAGCGAGAGGTATTAAGTAGCCAAAGTTTGGAGCTAGAGGCCCAAAAAGAGAATGACCGTACTGCCTTGATGCAAGACTTGGAGCAGCAGAGGACACGAGCCATGTTGATGAGAAACTTTCGGGATGAAAACAAGAAGGTGAGAAAGTCAAGAATGGATCTTTAGAAATAGTAGATTTCTGGACCTTCCCTGTTCTGTAATTTGGTTTTTAGTTTATTTACTTACCCTATATAGTCATGCAAAGATGGATCATGTATCATGGGAAAATAATGCCATTAGAAGGACTTGGAGACATTGTAAGAAAATATGAGAATGAATTGTGAGCGCTTTATATTGTAAGAACCCTGAGATGGTTTATTTCCCCCCCCCCCCCACCCCCTAATGCATGCTTCACTGCTACGCATTTTGTAAATGACATGATATTATAAATCTTGTGTTAGGGTAGGTTTATATATTAAGGGGAAGGTCGTTAAAGACTCCTACAATAAAACTGATATATAATGCCAGACACTCCATACACACAAAAAAATACAAAGATGAAATAACTCACATTTTCCTCCAGTGGCAAGTCATCTATTCAGAATGCTCCACTCAACCCCAGAAAGTCTGTCATTTTATACAGATACCCAACAGAATGCTTCCTATAGGGTGAGCTGAAGTGCTTTAGGGGAACTGGAGTGTCCCTTTAACCACAGAGTAACAATGGGACATGCATGTCTCTGTGCTGCCTGAGATTAGTGGGAGTTTTGTGCTCATTCCAGAGCTGGAATTATAAATAGCTGCCAGAAGAGAGTGTAACACCCACCTATATCCAAGCTCTGTAATATTAAATCAACTCCCCACTACACCTACACTATCCTAGCACTTCTAAATAGTGGCTTAAATAATATATACAAATTATGTCAATGTGGTGTCATGGTGGGAGTCAACTCCCATAAGCTTTATGGATAAATAAGTATCCTGGTGTGGTGGTAGACACTTGTCTCTAAATATATTAAGGGATGTGACGGATTGGTGGGACCCAACATAACGGTTATGTCATCAGCTAAGGCTAACTGCTTGGATGCCCCCTCAACCCAATAGATTACTGAAAATTGTTGTTTTTCCCCCCCCTTATTTACAGATAATGGAAACAAAATGGCAGGAAAACAGACTGACGCGCTCTCTGGAAAATATGAAAGAGAGAGAATTGCTCCACTATAACCCTATCAATTGGAGTGGAACACTGAAATGAGAGCCTCATAAACAGCCTACAACCACCAACTAAGAGTCAAGGTCCTCAATTTTAGAATAATTACATAAAACAAAGACAAAAACCAACCCATGAAAACCATTAAAAATAAATAAAAAGAAAACCTTAGTATTAATTTGTTTGCATTTTATTATGAACAAGTAAAATGAAGAGATCACAAACTAGGAATTCTGATTATTTGTTTAGGAAAAAAAAAATTTCTTCACATTCCTTTCGGTGAGATTTGGAAAGCAGCAGTAATGGCCACAGAATGTTCCAATGTTTAATTTTTAAACTTAATCTTTAACAAATAGATTGTGACGGTTTTCTGCATTATAATAACGGACAGAGAACAACATTTTCAGAGTAGTAGTATGTAAGTGGAAATGCATACTCAAACTTTTATTTGCTTATCTGAAACTTTATAGCCTTAGAATGTGTGGTTTTTAATGCTAAACTACATTAACATAGGTGCTGTATTCTAACCGTTTCAATAGCATCTATTTGTGTGAGATAAGGAACTGTCAATTTAAGAGAAGCAGCAGTTCCTGTCTAGTATCAAAAAAATATATACACATTTTTATTTTTTAAATGCTTGTTTTGTCAGTGACAAGACAGCGTAAAAGTGCCAATGTGAAATTAGCACCTTCTAAAAATGAAACTGGAATCTGGGAAGGGTGTGGACGAAACTGGGACATTTGATAAACTAGAGGAGAGAAAATGAAGTAGCATTGCTTTTGCTTCTCCCATCCCCCAAACCGATTGAAAAAGTAAACTGGGGGGGTTGGGGTTGGATGGTACATACACGGCATAACCACTACACTGAGCTTAAGTGGTTATGGTTATGTATGGATTGTTTTTTTGTACTAGACACCATGGGGAAAAAAATGCCTAGCTTGACATACTTTTTTCTGAAACCCAGTTACTGCAATGGATGACCACCATATTTGTAGGTGTTTTAAATTAAAAAAATAATAATGCACAAATATGGTGGTCTTCTGCGGTCATTCATTGCAGTAACGGGGGTGGCAGAAAAAAAATGTCAAGTTATGCATTTTTTTTTTCATGTCATTGGTATGAGTTAAATAAAATTAAAATGATATGAATGAAAAAAAAAAAAAAGAAAATGAAAAAAAAAAATGCATTACCTAGCACAAACAGAATATACCATTTATTCCTCTTAAAGGAATACCTCAACAAATTCATCTCATCATTATCAGAAGTCTTAAAGCTAACTGTATGCTCGTTCGTTGTTCATTCAATGCCTCCAACAAATAACTACACAAAAGGCCATTTGAGGTTAAAACATTTAAATAGGTTTATTCTCCTGAGATGATAAATATGGTCAGAAATCAAACAGAAAATGCTTCTAAACATGCACAAAATGCAATGGAGTTCTTACACAGCCCTCCCCTTTCAGTTGATTAGCACAATTAACAAGTCAGACAAAAATTGACCAGCTAGCCATTCAAGTGTACTACATTGAAAAGATAGTGAGGTGTATTAACCAAACCAAGAAACTATCAAATTGCAAATCGCCAAAACACAAAATTCTATAGTTATTTTTCAGTTCTGCTTAGTGTTCAATCCCTTTGTTAATTTTTTTTTTTTTTACTATTCTCAAACAGTGTTTCTGAAGTAATAGCAATCATTTTAAAAGAGACTATAGGCGTCAAATCAACTTTAGCTTTCAGAAGCAGTTTGCACCTGCAATCTTGCTGCTCAATTTTCCGCCATTTAGGAGTTATCTTTTTGTTTACGCAGCCCTAGGCCCTAGGTTTTCAATCACATGTCAACTTGCTTTAGAAATTTTTATCTCCTGCTCTTTAAATTAAATTTTAATCACATAAGGGAGGCTCCTGCAGGTTATAGAAAGCTATTAACAGAGCAGGAGGTTATACTGTTCTAAATTAAACAGAATGTGCAATATAGGAACCCAACATATCCAAGTTCCTTTTCAGGAAGTGTTTAGGAAGGCTGTACAAGTCACATGCAGGGAGGTGAGTTTAGTATAGGCAAAGTGATTTAACTCCTAAATGGCAGAGAATTGAGCAGTGAGACTGTAGGGCAAGCATGTCAAACTTGCGGCCCGTTGAGCCGCGAGTACCATGCTGGTGTTATAACAGAGTAGGCACCTGCTTTCCCCACATTGTAGGTGCCTACTCTGCTAACACTTACCCGGCCGAGGAGGATGGCCAGCGAGGGAGCTCAGAGTTCCTGATCCTCACTGCTCCCTCGCACGCGCCGTCTGTAGTGAAGCCGGGCTTCGGAATATGAAGTCATATTCTGGCACCGGGCATCACTAAACTGCGCAAGGGAGCAGATAAGACCCCAGGGAGAGGCCCTTCATCCGCTCAAAAAAGTAGGGAGCAATAAAGAAAAGTATGTGTGTGCAAGAATGTGTAAGTGTGTGTGTGTGTGTATGTGTGTCTGTATGTGTATACCTGTCTTTGAGTAGGTGTCTATCAGGGAGTATGTGTGTGTGTCGGTCTGTCAGTGTGTGTCAGCGGGAGGTTCAGATTTGGCACAGGGTGGTAGAGGAGGGGGTGATGTGGTTTAGTAGAGGGGGACGACAACTGGGATTTAGTAGAGGGGGTACTGTGGTTTAGTGGAGGGGGATACTAGGTTTTTTTTTTTATACTGTACTTTTTAAAATAAACTTAAGTTTTTATGAAACTTTAAAGGTAATTTTTTTTTTTGTGGCCAACATAAACTTAAACCTTGTTTATTATATGGCCCGTGCCAGACTGAGTTTGACATGCTTGCTGTAGGGGCATGATCTATACACTAAAACTGCTTCATTAAGCTAAAGTTTTTTGATGCCTAGTGTCCCTTTATTCAAAAATACTCAAAGTACATTAGTTGCAGTTACGAAGTAAAATAAATTGCACAATAAATTATTGATTGTGTAATGCAGAAAATGTGGTTTAACTTAAAGGGACCCTGCAGGTATCTGTGTACATTAGATGCAAAGTGTATGCTAGGTTAAGCTTATAGAATACGCGTTCAGCAATCTAATAGAAAGACAAAATAGGGTCAGGCTTGACTTCCTGGTTTTGTGATAACTCACTGCACAAATGGCAAATTTTGCAGCGAATGTTTTCAGTACTAAAAACCAGTTCATTTTAAACCCCAATACCTCATTAAAGAAACACAAATCATTGACCAAAAGGAGAGTAATGATGTATCTTATTACTTATAGGGACACTCTAGGCATCTTAATTAGTTCATCTAATTGAAGAGGTTATGGTGCCTTAAATCTCCAAGTGCTTTCCCATTATTCAGTTTCAAACTATTTCAACGGAGTATACCAACAGTTTGCTGCTCAGGCCAATGCTTCCACATTAATCTGAGCAGCAGTGGGTGAAAACCGCACAATGCTTGTATGAATTGGTAATAATCAGACCATCCAGCTGGGGGTGGAGCTACAATCACCTAGGGACCCTCATTCAGTGTCTAACCAATAGAGAACAGTTTGACATTGAGCAGTGGGAATGAGCAAGGGGAGATGAAGTGGTTATAGTACCTAGTGAATTCCTTTAATGGGATATTTCAAAGGTACAGACAGTACACTTTAAACTGCCCTCTACCAATCAAAGACCTCAAATAGAGGTGATGGAGTAATTAGTTTGCCAACATGTAAAAAGCATTCTATTCAGTTGATAACTAAAAAGGAAAGTTCAGTGTCTCCATGCGGAGGAAGCGTCTCTAGCAGCCATCTGAGGAGTGGCCAGTGGAGGTGTCCTTAGGCTGTAATGTAAACACTACATTTTCTCTGGAAAACAAAAATTTTCTGCAAAAAGCCTGCAGGGACTGATTATACTCACCAAACAAAGTACATTAAGATGTAGTTGTTCTGGTGACTATAGTGTCCATTTAATTAAGGGGACAAGACCCCCTTCTGGGTATGTCCACCCTTTGGTGGAGTCAGTGGTGCAATTTTCTGACCCAGCTAGCCCCTCCAACCAGTGTCCCATTTCTCTGGCTACCAAGTTGAAGGGGTATGATATATTAAAATTAGAGATGAGCTTCTCATTTCTTTTTTTTTTACAATCTTTATTTATCGTTTTTTTATGTTTTCTTGTTTCCAAGATCAGGAGGGGGTACAGAAATGGGTAAAGGGCTGGGGTCAAAGTGGTATTCAGGACACGCATTAGCTATGATTGACAGATACATGCACGTAGGAAGATATACAGTGGGTTTTTGACTTCATGCGGTTGTCTGAGGTTGGATGACCAGAGTAGCATTTATTGCTTGTTAGTGTGTTTCGTAGTGGCGTAGGTCTTTTGTGTCTTAGCTTTGTACATCTCACCCATGGTGGTTTTTTTAAAAAAAATTTGGGTTCTGTTGCATTTGACAGTGAGGGTGTACATGTCAGGTGTGAGACCTTGGGTGGGTCGAGTGGGCAGCGGGCCACGGTCGCGCATGGGGTGGTAACCGGCCACGTTTGTGAACCCACGTAACGGGGACAGGCGTGTTATCCGGGCCGTCAGTCCCGACCCATTCACGGATGGTTGGTCGCTATATGTGTAATGTTCCCTCTACCTTAGGCGATAGTGCTTAGGTCACCATGTCGCCCTTTGGGTGTGCCCATTATGTCGGGGTGTTGCCCGTGTGTAGGTTGGCCGGGCAGAGGCGCCCATGTGCTTGGGTCTATTGTAGCATCTGCTACGTGTGTGGTAATGTGCTGTGGGGTATCTAAGGCTCCTTGGGAGTTAGCGGCTCCGCTTCCCATCTGTGTGGGGCTCCGTCCACTGGCAGCTCCTTTGTCTGTGCACAATTATTTGCTTAATGTGTGTTCTGGTCTAGTTCAGGGTGTGGGGCGGTCATGTTGGGCTTGAGTCTGGGGTGGGGGTGGAAGGGAGGATGGAGAGAAGGAAGGGGGGGTATAGAGGTGGTGTAAAGATGGGGGGGGAGGGGGAGATGAGGGCCATGGCTTGAGTATAGGTTTCAGGGGGTTATTCAGTCTGCGGCAATGTACAGAAGCCAGGGGTCCACGTCAGGTTGCATTTCTCTGTGCGGCCTTGGAGGGATGCCGTCATAATTTCCATGGTGTGGATTTCTCCTACCCTATCCACCCATTGTTGGAAGGTGGGGGCAGCAGTCTTTTTCCATAGAGTGGGTATCAGGGACTTTGCCGCCGTTAGCAGGTGTTTCGTCAAGGATTTCCTATATGTTTTTAAAGACATGCTCGTGTGGTGTAGCAACATGGGGAGGGGTTGGAGCGGGAGCTCCGGATCCGATATTTCACGGATTTTGGTGTTGACCATCTCCCAGCAGGGAGTGATGGCCGTGCATGACCACCAGATATGAAGCATAGTGCCTCTCTCCTCCCCGCATCGCCAACATGTCTCTTCGATGTCCGGGTTCATGCAATGCAACACATCCGGAGTTCGGTACCAGGTCGTCAGCACCTTGTAGCTCATCTCCTGGTATTTTGAGCTAATGGAGCTTTTATGAGTGAGCAAGAATATTTGATCCTATTCTTGGGCAGTCAGGGTATCTCTCTCCCATCTCGCGATGAATTTCGGTGGCGGTCTGTTTTCTCCTTCCATAAGCATTGCGTACAGCCTCGAGATCCCCCGTTCCAGGTGTCGCCTGGTTGTGCAGTTTTTCAAAGGGATTGAGATCTCGGTGGAATTGTCGTTTGGATGCTGATGTGGAGTAGTAGGACTTGACCTGTAGGTATCGGAACAGATTGAGGGTCGTTGGGGTGGTGTCTGGGAGCAGGTCTGTTAGGGATTTGAGGGTGCCATTGTCGCACCATTGGCGTATGTAGATCCAGTCTGATAGAGTGAAGTTTTTTAGGTCTGCCGGTACCAGTCCTCTCCCTATGTCTGGGTTACAGGTGAGGGGCGTTAGCGGGCTGGAGTGAGTGGTCAGCTGTTGTGGGTATCTGAGGGTGTACCAAGTCTTCAGGGTTGCGTCGAGCAGGGGGTTGCCCGTCTTGAGGGCACTAAATGGAGTTCCCGTCCTCCATAGCTGCGAGGGGATTTTCCCCTCAGCCTGTATCACCTTGGCTTTTACCCAGAGTTTTTCTGTCGGTTGGATGTGCCAGTCGGTGATTCTCATTTCTTTTCACGTACTTCTTTAAAAACAAAGAAATATTTCCTTTCAAAATTGATGAAAAGTTTGTTACATTAAAATTTGTTCTGAGGTGAGAGTTGTCCTTTAAATCGCTGATAACTCACCATGATTGTATAGTTTTAGTTTTTTTGTAATAAATCATGAGTTGTCAAAAAACAGCAAAGCCAACAGAAACAGCAAATATTTTAGGGAATATATATATATATATATATATATATAAATATATTTTGGTTCAAATTTTGCAACTCCAAACTTAGTCTTTCACAAATACTAGCACAATAGGGCAGGCATAGCTTGGGAGTCAATTATTTTTTTAATTTACGTTTTTAGTGATATGTATAAATAAACCCATTCCCTTTTCTACACATCTTGCATTTTCTTCTTTAACTTTTTAAAATACATCAAGTATTCTCATAAAAGGCATTAAATAACAATTAAAAACACACACAAAAAAAAAAAAAACCACAGGTAAAATAGATATAGTGCAACATGTCCAGCAGAATATACCAGAGTATGTTCTACAATATAAAATCCATTATAGCATTGAGAGCTTGGCACTGCAGATGTTGGCGTCATGGGTAACGTAGCTCACACCATGTCAGTGCCAAGTGTTACCTAATAATTCAATAACTGCTATGTGGAAAACACACTTTATGCCCAAGAGACACAACGCACTCAAACACAGAAGGTTCTCATGTGCATAGTTTGATCCTCCATGAAGAGCATTTAACCCATCGAGTGCCACTTCGGGTGATACAGGCCAACTTAAATCAAAAACAGTTGATGCATGGGTAATATTTAGGCACAAATATTCTCAGAAGCATACAACACAAGACAAGTTAAACAAAACATGAAGTAATGAAAGTGATGCACACAGGCATTTCGCTTACAATATGTTTTTCATGCCAGCAAGATGGCCATTTGCAATTTTACATTGTTATATTCTTTTTTCTCTGCAGAGGTAACAGTTAAGATAAATAATGGTTGTGCTCCTAAGATACCAGCTGATGACAGAAATGGTTTAACTGCAAGGATGACCAAAATCGGAACCTTTACGCTTGTACACGGTTTCTGCGGAGGAGAGAGCTCATCCCAAGGTGTCCATGTAATATTTTCACACTGAACACACAGTTTGGACAACATAATATATGGCAGCCAGCGATTTGCATTCTAGCGGCCTAACTGACAATCTGAGTTTAGTGCTACAGATAGATATATTTTTTTAAATCACTGTAGTTCTAAGCCAGTGTCAATGTTAAAGGACCACTATAGGCACCCAGACCACTTCAGCTTAATGAAGTGGTCTGGGTGCCTGGTCCCTCTAGGATTAACCCTTTTTTCTATAAACATGTTTATATTAGGGTTAATCCAGCCTCTAATGGCTGTCTCATTGACAGCCGCTAGAGGCACTTGCGTGCTTCTCACTGATTTTCACAGTGAGAAGACGCCAGCGTCCATAGGAAAGCATTGATAATGCATTCCTGCGAGACTGGCTGAATGCACGCGCGGCGAATGCGCATTCAGCCGAAGAGGAGGCAGAGAGCTCCCCGCCTGGCGCTGGAGAAAGAGGTAAGTTCTCCCTCTCCATCCAGCCCGGCGGGAGGGGAACCCTGAGGGTGGGGGCACCCTCAGAGCATTATAGTGCCAGGAAAACTAGTATGTTTTCCTGGCACTATTAGTGGTCCTTTAAGTGTAGGGCCATGGCAAACATGCAATGTTGTGATAGTGTTCAGAGTTAGCATTGCATATTTGAAGTTGTAGTTCTACAAAATATTCCACCTTTTGGACTTGCAAGCAGAAATTGCAAACTTAAGCTTTTGGTTTGAATTGCATTGTCAAACAGCAATTTGTTTATGCTAAAAATAGCAAATTTAACAATTTACCATATTTTATTCTAGCAAAGGATGGATATCACCCAAAGCTGCCATCCAGTACACCTCTAAAATTCTAGAAAGAGAATATTTAATTCCAAAGCCTCAGACTAACTGGTTAGTAAACTGAATGCCCAAGTCTCACATTTTCTGTGCTACAATAACAATGTCACCATATGTAGTGAAGAAGGAAATAAAGATAACCAGTTACTCAAGTCTAATGAAACCCTTCCTAGGTTAATGTCTAGAGCAGGGGTCCTCAAACTACGGCCCACGGGCCGGATCTGGCCCGCCAGAGTCCTGAACCTGGCCCAAGCATTTAGGGCCACTCGATGGGCCCTATAGCTTCAGGGGCCCGGTCAGCACTGCGACCGTGCAATAGCGCGACCGAGCCACTTTAAAAAAAAATTGCAGCTGCAAGTAGTGCTGGGAGGAAGTGACAGCCGGTCACTTTCTCTCAGCTCCCTCCTCGCGGGAAGGAAGAGAGACAGGCAGCGAGGACGGAGGAGTCACGCCAACTCCCATCAGCCACAGCCACCCTCCTGCAAAAAAAAAAAAAAGAAAGAAAAATTAGCTATGTGTATGTATGTCAGTATGTCTGTCTGTATGTGTATTATGTCAGTATGTCTATGTATTTGTCTGTATGTATGTCAATATATGTATGTCTGTCTGTTTGTATGTATGTATGCCTGTTTCAGTATGTATAGGAATTCGTTCGAATTTTTTTCAAACTATAGTCTGGCCCCCATCCTTGTCTGAGTGACAGTGAACTGGTGCCCAATTTAAAAGGTTTGAGGACACCTGGTCTAGAGAATGAGGCACCCAGGAGCATCAAATTAAATTTTAATCAAAGAGACATTATCAGTTGCAATTTCTTTTTCCAAAAACCTAAAAGAGTCATCACATCACCTAGATGTCCAAATGATTTCCTAGACCTGGTCCAACCAAAGGCTAGCATCTTGTTTACAACCAACAACTATTTGTGTAATTGTGTTACCACCAAACTCATTTTATCTACAGAGTTGTAGATGCCAGAATGGACAATAATCCAGGGTTAACCTGTACAAGTATATTCCAGTGTATCAAGTATTCCATTATTTCAATATATAAATGCTTTGGTAGAATATCCACAGTTATTTGTATCAATTGGCTCGTCTTTGCATGATGAACTTACTAACTGTACGATGTGATGTGGACAGATAAAAAATAAAAAAATTTAAAAAAAAATAGAACAAAAAGGTTTCATTTTACATGATCCTATAACTACATATGCCAATAGATTATAAATAATAGAAAAACTAAAATATACGCCGGCGGGGACGTTTCGATGTCTCCTTCTCAAAGATCTTTTTGTTGTGTCTGTCTACTAAGTGACAGTCGTATTTATATAGATATCCATAGCCGATGGACCTCATTAAATGGTGTCACAGTATCCAATAAGCTGGATAAACAAGTCTTCTTAAACTAAGCCAAGTCTGGAAATCACCGTCCATCATCCAAAGTATTTCTGTTTCAAAGCAGGCTCGAAATAAGATCTTTGGTGCCCCGGTTTTATACACTTCTCCCTTTTCAGCAATGTTTGGTGCAAATGTTCCATCAGACATGAAATGGGAGACAGTGAGAAGCTATCTTCCTTTCATAAAGCTGTCAAGGACCCGATCACTCTTTTCTGAAAACCAGTACCCGGCCATGGCAGCCACAGCGCCAATGAAGATTGCAGTGAAAACCATATCTCCTTTTGCAGCTAGTGTGGCCAAGGCACAGATCACAACTCCAAAAAACATCTGCTGCAGAACCACAATCTCATCATCGGTGATGTCCTCAAAAAGGCCCTTCTCAGCATCATCTGTAAAGGTGGAGAAAGGAAACAAAAAATTAAAACATTATATACACACACACACAAAAACAAAGGTAGATAAAAACACTGTTGACTTGACCTGATAATGAAGCAATAGGCAAAACTGACCTTCGGTTTTGTCCCTTCTGCACATACCACCAATTCTAGAGAAGCCCTTCTGACACACGCAGTTATAGCTGCCCTGTGTGTTGACACACTCTTCATTGGAACCCTTGCACTTTGGCAGTTCAGTATCACACTCATCAATATCTGAGGATAAACAAAAAAAGTGAGAAATCATTTAAATAAATTCAGTTTTTTTTTTATTCTTTATTTTGTTGTGCAGGTTCAACATAAATGTCCATATTGCCACAACAGCTTATGCAGGCATACTTTGCAACATATATTAGTACAGTAGCGGCATTTATATACACATAGCACTTTTTACATATTAATTGTGTAGTTGTGGTGTCTTCTAGTGTTTCGGGCATGTCCAAGACCTGGTGGAGTCTGTGAGTGTGCCTTCTTAGGGTTTGTCTTAGGACAATGTGTTGTATCTTATGGGTCTGTGTGAGAACCAGCTATGGAGGGGTATTTTTGTACGTGTGGTATGAGGTCCGTGGGGTCTCCCCAACGTGACTGTCAGTCTAGTCCCTGGTGTGCGAGGGTGAGTCTTGTCGTGAATGGGGTGCACTTGGATGGTGTATGTCCCTCCCCAGGGATATCCTCCTGTCATAATGGATATGTTTTTAACTGTGTCTTCTATGTTCGTGTGGGGAGGTAAGTCAAATGCAGATGCGGTCAGTAGTGCACCCGGTTGTGAGTATTTGCGACCCCCGGTATAGGGTGCAGTGAGTGCCGCTGTCAATGTGTCTCGGGTGCGTGAAATCTACTTCGGGGAGACCTATACGGACTTTTGTGAACTAGGAAAAAGTCAATTTTGATCAACCAAAACTATATGGGAAGGAGGAACTTGGATGTTGGCCATGTGTAAGTTCTCAAGAGAACAGAGCAGGTTCATCTTGGGCAGGAGGCCATATCCCGGAGAGTGAGTTATCAGCAGTCTCTGGGGTTCTGGGGAGAAACCCCCTATTGCATTGTCTCCATGCAATCATTGTTAACAGGAGTAGTCCCAGAAGATTGGAAGTTAGCGAATGTTGTGCCCATTTACAAGAAAGGTAATAGGGAGGAGTCGGGCAACTATAGGCCAGTAAGCCTTACTTCAGTAGTGGGGAAAGTGATGGAAACCATGTTAAAGGATAGGATTGATGAACATCTAAAAACACATGGATTTCAAGATCAGAGACAACATGGGTTTACTTCAGGGAGATCATGCCAAACTAATCTTATTGATTTTTTTGATTGGGTAACTAAAATTATAGATCAGGGTGGTGCAGTAGACATTGCTTACCTAGATTTCAGTAAGGCTTTTGACACTGTTGCACATAGAAGGCTTATCAATAAACTGCAATCTTTAAGTTTGGATTCCAATATTGTTGAATGGGTAAGGCAGTGGCTGAGTGACAGGCAACAGAGGGTTGTGGTTAATGGAATATATTCGAAGCTTGGACTTGTCACCAGTAGGGTACCTCAGGAATCTGTACTTGGACCCATTCTCTTTAATATTTTTATTAGTGATATTGCAGAAGGTCTTGATGGTAAGGTATGTCTTTTTGCTGATGATACAGGGTTACATATGTACCAGGGTTGATGTTCCAGGAGGGATAAGCCAAATGACAAATGATTTAGGTAAACTAGAAAAATGGTCAGAATTGTGGCAACTGACATTTAATGTGGATAAGTGCAAGATAATGCATCTTGGACGTAAAAACCCAAGGGCAGAGTACAGAATATTTGATAGAGTCCTAACCTCAACACATGAGGAAAGGGATTTAGGGGTGATTATTTCTGATGACTTAAAGGTAGGCAGACAATGTAATAGAGCAGCAGGAAATGCTAGCAGAATGCTTGGTTGTATAGGGAGAGGTATTAGCAGTAGAAAGAGGGAAGTGCTCATGCCATTGTACAGAACACTGGTGAGACCTCACTTGGAGTATTGTACACAGTACTGGAGACCGTATCTTCAGAAGGATATTGATACCTTAGAGAGGGTTCAGAGAAGGGCTACTAAACTGGTTCATGGATTGCGGGATAAAACTTACCAGGAAAGGTTAAAGGATCTTAACATGTATAGCTTGGAGGAAAGACGAGACAGGGGGGATATGATAGAAACATTTAAATATATAAAGGGAATCAACACAGTAAAGGAGGAGACTATATTTAAAAGAAGAAAAACTACCACAACAAGAGGACATAGTCTTAAATTAGAGGGGCAAAGGTTTAAAAATAATATCAGGAAGTATTAATTTACTGAGAGGGTAGTGGATGCATGGAATAGCCTTCCAGCTGAAGTGGTAGAGGTTAACACAGTAAAGGAGTTTAAGCATGCGTGGGATAGGCATAAGGCTATCCTAACTATAAGATAAGGCTAGGGACTAATGAAAGTATTTAGAAAATTGGGCAGACCAGATGGGCCGAATGGTTCTTATCTGCCGTCACATTCTATGTTTCTATGTCTCTCAGGGTATCTTTCGTTGGTGCGGTGGTCGGGTGGGTGCCACTGGGATGAAGTCAGCTACCGCGGCCGGGTCCAGTCGGACGAGGTCCGAGTTTTCCCTGCGTGGGGGCGATAGTAGGCATGCTGTGCGCAGTTGAGAGTCCAGTTCAGGGTAGTTCAGAGCTCGTTAAGTGGTATTCTGATACGTGAAGGTGATCATGTTCGGTGTCCCCCATTTATATTGGATGCTCTTGTTCCTGAGGTGAGTGGCTGCATGGTCTTGCGCTATCCCATGGTGCTTTTAGTTAGGTCCTGAAAGAGGGACAGCGTGGCTCCCTCAAATGTCAGAGGGGTTTTCCCCCACGCGGCTGCCAACAGCTGGGCTCTGTTTTGCAGGTTTTGAAAATGGAGGATCAGGTCTGTATGTGCCGCAGCTGGTGCCGTTGCGGGCTTTGGCAATCTGAATATACCATCTAGTCGCAGTGCTTTTGCCTGTTTGGGCGGCAAAAGATCGGCCAGCAGGCGCCTGATGAAGTGCGGTAGGTCTACCTGGCCCATTGAATCCGGGATGCCTCGGATCTTGATATTATAGCGCCTTTGTTGGTCCTCAAGGGTGTTTATCCTGTTTGGTATGCTTTGTTGTGATTGCACCTCAGTTAATGCTTGTTCTAAGGATACTATCCTTGCGTCTTGGGAGGTAGTTGACGCCTCCAGCCGCAGGACCCTGGTAGTGACCCCCTCCACTGCATCTTTTATACCGGCCATGTCTGCTGCTATGTTGGTTCTGAGCTCTGCCAGCATGCTCATAAGTATTGTGGCTGTGACAGGGTCTTCTGCAGGGGTATGTGAGGGCCTTGGGTCGGGTGGAGGGGATTGTGCCATACCTTCTCCAGGATCTATGGAGAAATCATCAGATGAGAGTGAGTATCCGTCATCTCCCGCCGCCATCTTGTCCCATGCAGACTTTGCGAGCGTCGAAGAAGTTCCCCGATATCGTGTGTGGTCGGTTCTTTATCTGCTCAGGTTTTCTTAGGTTTGCGACCCATGGCTAATCCCGTGTCGGGTATAAGCAGTTGAGCCCGGGTGGACGTCTGAAATCGCCTTAACGTTTTGTTTGCGGTTCATGTCGGGGAGCTCTCAGTGAGTGCGACCGCTCTGCTCCGCTGCTAGCTCCGCCCCCCTGTTCATTTATTTTTTTACTACTGACAATTAATAAAAAGAAACACACAATATTAAGGACCTTTGGCCTTGTACAAGCCTAAAATCAATGTCACATCACACTGGCTGAAAACCACTGATCCATGGAATGGTGAATATATCCACAGGGAAGAGTAAAAATATGTGAGTGCTTTCACACGAATAACACATTTTACTTTTCTTCTTTAAGGAACCTTGAAAATGTCATTTGCACAAAAGATCTCCGTATGCCATAAGCCTACTGGTATCACCGGTGGTACTATAAACTATGGTGCTCGAGTTCTTTGGAAACTTTCAGAATCGTGACAGTGAAGATTTCAAAGAAAGGAGTAACAGGATTATTTTACTAAAGTGACAATTCAAAGTGAATTCAAGGTGAATTTCTAATTTAAGGTTGTATTTCTGGTTTACATATATGATAGAAGCATGTGATACCAGTGGACTAATTTGTACTCTGTGTATATCCAGTAAGCGCTGACATTCGGATTTTCGGGATAAAATATCACAGATCTGCTTGTGTACACACCATACAAGTTCCCACACTATCTCTGGTACACATTCTCAGACAGCCTGTGCCATAGACAGAATTATCTCCATTCATTGAACTTAAATGGAGGTATTTAGTAAATAAATAGAAGCCAATGTATGTATCTGCAAAAAAACTATAACTGATAAATATATCATTAAAAAGGGAGGTCAACGCTATTCATATATCCAATTTCATAAGAATAAGGTGCAGAAACAGAAAAGAAATACATAAACAGTAAAGTGAAGATCTAGTGATTTATAAAGGTCCTCACAACCCCGAGATTGCATTATTGTCCTCGGATACGTGGTTCACGGTTATATGTCTTAAATTACATGATATTTTAGGCTATGGTTAGTGCAAATGTCCGAGTATTGTAATAGGGTCAATCTTTAGTGTTTGTGTAAGGGCAGATCATGTAATTAAATCTATACAAAACCATGAACACACACATATATAAGCAGTTGTGATTTGTACAGCAAATCTTACCAAGACATTTGGCCCCATCTCTGTAATACCCTACATTGCATTTCTTACACCGGGCTGGTCCTGATCCCATGCAGCCAATGCATGATTTGTCACAGTCTGAAATTAGAGACAAAAAGATAACCAGAAAAGTGAAAGAAAACCATTGAGAAACATTCTTACTAAAGACCCAATGTTTGAAGGAAATTACTGCAATTACAAAAAAAATACAATAATAAAAGTCTATGCTGCTACTTTATTAGAAAATGAACAAGTGGAAACACCTGACAGGAGCACAATACCTACAAAGGGTTAAAATTGAACTTTTAGAGTTTGGGTGATGTCTAAATAACTATATCAGTATCTTGGTATTGGAGCACACATTTTGTTTACATGCAGCTAATTTGTGATAAAGCCAAACTCTATAATCTCAGTGGTAGAAACAGGATCCAGGGACTCCAATTATCTTCAAATTGTATTTATTTGGATAAGTAAGAAAACCTCAATGTTTCGACTCCTGAAAGAGTCTTTGTCAAGCTTGACAAAGACCCTTTCAGGGGTCGAAACATTGCAGTGTCTCACTTATCCAAATGAATACAATTGAAGATACTTGGAGTGCCTGGATCCTCTTTCTACCACCGATATCTACTCCCTGGGGCTGGTGCTGGCCCTGGGTCCAGTTTAGCACCTGCATTTTCACATGACTGGAGTGTGGTCCTTTTTTTTTCTCTTTTTGCAAACTCTATAATCTCGTCATGTGTATAATCAATCTCTGGAGGTTTATAAGGCACTATTTTTGATTCATTACTCATCCTCCTTTACAGACCGATAACATTTAACTCTGAAAGTGTAGATGTCATATTATATGAAGTTATATACATGTAAAGTTAGCTTTTTCTTCATTTGATCCCTTTTCGACTTCTCACTTAATTACATGAATATAAACAAGCAATATGATGGGTACAGACCTCGGCATTCATAGGATCCATCAGTATTAACACAGAACTGGTTAGATTTACATCGATCCAATTCTGTGCCGCACTCATCTATGTCTGAAAGATAAATTCATACAAATACTCAGTACTCTTACGGAGACGAAGTGCCAAATGTAGAACCATTGCTTTGGATATAATTATATTGTTAACATTTTATTATGCTAGAAGCATGGCAGATCAAAATGGTATTCTAGAAATTGGTGATTACATAGAGAACATACAAATATAGAAACCGATGTCATGATACTCAAACTGAGTAGAGCCAAGCAGTGTCTGAACAAAAAATAACATGTGATTAAAGGAACACTACATGTTTTACTTTCCATTTTTCCAGCACAGTGACTGACTCACCCAAAGCAGCCACCAATCTTCACCTTCTCTTCCATTAAATGCTTCAAGTAGAGATTGTAGCCGTATTAGTACAGTGAGGCAACACATAGAATTCAAAGTTGAGTTGTGATACAGGGGTCACTTTAACCCCGTATCACAACTCGACTTTGAATTCTGTGTGTCGTCTTGCTCAGAAATGCTTTAGACTTGAGAAAGGGAGGTTTTCCCGAAAGCATGTCATTAATTGTGTTAGCCCAATAAAAAAGGTATTACAAGATACAAATTTTTATCATTTTTTTTACATAAAATGCTTCACATAGAGAAGCATTAGGGATGAGAAATGCATGTGCAGCAAGAGTAAGGCTTGTCCAATTAAATGCTTCTCTATGATAAGCATTTGAGCATGTTCAACATCCTCAAGAGCAATGCGTAAGGATATTGAATGTCACACAACTGATTCAGACTCTGTTATAGCAGTGGAAGCATCCTCCACTCGATGTCAGGATATCTAAGCCCTTCAAAAAAAAAACAAAAACAAAAACAAAAAAACATTGCTGTATCTACAAAAACAGCAGGACTAAAAATGTCAGGGTCACTGCAACCAGACCACTGTTGAAATGAAGTGATCTGAGTGCTGAAAGTGGCCCTTTAAATTTCTAGATTAAAAAAAATAAAAAAAAATACATTTGATCCAGCAAACATCTGCTGCCCTAGGCATATAGTGGATAAAAAAATAACTCAGAAATCCCCCCAGTCTGGCGTGGACTGATATGTAGGGCTACTTTCAGTTGCAGCATTTTATTTTTTTCCATTCATATGCCCTACCTATTTTGGTGCTGCAACACTCCACTAGAAGGCCTGTGTATAACGCAGGACCATGCCACCCATTTCAACTCTGTACTTCACTTCAACTCTTAGAACAGGCTTATCTCATCTGCTGAAGAGTTTCAATAATAAAAAATATTTTAAATTAGAATCTAAGAAAATTCAGATTCAGACCAATGAGGCTACTTACCTATACACTTATGGTCATGTAAAAGCCAACCCTTCCTGCAGAGAATGCACTGGTCGTTGTCAGGGCCCACACATTTGCTGCATGCCTTGTGGCACTCTGCAAGTATAGACACAGAACTGAACAGCAGAAACCATACAAAAATTCAGACTTTACAAACGGTCACATAGTTTAATGCATTATGTTCCCACCAAATGGTAGGTGACCTTAGGAACTTACACTAATCACCAGTGGTCTGTGAACGATGGCTACATTTAATGGTGTTTTAGCCGGATGTCTTACTTTTACTTGGTTTATACACTTGGCATCAAAATTATAAAGAGAGAAATGTGCAGAATATAAGGCTAAATTATTCAAAATGTAATTTAGCCCCATAATTGTTCCCTAATCTAATTTGGAAGAAATTAATAAAAGATGTACTTTGAAATTTAAAAGGAATATGTCATCAGAATTAAAATTGATGAGATTAACTATGGCGATTGCAAGCAGTTGTCACACACGCACCCTTAGATTGCTGCACTCTCTCACAATTAATCACACTGACCGTAATATCGCATCAGCCTCACTCACATACGCCCAATGAGCTGCACACGGAGACACAGATATCTAAAAAGGTGGGCTGATGCAGAGCCTAGTGTTAGAAATAGCATCTGATCTCCCACCACTCTCCCAGTTGCATCAGGTCCAATAAGGTGACTGTCACTTCTTCCTGGTACTCGCAGTCAGGGAGAACCTCAGGAGAGCACTGGGAAATCTGGGTCAGTATTTTCTGAAATAGCAGGCAGAGAAAGCCCTTTTTGCTTGCAGAATCAGTAACTTGGTCAGTGAAAAGCTTTTGTTTCCCCTGACCAGCAGATATTACAATTCTTGAGACAATTTCTTAATTATGGGAACCTGCATTTGTCAACTACAAGCCTCACGTGCAGTGGAACTTTCTAGGACTCTTATCAGAAACTAGTGTGTATTTCTGTGTAGTCAGTCAGTCATAAACACAGATCTTCTTACTACTTCCATAGAACAAGATCCGAGCCAGATCCCGGTTTGAATGAGAATCAGAAGAGATGGTTCAGATTCCAAAGGAAACGTAGCAAAAATGAAGATTCAGAGATTTCACTTATATATTTCATAATCTATTATCTATAAAAGGAGCAGTATATCCTCCTTGCATTGTCCCTTTAAGTACCCTTTACAACACAGTTGAACATGCATTATCTCCCCTTTACATACCAGAACATACCAGATGGCTCTCAGTTCTCTCGTGCTCATAATATCCAATTGCGCAATCCATACAGATCGGACCACCATAGCTGGGGTAACAGTCACATCTCCCAGTGCCGGATCGGGTACCATCCCCGTTACATTTCCCATTTCCACTGCAGGGCAGCTCGGCACCACCAGGACAGGCTGTGATAGGAAAAAAAGAGCGATAATGGTGCAAAGAAATGTATCCAATCCATAGCTACAGCTATTGTAGCTCTCATGTTGAAGAATAACTATATTTGATTGGTCAGTCTCAGTCTATAGCAGAAGCAGTCAAACGCCATGAATATTTGCCACCTATTTATCTTTTGGTTGTTAGAGTTTATTGAAGTTGTAGTTTGCTTGAAGAGGGTTAATATATGGGTATGTGAGTCTTGCCATAACCAACTAAAGGACAACTTACAAGCACAATCTGGGCCAAATGTTCCTTCAGGGCAGCACAACTGCAGTGTGTCCATGCAAAGCCACTGGAAGAGATCAGGATTCTCCTTCTGCCTAAAATGTAAATTAGATGTGATAAAAGAGTGGCCTAAATACATCTGGCATCTGTAGTTAAATAGATGCTATTATTTAAGTAAACAAAACAAACTGTAAGCATTTCCCTTTTGACAGATAGAGTGTATTTGAGAATTATGCACACCTCAAGCATTTCTATTGGCTTGAAAAATATTGTACCCTTCTAGTAACTCACCTCTTCAACCACCAGTTCTCCAAGTGTTCATCATTAGCCTCCACCATCACGTTGCACTCAAAGTCTGACTTGTCACAAGCCGATTCGATCACCTCCAGAAACCGTGTCTCGCTGAATGCACACACACAAAAAAAAAATAACAATCTGTTCATAGAGTTGCATGCTATTCCCAGACAGAATGTAATACTACAGCACCACTTACTGATCAGAAAGAAAAGGGGAAAAAATACTAAATTAGAAGAGACAGTCAACAGATGGCTAAAGAGGCAGCTTTATCTCCCATTTTGCTTTGCTATCCTGGGACATGTAGTTCCTCAGAAGCTGGGGATGAAACAATTAGCCACTCCTGCCCTAGGCCAAGGGATTACATATACACACGCACACACACACACACTCGGTATGCATTTTAGTTACAGTAAATATTAATGGCCTCTCAGAGCTACATTGTCGCTGTATTTGAAAGCCTTAATTCAGGAGTTTGGGGTGAAAAGGTTCCTATTTCCCCACACCATAAGCTGTAGTGTGAGTGTAAACAGAGCAGGAGGCAGCTACTGACCCACTCTCCTCTCTGTCACCAAAATAGTAAAATGGGCTTTTAGAATGGCCCCCTCATTCCCAATGCAAACACAAACAAGGACCAACCTTGGGATCCATTTAATATCATGAAAAGGAATTGCTAGGTCTGACTTTTAATAACCCTCTAAAACCAATTTTAGGAAAAGGTATGCACAGTCCCCATAGCATAATACTAGCCACCACAAATGCAAGAAATGGCACAGTAGGTGACTATAATAGCTCAAACACCCGTGTGGTATCCCCTATACCAACACAAATAAATACATACAATACAAACACAATGGATGGAGCAATATTAATTCTTTCCTCTTCTCCAATATATTGCTGTGGAGATAGAGAGATATACAACAATAGTGTAAATCAATTACAATATATATTAAAGTGCAGTAGGTGCAAGGAAACACTCACAAAATTAGAGCCATAGGACCTGGCTCTGGTGTGGATAGCTTCTGGATCTATTATAGGGTGATCCTTAACCCTTCTGTCGCTGGTATGGTTTCCAATGTATAGAAGAGGATCCAAAAGATGGAGTGATAAAAAACTACTTTATTATAAAAAATATATACATAAAATAATGAAGGATAAAGTATATGTAGTAAATAGCAAGCCAATACGCGTTTCGCCAATTGTGGCTTCCTCAGTCAGCTTCCAGTATTAAGTCCAGTTATTGTCTTTATATAAGTCCTTATTTGATAATGTTTCGCGGCAAAAAACTGCTGTGGAACGCATGTATGCGTTCCATATCTTCATTTGCATCCATTTCCTCCCTTCCGGTCGCGCCGATACTGTGACGTCACTTCCGGGTTAGACGTCACTTCCGAATTCTTCCTCTGAGTGGAACGCACTAAGCGTTCCACTCCTTCTGATACCTCCGGTTTCTATAAGGACCTCTATGGGACGCAAAATTACATTTTAATTTCCCTCCTTCTGTTCATATGATTGGGCACTTCAATGGAACGCAAATATGCGTTTCAAACTCTTCCTCTTTTCCCTCTACACCATAGGATCTCATAAGTAAGGGCATAGTCAATTATATAAAAACATAAAAACATAATAAATTCATCTTTTGAACATATTGTTAGAATACAGCCATGTAGAGAAGTGCCTAATTCTTAAAGTGACCATGCTTATTTCATGAACAAAGTGCATATTAAAAAAAAACAGTGTATTTTTGAAAAACAGTGAGTTTTAGAAAAAAAGTGAATTTTAGAAAGACAATAAATATCTCTTAAAGTGACCATGCAGTTATTGTCATAGTGAATATGCAGGTGATAAAATGAATGTCTTAATGGGATATCTTACTTATATTCTATATAAAACATACTTTTGGTTTCATTATGTGTAAAAGTTATGTCCCTATTATCTCTTTTTTTATATTATAAAATCGTAATATATTAAAACTGTCAGTCGATTCATAAAAAATGACATAACTCAAAATCTTGATTAAGTCCATGTGGAATCAATGTTTTTAGATTATAAATACACTTCATCTCCTCCTCTCCGATCTTTTTATTAAAGTCACCCCCCCTCCAATCTCTATGTATTGCTTTTATTGCACAAAAGGACATATTTTTTGGATCTTTATTATGGTATAAATTAAAATGGTTGGAAACACTATGTGTCTCCAGTCCTTTTTTTATATTTCTAATATGTTCTTCAATTCTTATGTGTACATTTCTAATTGTTCTTCCTACATATATAAGATCGCAGGGACATTTTAAAATATAGATAACATTTTTGGAAAAGCATGCTTTTCCAAAAATGTTATCTATATTTTAAAATGTCCCTGCGATCTTATATATGTAGGAAGAACAATTAGAAATGTACACATAAGAATTGAAGAACATATTAGAAATATAAAAAAAGGACTGGAGACACATAGTGTTTCCAACCATTTTAATTTATACCATAATAAAGATCCAAAAAATATGTCCTTTTGTGCAATAAAAGCAATACATAGAGATTGGAGGGGGGGTGACTTTAATAAAAAGATCGGAGAGGAGGAGATGAAGTGTATTTATAATCTAAAAACATTGATTCCACATGGACTTAATCAAGATTTTGAGTTATGTCATTTTTTATGAATCGACTGACAGTTTTAATATATTACGATTTTATAATATAAAAAAAGAGATAATAGGGACATAACTTTTACACATAATGAAACCAAAAGTATGTTTTATATAGAATATAAGTAAGATATCCCATTAAGACATTCATTTTATCACCTGCATATTCACTATGACAATAACTGCATGGTCACTTTAAGAGATATTTATTGTCTTTCTAAAATTCACTTTTTTTCTAAAACTCACTGTTTTTCAAAAATACACTGTTTTTTTTTAATATGCACTTTGTTCATGAAATAAGCATGGTCACTTTAAGAATTAGGCACTTCTCTACATGGCTGTATTCTAACAATATGTTCAAAAGATGAATTTATTATGTTTTTATGTTTTTATATAATTGACTATGCCCTTACTTATGAGATCCTATGGTGTAGAGGGAAAAGAGGAAGAGTTTGAAACGCATATTTGCGTTCCATTGAAGTGCCCAATCATATGAACAGAAGGAGGGAAATTAAAATGTAATTTTGCGTCCCATAGAGGTCCTTATAGAAACCGGAGGTATCAGAAGGAGTGGAACGCTTAGTGCGTTCCACTCAGAGGAAGAATTCGGAAGTGACGTCTAACCCGGAAGTGACGTCACAGTATCGGCGCGACCGGAAGGGAGGAAATGGATGCAAATGAAGATATGGAACGCATACATGCGTTCCACAGCAGTTTTTTGCCGCGAAACATTATCAAATAAGGACTTATATAAAGACAATAACTGGACTTAATACTGGAAGCTGACTGAGGAAGCCACAATTGGCGAAACGCGTATTGGCTTGCTATTTACTACATATATTTTATCCTTCATTATTTTATGTATATATTTTTTATAATAAAGTAGTTTTTTATCACTCCATCTTTTGGATCCTCTTCTATACATTGGAAACCATACCAGCGACAGAAGGGTTAAGGATCACCCTATAATAGATCCAGAAGCTATCCACACCAGAGCCAGGTCCTATGGCTCTAATTTTGTGAGTGTTTCCTTGCACCTACTGCACTTTAATATATATTGTAATTGATTTACACTATTGTTGTATATCTCTCTATCTCCACAGCAATATATTGGAGAAGAGGAAAGAATTAATATTGCTCCATCCATTGTGTTTGTATAATACTAGCCACCCACCATTTCCAAGAGTGCTGTATACATTCACATGGGGATGGAGTCCTCCCAGCCCCTACCTAATCTGTTATCTAAGTGTCATTGCTCACCTGCCCTTTTATTTGAGCAATTATTATAGTTTCATTCCTTTGTTTATTAACTATTTACCTGCTGAGTGGGTATTTCTGAATGATAGAAATAGTTAGAAACTTTATTTGCAAGGTACTTTTAACACAAATCAGGCATATTCTGAAAAGTTCCAAAAACAGAAATCATGTGGATCAATTAAAAGGCAGTTTGGTACATTACACACAGGGTTATTAACTAAAGTGAGAATTCAAAGAGAACTTCACATATAAGGCCAGAGTAGCTGAACTTAAAGCATAGTGGACTTGGACAGAACTGTAAGAATTCTCTGACCGTACATTTGAAATTCACTTTGAATTCTCATTTTAGTTTATAACCCTGATAGAATAGTAAACCTAGCAAAAGTACCTCTGTAAATGTAGCATCCAAATTGTCTGGATAACAAATGCTAGGAGGCAGTCATTCCACCTCACCCTAAAGGTTCTCCACTGGTATGAGATAATATTGGAGTAATTGGAGGCTAGTGCCATGCCTGTAACCAGTTTGAGATGATTTGTGCTTTCACCATCCTGTAAAATATATACAATCAGGACTAATCCGTGGATTTACATGTTTTTCAATATTATGACCCTACCATCTGCAAGTCCCTAAGGAAATCAAGAATGGACACACACATCTTTCAAGTCTTTATGATTAAAGCAGCACTGGATGTTTTAGTTAATCTCACAATGCTCTTTAAGATCTAGGGCATGAAAATCCCAGGCCAGATGTTAGAGATTCTGAAACCGCAATCTCTGGTACTTAAAATGATAACCCAAACGGTCTAAAAATGTCACGCTTACCCCATTCTAAGAGTTAAATGAGCAGCAACTACAGTTCTTCGATGTTTGCACGTGTTTTATATATTGATTTGCAGGCACACAATTTGCTCTTTGTGTTAATATGCAGGTACAAGTAATGAAAACTTACACAATGTATATGTAAAACGTGCACACACAAAATGATGTGCGTGTTTCTTAATACATAGAATCATAAACTTTGTAATGTTCCCAAGACTTCAAAAAAGTGTTTTCTTCTTCTGTATCAGTAAACCAAATAATATCTTCCTGACCCCATACACATAGACTTGTTTTGCAAGTTCAGGTTTGGAACAGTCAAGAGAGAAAATCTTATAAAACCAGACTTTGCAGCTAGCCATTCACAAAAATAAATAAAATGAGAACATTGTAATCATGCACGTAATGCGCCCTATAGAATATACATGTTGTTAATTGTATTTGCTTCTGTTCCTAAGTGGGGAACTGATGCAAAACGCATCAGATGTGGCCCTTTTTTAATTAAAATATTTCTATTTTGAATTTTTATACAAGTCACGTATACAAAAAGACAATGTTATTTGATCATACTTAATGTCATCCGTATAGAAATCAATGCTTTTTAAAATTGAGCATTATGTAGACATACAAATAAAATCACACATGTCATGCACCCTAGATGTACAAAATGTCATTGATAAATGTTTCAGAGAAGGGTAGAGAGAGGTGAGAGAAAGGAGGGACTATTTAAGTTTTTGATCCGACAATAAAGAGGCTTGATGGTGCCAGTTTCAACTCCACTGCCGAGTACCTGGAATAAATTTATTTTTAAGCAAATTAGCTGCTGAAGTGTGGTATTGAAAGCCGAGAGAGCACCTGCAGTTTATGTTGGAGAGTTTAAAGGAACACTATAGTCACCTAAATTACTTTAGCTAAATATAGCCGTTTTAGTGTATAGATCATTCCCCTGCAATTTCACTGCTCAATTCACTGTCATTTAGGAGTAAAATCACTTTGTTTCTGTTTATGCAGCTCTAGCCACACCTCCCCTGGCTATGATTGACAGAGCCTGCATGAAAAAAAAATAAAAAAAAAACTGGTTTCACTTTCAAACAGATGTAATTTACCTTAAATAAATTGTATCTCAATCTCTAAAATGAACTTTAATCACATACAGGAGGCTCTTGCAGGGTCTAGCAAGCTATTAACATAGCAGGGGATAAGAGGATAAGAAAATCTTAATTAAACAGAACTTGCAATAAAGAAAGCCTAAATAGGGTTCTCTTTACAGGAAGTGTTTCTGGAAGGCTGTGCAAGTCACATGCAGGGAGGTGTGACTAGGGTTCATAAACAAAGGGATTTAACTCCTAAATGGCAGAGGATTGAGCAGTGAGGCTGCAGGGGCATGTTCTATACACGAAAACTGCTTCATTAAGCTAAAGTTGTTCAGGTGACTATAGTGTCCCTTTAACCGTTTAAATATTTTTTTTATTTTTTAAATGGTTCCTAGCTTTTGATGTCGACTCCTATATTCCAAGCAAATTTGTCACTCCCTGATCTAGGGTGCTCATAGTGTCCGCTTCACCTCTTGGTTCTATCCAGTAACGGTATTATTTCCTCTTAATATTTCTGACTATATAGCCGTGCATTTCTAGACATTAATGAGAATGATTTAAAATAGTCATATGTCACTGAAATTGTATATATTTGATAAGATAAAGAAACTCACGCTGCCATTGCTTAAATAACAAAAACAAGTAAAGTTTTCACTCCATCAATTGTTATTTGCTTCCCTCACTTCACCCAAACAAGAGCCAGATTTATAGGAGTTAAATCTCAGATCCCATATACCACACACTGAAGGCACAGAGAATAAACAAATAAATGTACAATCCGTTTACCTGGTCTCATATTTTGATAGTTTTTCCTCCTCCCATGCTGTGTTTCCTCCACCAAAATTCAATCCAGCTGTTTTCTCTATGCCCTAAAAAGGTACAACCAAGAAGCACGAATCAATAAGTGAATTGTGTCCGTGAAAAAGATTAAACTTGATGAATCTGACTGTTTCAACCTTGCCTGCTTAGGTCAGTTCATACCAAAAGGATTTGCATTCTTTCCCTGTGTTCCACGTTCATTTTTCAGTATGTATTCCCCATGTCTGTCTGTATTTTACTTGTTCAGCTGCAGGTTAATACATATTTAATATCCTAATATCCCTGCTTGATCTCAGGTGTTCGGTTTTATGGTTTGAGGTTTGTTACTGCCAAATGAACTTTAAAGACAACAAGCTAAAATCAGATGGTCATGTGTTGTGACTAAACTCCACTTCTTTACCATCCATACCGCATCCTATTTGAACAATGTGTATATTCCCCCCTCATTTCGGTCCTGTCCCTCTTCCTGGTCTTTGAATGTTTCCCCCCACTCTCCCTGTATGTGATGTCCTTTCCCACTGAATGCCTGTCACAAGTAGCCACACAAAGATGTTGGCTTAACCAAATACTGCTAAGTTTCTATCTTACACCAGTCACCATACAAGTGCTGTCACATCTTGCAATCCAGGATGATGAAAATAGACAAAAAAGGTCCCAAGGATTCTGATCATTATGCATATGAGCTAGATTCTGTAACATAACCTCATTATTCTAACTCAATAAATCTACAGAAAGAAAGTTAATGAATTTGACTGAATTGTTGAATTTTGATTCTAAGCTTATATATTAGCAATTTGATTTTCAGTTTATTACAATTCACTGTTTAGTGAACAAAAACTTGTTTCACATAGACTGCAAGATAGAGGTAGGAAATAAGAGCCAGGGACAGAATGCATCCTAAGTGAGCACAAATAATGTCTAAACATAAGCTGGTTTACATTGCCCCATCTGGTGTACCCATAAAAAGACTTCACCGTCAGTTCTTAAGGTAACAATTATATCATATGTCCTAGCCAAGGAGTATGTGTGCGCGTTTATGAATTTTTATTGTTTATATATTAATTTGTGTTTTTATTGACTAAGAAGGCTGCAGTCGGAGCACTATTTACCAATCACTCTGATACAAATACACAAACCAAATAAAACCCCAAAAAACATAGTGTGGCTTTTTCAATGCTGAACATCAGTATGTAGAGGCAGTAAGAAAATACAACACTTACCTTATGAATGTTGAAAACCAGGTTACGGCAGGTTTGACATGGCTCCTGCTTGCCAGCCCCGGGGTCACAGAACAACACAAGCAAAGCAACTCCAACTAGGCACCGCAGGGGGCTTCTTCTGGGGTAACCCATAGCGGAGAGATGTCACCATGGAAACCTGCACCAGCCAAAAATGTATAAAAGGGCGAGAGTGGATACAATGTAATGAAATTAGAGTTTTACATTTAACTGGTTACAAAAGCAACTGTTTACTGTTTACTTTGCATGAGGTGTATCTGTTAGTGGTCTGCTCAGGTCAATCTGATCCCTTGTGTCATTCTTTGAACACTAGGGTGAACAAAAAAAGGAAATAAAAATTAAAAGGGACCCTATAGTCACCAGAACAACTACAGCTTAATGTAGTTGTTCTGGGGAGAAAAATCATTCTCTGTAGGCATTTTAAAAAGGTAAACACAGTATTTTCATAGAAAAGGCAGTGTTTACATTGCTCCATAGAGACGCCTTCAGCGGCCACTGGAGGTGCTTCATGGGTCAGTGCTGCACAGTGTGCAGCGCTGCCGTTCAGCGTCTCCATGCGGATTTTTCCTCATAGAGATGATTGAATTCAATGCATCTCTATGAGGAGGTGCTGATTGGCCAAGCCGGCATTTGGCCCGGCTCCACCACCTTGCCGATTTTAGCTAATCCAATGATCTTCCTGTGGGAAAGCATTGGCTTGGCTAAAAATCATAAATTCAGATGATATCAGCACGAGGCAGAGCCAGTGGACTCGCGCGGCACTGGAAATAAGGTAAGTTTTATTACATTTTAAAGTGGTTAACAGGGGGCAAGCCAACTAAATGGTGGTTTTAACGCTATGTGCTCCTGACCCAATAGTGTTCCTTTAAAAAATAAAATAAAGTCACCCTCTCCTGTTGGTATTTAATTAAACCCCCACATTTTGTCTGCTCCAGCTGTTTAAGAACCTTAAAGGGGCACTCTAAACATAACAAGTACAGTGTATTTGGGGGATGGTGCCAGGAGTCTCCTATCACCATTACCACTACAATGTTTTATAATTGTCATGGTGTTTAGCCTGTCACTAACAGCTGGGGCTACAATTTACAACTTACTCTAATGCCTATTCACGTTACTATATTATGGGATTTTTATGGAATGGCATTAAATCTAGTAATCCTCTTTTCTACAACAAAAATATTGATGCTTACTGAATCAACCATGAGAAAAGGTCAAAAATAAGAAAATTAACAAGCGCAGGCACAAAGATTTAGATGCACCTCAGTGCTGTATATTTAACGAAGGACATGCAGAACACAAAGGTCTTGGGTCACAGACCCTTTATCAATGTGAAATGACAAGGGCATTTGCCATGATTCTATTTACTATACGTGCAAGGTGTGTCGCCTGGAAATATTTTGGGAAATACGGAAAACCCCTTTCCATAAGTTGCAAACCAGTGCCAAGTTAAGCGAGAAGAAATAGGCCTGTGGTAGATGTACTGGTATGGTTTGCAACAAGTAAAGTAGTCTGGGCAGAAGGTTCGTTTTAGATAATAGAATATAAAAACGTCCAAACCAAGAGAAATGTGGTACCGACCAGGCATTTGTATCGTCCTGAAATCTGGTTAGCATTGGTAGGAAATTAAGCCAGAAGAGTTTTTTTTGTGAATCCTTATGAACATGCACCCTTAAGTACCTGAAGTGAAAATTGCATGAAGAGATGTTCTGCCTCCGGAGTATTGACAGAGAGGTTGAGCACCTTTGATTTATCCAAATTTAGTTTTGTTTAAAGTTGTTCGACGTAGAAAATTAGGTTGTCAGGATATTTGGAAATTTTATGTTCAAACTCAGCGTACTGAAAATGTCTGAATATCCCAGTTTTGCTGAATGGCTTCCAAAATAGCCCCAGTGTAAAAAAAAATAAAAAAAAAAAAAATAAAAAAGAAGGGTGAGATGGGACATCCCTGGCAGGTACCATTTGAGATCTTTACGGGTCTGAGAGACCATCTGTTAATTGTCACCTTTGCTGTTGGAAGGGAGTCTAGTGCTCGGATGCGTTTACAGAAGTTCTACCCCATTCCCATCTTACGAAGGGTTAGGTACAAAATCTTCCAGTCCACCCAATCGACAGCCTTTTCTGCATTCGTAGAAAGGAGGACCAGACGGCATTGTGATAACCTTGCTAATGGCATGCTATTAAAAATTATTGTGTTAGCTTTAGCTTCCCTTCAAGGTATGAAGCCACTCTGAGCAGAAAAGGGAATAAAGACCCTCTTTTAAACGAGAAGCAGGATTTTAACATCACAATACAGCAGTGACATTGGTCAATAGCTGGAGCACAACTCAGGGCCTTACCGTGATGTGTGCAGTAACGGGATCTCTTCCCAACATTCCCTGGTGAAGTAAGGTGTTAAAAGAAGCAAATAGGCACAGTTGCAGAATTTCTCCAAATACTTTGTACTATTTGTGTGTGTAAAAACCTGTTAGGGCCAGAAACTCTTCCTGTTCTGTAAAACCATCTCTGCAGCTGATGATTCAGGGTGTATGTTGTATAGGTCGATATATTAACAGTGAAATTACGCTTCAATTTCCTGTGCAAAGGAGGTAGGTTTGTTTGCTTCAGGTTTAATCTGGTGTATGAAATCGTTGCGGTCTCTTCCACATGTAAAACCAACATTTGTTGGAGTATTCATAGAACATGTGTTGTGATTTTTTAAGCAATAATGTTTTTGGAGTGACCAAAGTCTGCTGTGCCAAGAGGAGCGTGCAACTATGTGGTTCAGATAGTGTTTTTGTTTAGTCTCAAGATCTGCTATTTTTTATTTTAAAGATTGTCTCTTGAATCTTCTTACAACATGAGCATATCGAGATGAAACGTCCAAAGGCTATGCATTTACAAGCTTCCCACATTATCACTGGGGAATTTTCTTGATTATTGTGGTCTTCGAAATATGGGGTGTGCGAGAAACTAACCTCTTGGATAATTTCTTGGCCTTGAAGCACAGACTTATTCAAATCACCAAATCCTCGCAGTTGGTCGGAATAGACGGATGGATGCCGGGGAGTGATCAGACCATGTTGCAATGCTCCGCATCTTGGAGCAGGGAATGGAACTCCTGGACAGGAGCAAATAATCTATTTTGGAGTATGTGCCATGAACCGTGGAGTAACATGTAAAATCCCTGCAGAAATCCACCAGATGCAGATAGGACAGTGAGTTGTATGTAGGCGGTGATACAGTGGCACTTGGGCCACGCAGTTTGTCACCAGGTGTGTTAAAATCATTTCCCACATTCAGAACCTCCTCCTGGACGTCAGCTAATTAGGCAAGTGTGGCTACAAGGAAGGTATGCTGAAAAAAACTCCAGGGATGAAGATAGAAGCAAAAGGTGTAGAGCTGTGCATTAATGTGTCCTTTGACAAACAGATGGAATGGAGAATTTTTAGTACACATGGTGATAACCAAAAACATCCTTGGAACTCCAAGACGATCATAGGAGATGCAGGACAATAAATAAATCTACGAGCTGGGAAATCTGGTTACATCTGCTCCTGTTTATTCTGTTATCCCCTCCCCAGAGTAAGATAAAACTATATAATGATGGCGCATAATGCTCATCATTAACAGGCAGGCACCAATTTTCAAAAGCTTTTCTTATACTTCTAAAACCAACGTTCTTAACGACTGGGATATTGATTGGTGTCTAAATGTACTATTTGCTCCCAGTTCTAGGAATGAGTCACGGTATGGGCAGAATGCTCTTTGCTGTTTAAGTATTTATTAGCAAGCTGGAACAAAACAGGATATTAATTGCTAGATTTAATGGAAGTAGATAAGGAAGCGGCGGTCACCTACAAATGAATATTTAGATGTTTACTAAATTAACTGGAAATGGAGCAAGAGAAATGCTACTTTTTAGGCCAAAATAGTTGAGCTTTTTCATTTTGGTTTTCATTTAGAAACCCAGGGGCAATATTCCACACAATAAATAAATAAAAACACAAATGCAGAAAACAGCAGTTTATTAAATAATCTCCTAATGGAAACTGAAGTATACAATGTTACCATAGTTTTATGCAAACAGCCTTTGCAGTGTGTTTCCTAAAATACAAATGGAAGCACTATTTATTTTTAGACATTCAGTTAAATAGGTCTCATATGACCTGCCAGTGTATTGACCCACATATTCATAATGTGGGTTGTAGAATGGGAAGAGACGAATTGTAAGAACCTAAATAATGCAATGTAACAAAGGATATACTGGTCTCTGGAAGACAGGAGGACATATGAATAAATGTTTCTCACATTCATCATGTATTAGGTTTAACACCTATTGTTTGTTGGTTTAAATCAGTTTTGGTGTCATGCGAACATATTAAGTGACAGAATACACATTTCTGTCAGGATTATGAAATTTATACACACACACACACACACACACACACACACACACACACACACACACACACTGTAGTGCTGAACAAAATGAAAACAATAAAACCACAAAATATACATATAAAATATATATTTATGCAACCAGGAATCATGAAGAATTGAAACTTCAACATCTAGGCAAATATGGACAAATTCTTTCAAAAAGCAAACCAAACCTTATTGTGGCCTATAATCTTTGACCAGTATTCCAACATTAAATCACTAGCTTTTTTTTTTTTTTAATCGAAAAAGTACAATATATTTTTGAATTTAATATTAACAACCTGGTGGGATCCTTCCATTCCTATGCAAATCACAGAGCAATTGAAAAGGTCTACTGGGAAATGAATCCCTCAATAAAGGGTTAATTCTTCATTCTTACCTGCTCCTCTAGCATTCTCATTAGAAGAACTTACCATCTACATGAGGTAATCATAAAACACAAATCACATCAAGGAATATATACATTTTAGAAGTTTAAACGCTAGAATGTAGGAACCTTCACGGAAATGATAGCTAATATTCACCAAATAATTACATCAGCTAAACTGACAATTGAAATGCAAATCATAGCCCAAGAAAAAAAATGGAAAAAATTATAGTCAGCTCAGCTAGTTTTAGAACCCTGCTGTCTTCTATACTTAAACCAGCAATTAAGTAGAATTCACAAAAGGATTGAGGAATCATAGGTTAGAACAGCAAATATCTCTGCCATTATTTTTTAAATTTCCTTGTTAATTCTCCACAATTCTTGGTTTAAGGAATAAATATTTGCCATTCTGGCCTACATTCTGCAACTCACCATGCAATGAACAAAACCATTACTCAGCTCTTTTACCTGCACTAAATGCAGAGGAGCAGGAGGTCACTTGCACCATGGGGCACACGCTGACTTCATTTTGACAACTACAACACCAACATCTATCCTTGCTCTCAGTTTTGGCATGCAATAATCAGTACTATGGGAGAGGTAGTCCACTACACCTGGAGTGCCATGCACTAGACTAGTCCATTGTACCAGTCCCAGTGGCTACAAACAGAGCAGTCCCAGCCCTCCCAGCTCTCTGTTACTTACATTTGCAATAAAACAACAAATAGCCAGCACATCACTAGTCAGCCTGGTCTCTGGGGCACATATGGCTGGCACATTAGTAGTTAGCTCTTGGCACAGCAGATATTCCTGGGGTGAACCCCCCATAGCTCTGTCTAAGCACCATGGCAGGTGTGGGTTACAGACAGCTGTGCTGCCAGAATTGCCCATCTCTGGTTTGGTTTTGGACTACTGCCCCCACAATGCTGAGCCAGACATGCAAAGAGCTGGCATATCACCAGGCTGGCACAGCTAGGGCACTGACTGTCTGTGGGTGATGGAGCAGATACAGAGCCCCCTCCCTCTCTCAGTCAGTGTGTGTGTGGCACAGGGCTGGCATATGACCCTGGCTGAGACCTACCTCCAGGCGGTGAGTGGCCCCCTGCAGGCAGGGTGTGTCCTGCGGCTAGAGGTGGCTGGCAGGCTGGGCTGACATGCAGACGGTGCGATGCTCTGCTATATTATCCGCAAGCAGCAGCGCTTCCCAGCATGCACCACGCGCTCCCCCCCTCTGCAATCAGCAGCTGGCCGCCAGCCACGTCCGCCCATTGGAGGAGCTCTGTGGGCCAATCCGTGGCGGCCATGTGCAGTGACGTCACCCGCTGTTAAAGAGCCCGTGCGGCTGTCAGGGAGAGCAAGGTTCCAGGGATCTGGTTGCATGGCAGCTGGAGCGCGAGGGTCTCGCCGAACTGCATTCTGGGTGGGGGAACTGCTGCCAGATAAACTATTTATGTCTTGGACACATATCATCTTTCTCATGCTTTTAGGCCCTGCGTGAAAAGTGCTGCCATGCAGTACATTAATAAAGGGTGGATCTTAAATGGACTTAAAGCAGCATATCAATGCTTCATACTACAGGGCAGCATGTCAATGCTACATACTACAAGGCAGCATGTCAATGCTACATACTACAAGGCAGCATGTCAATGCTACATACTACAAGGCAGCATGTCAATGCTACATACTACAAGGCAGCATGTCAATGCTTCATACTACAAGGCAGCATGTCAATGCTTCATAATACAGGGCAGCATGTCAATGCTTCATACTACAGGGCAGCATGTCAATGCTTCATACTACAGGGCAGCATGTCAATGCTTCATACTACAGGCAGCATGTCAATGCTTCATACTACAAGGAAGCATGTCAATCCTTCATACTACAAGGCAGCATGTCAATGCTTCATACTACAAGGCAGCATGTCAATGCTTCATACTACAAGGCAGCATGTCAATCCTTCATACTACAGGCAGCATGTCAATCCTTCATACTACAGGCAGCATGTCAATGCTACATACTACAGGGCAGCATGTCAATGCTTCATACTACAGGGCAGCATGTCAATGCTTCATACTACAGGGCAGCATGTCAATCCTTCATACTACAGGCAGCATGTCAATCCTTCATACTACAGGCAGCATGTCAATCCTTCATACTACAGGCAGCATGTCAATGCTACATACTACAGGGCAGCATGTCAATGCTTCATACTACAGGGCAGCATGTCAATGCTTCATACTACAGGGCAGCATGTCAATGCTTCATACTACAAGGCAGCATATCAATGCTTCATACTACAAGCCCTATTTTGGGGCTTATCTATATTATTGTGTTTTTCTCCAACACACATTACCCTGATCCTATAAGCTATTTAGTGACTCTATAGTATTTTAATCTTCGGTTTTAGTCCAGCCTTTGGCAGACATAGCTCATATAGCAATCACCATATATTCTCCAGGTACCACTGACCTCTCTGAGCCTAATTTACCCTTCCTTGCTTGGCAGCCTGTGGCTACCCTGCACATAACAGTTGAGGCTTTTCTCCCTCGGGTATTATTGTACTTATTTCATTTTTGTGGTTTGTTTTCTGTAACTAATGTAAAGTGGCGTACACACAATCCATTGGGCCCCGGTGCAAAACTGATCCGTGGGCCCCCCTTCCCCTCCTGATCCATAAGCCCCCCCCCCAACACATACGCACAGACATACATACAGACACACACACATACACACAGACAGACACCCCCGACAGACGTACACACAGACACATACATACACATTGTAACGGCTACCCAGGTAGTAAGGGGGTATCAGCCGTTGGAGACGTCCTTTTCCTGGCAAGCTGCTGTGTAGTAATGGAGTTCTAAATCCCATCCACGAAATCCAAGGGTAGAGTCAGGCATAGCTGAAACTGGAGCAGAGTAACAGTACAATAAATCCCCTCCAAGAACGAGACGAGGCTACATTTTGAAGGGTCAAGCAGAACTGATGTTTATTGACAGTGGTCTCCTTTTATGCAATGCTGCCCTGGAAAGGGCTACACCTACATAATTAACACAATAACAAATCACATACATGGTACAACCCCCACGTCTCCTCCCCTCAGATAAACATTTAACATAATTAACACACACACAATTTTACCCAAGTTCTGGATGTACCCCAAAAACAGGGGGTACATCTTTAAATCCAGTATCCCCAGATAGCCCTGGTTTAGGGGAACAACATATCCAAAATCCAGCTCATTCGGTTAAAGGGTTCGGGAGTTATGGATCTTTGAAGTTTTGACCGACCGCACAGACTTTCTAGCTGAAAATAGTTCCACAAGTTTTGGCCTTGCGGTCGGTCACCGTTCGTGCATTAAAATCCCACGAAACCCTTGCCATCCACAGCTATCTCGGTGTTCGCCGGAATCCCCATGTAAGGTTTAGTCTTTCTACGTTGTCCTGGAGGTCTCAGCGGTGTTCGCCTGTTTGCGTATCCGTTTTTAGTTCCAGGCGATTGCTGGCAAACACCGCTGTTCGTGCGTAAGATGGCCGCGAACACGTGTAAAGTCCTGAAATGGCGGCCACCTATGCTTAACACAAAGGATTCGTGCTGAACCATGCGAACGGCGGAAATACTGCTGGGAGGTAAAGTATCACTTAATTGCACACCAGGGTGGTCCGGTGTTCGGTAGTTTGGATTCATTCTTGAGTAATAGTGATTCACATGCAACAAGCAATTCGGTACTTTGTATATCCATCTGTATTATTATTAAGGGTGTCCAGGCAGAATTCATAGTTCCGTCACACAAACAGACACATAAACACAGACACACACACACATACAGACACATGCATACATACACACAGACACACATACAGACACACCCCCCCGACAGACATACAGACAGATAAACACAGACAAATACATACATAGAGAGACACACACATACAGACATATAGACGCACACATACATACAGAGACAAACACATACACACAGACAGACACACATATACATAAAATGTTTAAGTCACCCTCCTGTTTCCTACCTTTTGCAGGAGGGTGACTTTCACTGGGGTCCAGTGGTGGCTCAGCCGGGCATGTCACTCCATGGGGTCCAGTGGTGGCTCAGCCTGATGGGAGTCTGACTCCCTCCTCTGCTTCCTCCCGCGCGGCTCTCTGATTGCTGGGAGGAGTGACCGGGGCAGTCACTTCCACTCAGCTCTGTTTGATGTCATCACAGGGGGTCCGGTCACGCTGTTAAAGCGCCGCAGTGCTGACCGGACCCCCTGACACTCCATCTCCATTGGGTGGCCCTTACAGCATGGGCCACCCGATGAGCCCCTTCATGTGCGGCCCCGGCGGTTTGCCGTGCGGGCTGGGGACGCAACATATGGCGGTGGGTACACAGTCGCAGGGCGGCCTGGCCCCATGGAGTGACAGGCCCGGTCGCAGCTGCGACCCCTGCGACTGCGGTATGTATGCCAGTGCTAATGTTATACAATAAAGGTTGTTTTTATATTCACTGCCTTCCCCTCCCAAACTGCCTTAGTACACTTGGGCAACCAAATACGTGATTAAATGCATATATGGTTGCTTTTTAATGTGTTAAATGCTATTTTTGTTATACAGTTTATGCATTAATTATAATTGCTCGCTCGGCAATGTCCTATATATGTGTATTTTTTATGGTTGTCATCACATGTTTAAGGACTGGTCTCCAAAGGCTAGTTCTAGTTCAAAAATAAAGATTTCTGGGGGGCTGGTCCTGGCAGCCAGCCAAGCAGGTTTGCACATAGCTGGAGCTCTTCAATTTTAACCTAAAATTCTGCTGTTTCACCCACAAAATTGTTACCATTGTGCCTGAAAACCTGCTGCATTACCAGAGGAATCATCCCCTGGGTGAAAGGTGTGGGCATTTTGGGTGTTGGAGGTGGTGAACTCATCCGGACTGCATTGCGGCCTGTCAGAGACTCTGAGTCAGAGGAGGTGACCATGTGATTAACTCTATCGACTCAGTGGTATTCGCCTCTCGTATACCATCTACAATTCTACTTTATAGCATTGTGACCTATCTTACTGTACACTCTGTTAGAATTGTGCTTCTACTGTCTTCCAATAATCATTAAAAAAGTTTCTCCCGCAACCGGCATAATCTCCCTGTAATTTACATAAAAGGCCCTCAAGACAGCATTAGAGATAGGCGGGCGCAGGGCGCAGACGTAGGGGCTCCGAGGTAACCCACCCAAAACCCCCCAACACCCTCCCTACCACCCCCCACCCAACCCCTAGCCATGCTCACATGAGACACCAGGACACACATACACAGGATGGCATATATGCCAGAACCCTTCCACATAATCACACAACACTGCAGAGTCCTGAACACACCTGAAAAACAAGCTCACCTCCTTCAAGACCTCAAATGCCGCCAAGTTTCGATCCCTCTTACAAGAAACACACCTTAGAGACACCGACACTCACAGACTACAAAACAAACACTATAAAATCACTTTCCATAGTAACCACCCAACTGCACGAAAAGCGAGAGTCTCGATCCTCCTCAGCACCGACCTACATTTCTCCCACTCTGAAACGCTCATGGACCCAGACGGCAGATACATATTTGTGAAAGGAACGATAGTCCAGAAAACCTATACGTTCGCCTCGTTATATCCCCTGAACACTAACCAGGTCAAGTTCATTTGCAAGAGGCTCTCAAAACTAGCCATCTTCACAGAGGGCATTTTGATACTGGGCGGAGATTTCAACCTGCCACTGGACCCAACAGCAGACACCTCCACTGGGCACAACACAATAGCACAAATGGCAATCAGAAAAGATTCGCAAAACACTCCAAGACATATGACTGGTCGATACATGGCGAACACTGCAACCAGATGGCTGAGACTACACCTACTACTTGACTCTCCACAGACACTACTCACGCATAGACTATATCTTCATACAACAAGAGGGCCTCACCCACCTACAGACAGCTGACATCAGGCCATCCCCCTGGGCTGATCACAGTGAAACCTCCATACACCTAGACTCCCCTTTCTTCCAACCCACTCGAACTACAGTGAATGAATCCAGGAGGAGTGAATGAATCACTCCTCCTGGACACTGCTGTCCAGTCACAACTGACCAAACACTTTAATCAATACTTCGAAGAAAACGTCACGGAAGATGTATCAAAGATAACGCTCTGGGAGGCACACAAGAGTGTACTCAGGGGACACTTTATGAGAATCGCATCACGTAAAAAACAAGACAACCTACGAGAAATCACAGAACTAACGGCCCAAACAACGAAACTCGAAACCCTTCATAAATGTAGTCAACTAGATGCCCATTACCGGGAACTGCGCGCAGACAACTCACGGAACTCATAGATCGCAAACACCACAGAGCATTACAACTCTCCAAGGCCTTTTATTACATACATGCCAACAAAGGCTGCAGACTGCTGGCCCGCATGATACGGGGACAACAAGCAAGAGCCCAGGTGCCAGTGCTACGAACCTCAAAAGGCCATCTCACGCAATTCCCAGAAGAAATAGCAACGCACTCACGAGAGAAGAAGCAGAAACACTAGAAGCACAGATCACCGAAGATGAATTTACAATTTACTTTGGCCTTTTCAGCTGCTTAGTTCTACCTCTGACAGACACTGGCACTGTATTGCATTGTAGACAGCATGTATACATCCTTCCTATCTGTGAACCAAAGGGCCAGCACCTTATCGTGGCGGAGAGCTGAAGTGGAACCTCTACTGCTTCTACATCTTGTCAGGGTCTGGGGGAAACCTCTGCATGCACTGTGCCACACAGCAGGGTTTCAAAACATTTTTTTTATTATTATTTGTAACAGGACTATACTTTCTGCCTGGACACATTTACAATAACACAGATGGATTTACAAAATACTGAATTGCCTGTTTCATGTGAATTACCATTACCTGAGAATGAAGCCACTATGTGGGAACTGATCCTTCCCTTGGTAAATAAGGGTTACAAGCTATGGGTTATTATACCAGTATAGAATAATGTAATGGCTACCCAGCTGGTAAGGGGTATCTGCCGTTGGCGACGTCCTTTTCTAGGCAAGCTGCTGTGAAGTAATGGAGATCTTATTCCCATCCATGATATCCAAGGGTACAAGCAGGCATCACTGTAAAATGAGGCAGAGTACGTAGCCCCTCCAAGAGTACGTAGCCCCTCCAAGAACGAGACGTTTTGAAGGGTCAAGTAGAACTGATGTTTATTGACAGGGGTCTCCTTTTATGCAATGCTGCCCTGGAAAGGGCTACACCTACATAATTATCACAATAACCAATCATATACATGGTACAACCCCCACGTCTCCTCCCCTCAGATAAACATTTAACATAATTAAAACATACACAATTTTACCCAAGTTCTGGATGTACCCCAAAAACAGGGGGTACATCTTTAACTCTAGTATCGCCAGATAGCTCTCATTCAGGGGAACAACAAATCCAAATTCCAGCTCATTCGGTTGAGGGGTTCGGGAGTTATGGGTCTTTGAAGTTTTGAACGACCGCACAGACTTTCTAGCCGAAAATAGTTCCACAAGTTTTGGCCTTGCGGTCGGTCTTCATTCGTGCATAAAAACCCCACGAAACCCTTGCCATCCACATTCATCCCGGTGTTCGCTGGAATCCCCATGTAAGCTTTAGTCTAACTACCGAACGGCCGGTTGTTCGGTAGTTCCGGCACAAATCTATGGTGTCACGGAGGTCTCAGCGGTGTTCGCTTGTTTGCGTATCCGTTTTTAGTTCCATGCGATCACTGGCAAACACCGCTGTTCGTGCGTAAGATGGCCGCGAACACGTGTAAAATCCCGAAATGGCGGCCATCTATTCTGAGCACAAAGGATTCGTGCTGAAACATACGAACAGCTGAAAAGAGCTGGGAGGTAAAGTATCACTTAATTGTTCCCCTGGGTGGTCCGGTGTTCGGTAGTTTGGCTTCATCCTCAGGTAATGGTAATTCACATGAAACAGGCAATTCGGTATTTTGTAAATCCATCTGTGTTATTGTAAATGTGTCCAGGCAGAAAGTATAGTCCTGTTACAAATAATAATAAAAAAAATGTTTTGAAACCCTGCTGTGTGGCACAGTGCATGCAGAGGTTTCCCCCAGACCCTGACAAGATGTAGAAGCAGTAGAGGTTCCACTTCAGCTCTCCGCCACGACAAGGTGCTGGCCCTTTGGTTTACAGATAGGAAGGATGTATACATGCTGTCTACAATGCAATACAGTGCCAGTGTCTGTCAGAGGTAGAACTAAGCAGCTGAAAAGGCCAAAGTAAATTGTAAATTACAGCAAGTAGACTTGGCTTATCATGTATACAGCCCTCTGAGGTGAACTGAAAACATAGGACCTTGTACAAGAAAATTGCAATCTATCTGAGCCAATTTGTAATTTTCAGTGCCCATGTGCTCTACAAAAAAGAAGCCATAGTTACACCCTACCCTTTCTTTAATTTTATGTTGAAACTTTTATCCAATGTGTTATTTACCCAGCCCCCAATTCTCCCACTTTGGAATCAGGAGACGTCCAAAGACTTTGTGGCAAGCATTTCTCTTCCCGAATCTCCCCACACCCTGTGAAAGGTTGCCTTAGAGAAAGTGTCATGTTTGCTACAAGAAAGGAGCCAGAAAGGACTCCAGTTATTACTGCCCTTCCTGCCCATCTCAGCCTGCTCTCTGCATAACAAATTTTATAACATGACAGGAGGCTTCATATTTTGCATTAACTTTCTTTACTAACTCCATAGCAGCAAAGAAAAAACTGTTGAAATAAAGAACCAATCAGAGTACAGACAGAGTCTATGTAAGCAGGTGTACATCCATATCACTTCCTCTTTCTTTGCTGCTCCATCACAAGTCAGGTCAGAGTACTGCTTCTTTAATTCAATGTATATTTGAACTAGAATATATGTTGTACATTTTTGTTTTTTCCTGGGGGTGGTAAGGGGTTCCTTGATAGATCCCTGTAGGGGTATGTATGTTTAGTTTGTGACTAAAAAAACCTCCTCTCTCCTCAGGCTCTTTCACTGAGATGGCCTGTTGGTCTTTCCCCCTCACCCCCTTGTGGCTACGTTAACCACTTTCACTGTGGCTGCTTCCCGCGCTGCTCACACTGCTCCTGTGTGAACAGGCCGGGCTATTCATCTGTTTCCTGTATTCGTGCCTGTATTCGTGCTGTTTCCTGTATTCGAACAGGCTGTTCGTCTCCCTGTTCGTGCCTTTGTCCTACACGAATGGTTACTCAGGCCTTCCTAACCCCTGCTTTTATTTTTCTGCGCTGTTCGCATTGAATTCAACGAACGGAGCATTCACTGGGTTCCCCGTTTGTTCCCCATAGGTGAACAGCCCTACATTCACCTGTTTGCGTTCGGCTGTTTGTTCGACGAACAAATCTGCCGAATGCAATGTAAACTTACACTCTGTATTCCGCGAACGCCTTTCGCTGGCTTTTAAAGTGACAGTTAGCCCAGATCTCGCGAGACCCACGGTGGCCATCTTGTTGGTGTGTTTGGCGCGGATGTTAACTCTCATCAAAAAGAGGCTCTGGATTTTGTGTCTACTTAACTGCTGTTTCAACTGATTTTTTTACAGTTTTTCCAGACCTGTTCAGATTGATGTGTTAACCCCTGGGGAGTCGGACTGCCAGTCAGGTATAACCAAGTATTCTGGCAAGTGGTGGGGCCCCATTTGGGTAATTCCCAGAGTGCTGCCTACCGGAATTTGCTGTAGCAATTCCGTTTTCCTGGGTGAGCCCCAGTGATTCCAAGGGTCTGCTTTATCACGCCATTAGGCATTACATAATTTATGGCCTAAGGCCTTTGACAAGTCCCTTCCACACAGTCCTTATACCTCTCCTAACTGTGCCTGTTAGCTGCCTATTGTAATGGAGGATACACAGAACCCCATTGACCTAATGGCCGTGATCAATGCGGCGGTAGCTGCATCCCTCGAGAAGGCCATAGCAAAGGTGCTTCCAACGGCCTCTGATGCCCTCAAGCCAGTTGGCAAAACTTATCGCACCAGGGAGGACACAGAAGAATCAGATGATTCCTCCAGGGAGAGACAACGCCCGGCGAAACGCCATTGGAAGGGCGAAGAGTCTCGGAAGGCCGCTAGCAAGATCAAGGTGCCCCTCAAACGTTCCCTAAAGAAGTCTCCTTGGACGAGGACAGAGATATGCCCCACTCCTTCTCCATCTTGGACGAGTGGCAGCCTACGTCAAGGAGACCTTTCTGGGTGAGACCCAGAGCAAAGGAGATGCAGAGTCTTCCACTACGGCCACTACTCAAGAACAGGAGGTCATTTTGGATGCCATGGGGCAATGGATGTTTGACCCCAGAAACATACGCCATCCCTGCTCCGGGGAATGGGCTCCACCTGAACACCTCCTTAAGTTTATGCACTTCTGGATCTGCAAGCCTTTGGAGAAACATGTCTGCAAAAGGATGTGGGTGGAGACCATTCCTGCCAGATAAGGTGGCGTATATGCCTGAGTTTGACCAACTCATGCTGGTCTTCATGGAACGAGGTGGTTGCGACCCACTCAGAGGGGTCGAACGTAGCCTCAGAGGGGCGCACGACAATCTCCTGGACGCAATGGGGCCACTGGCCCGGGTGATGTACCTTGTGGATGATGCTTACGCCAGAGCAGACTCCTTCAACATGTTTATAGTGCGTGAATGAGCACATGACATTAGGGAGTGGACCCAATGGGGTTTCTGCTTCCTGGAAAATACTAATGCAGCCCTCTCAACAGAGTGGCACCGTGCAACACTCTTCCGCATCAACCCCAAATTGTCTGACATTGAAGAATTAGGCCCACAGGCACAGGGCAAACATTTTGGAGAGGCGTTCATGAAGGGGCTGAACAAGCACGTGAACGTGTTCACTTCTATGAACCTGGCCCACACCTACATGCGTAAAGTGTTCAGAGGCAACCCTTCCAGGGGTGTTTTCCCCAGGGCTGGTCGGCAACAGGGCCGTGCCACCAGCCACTTTTGGCCATCAGAGTACGGTGTATCACCAAATTAATATATATATTACACAAGGTTCGTCTACATTAAAAGGTATTTATTAAAAGGCAACAACACAATACTATAAATGTATCACAAACACACAGCCCAGACCCACAGAGCAACAACCCTTTTTAAATCTATCTATCTATATAGTAATCCCCTTCCCCACACGTTTGATCTCACCCACGGTTAGGCCTTCACATCTAGTAATGGCTCACTGCTGCAAGTTCAAACTCACATCCACCAAGGAAGAAAAGGAAGCAACAGAGTGTAACATGGTTCACCATGCTAGCACGTGGCGTCTGCACATCTGCTCTGCAGCACAGCCAAGAAGGAACAGAGCGGAATGGAGAAAGGGGGAAGTAGTTATCTCTTTCCTGACTTGTAAAGGTATTGAATTACCCAATTACCATTTCAAAAGGGTAAAGCTTATCCCACTGTAAGAAAGTCAAACATGAGCTTGGTCACATGACCCCTGGTCACCATATTAGTTTGATGACAGAATGTCACCACACAGAGCCCCGCATGGGACACCCTCAGCACTTCTACACGCAGCAGTCCTATCCGGAGACAGCACTACCCCAGCTACCAGAGGGGATCGGACAGAGGCCGGGGAGGATGTGGACGTGCCCGTGCAAGGTTTCCCACAGGTGAGAAACACAAACACACCTATGCCTTTATTAACCATGACTGCCGGCCGTGTTTCCCTTTTTTCCCAATTGCCCAATTGGGCAAAACTATCCACAAACACTTGGGTGGGCTATCGCATCGAACTACAGACATGCCCCATACCAAGGCAACCCCCTTGCCCCCTATGCTTCTCTGACATGGACGCCCAGCTCATAGAGTTGGAGCTCCGCGAACTACACACGAAAGGTGCGATAAAACACGCGCACACACAAGGGGGCTTCTTCAGCAACATGTTCTTCATCAGCAAAAAAAACGGGGACTTCAGACCGGTGATCAACTTAAGGGAACTGAACTACCAGGTTACATACCGGCACTTCAAAATGGAAGGCATTCACTTTTTGACACCTTTACTATCGGACTGGAAGGGGTCACATTCAGAATTTCAAGACGAACCATATCCGATTCTTCATCAGTATTCTACCCGTTCTTCACCTCAGACCCTCAACTATGTGTGGTCAGAACTTTGCGAGCGTATATGCCGGCAACGGAGACACTACGCTGGTCAACTTCCCGACAATTACTGATATCATACGTTAGTCCTCACGGTATCATACGTTAGTCCTCACGGTCTAGTTTCGACCACTACACTGTCCAGATGGATTAGATGGCTCCTCACCCTCGCTGGAGTGGACCTGTCTTTCGGTGTCCATTCCGTTAGAGGAGCAGCGGCATCGTCTGCCTTTTTGGCAGGCACGTCGCTGTCGGACATCCTACAAGCAGCAGATTGATCCCGCGAATCAACGTTTCGAACTTTAGAAACATAGAATGTGACGGCAGATAAGAACCATTTGGCCCATCTAGTCTGCCCAATTTTCTAAATACTTTCATTAGTCCCTGGCCTTATCTTATAGTTAGGATAGCCTTTTGCCTATCCCACGCATGCTTAAACTTCTTTACTGTGTTAACCTCTACCACTTCAGCTGGAAGGCTATTCCATGCATCCACTACCCTCTCAGTAAAGTAATACTTCCTGATATTATTTTTAAACCTTTGTCCCTCTAATTTAAGACTATGTCCTCTTGTTGTGGTAGTTTTTCTTCTTTTAAATATAGTCTCCTCCTTTACTGTGTTGATTCCCTTTATATATTTAAATGTTTCTATCATATCCCCCCTGTCTCGTCTTTCCTCCAAGCTATACATGTTAAGATCCTTTAACCTTTCCTGGTAAGTTTTATCCCGCAATCCATGAACCAGTTTAGTAGCCCTTCTCTGAACCCTCTCTAAGGTATCAATATCCTTCTGAAGATACGGTCTCCAGTACTGTGTACAATACTCCAAGTGAGGTCTCACCAGTGTTCTGTACAATGGCATGAGCACTTCCCTCTTTCTACTGCTAATACCTCTCCCTATACAACCAAGCATTCTGCTAGCATTTCCTGCTGCTCTATTACATTGTCTGCCTACCTTTAAGTCATCAGAAATAATCACCCCTAAATTCCTTTCCTCAGATGTTGAGGTTAGGACTCTATCAAATATTCTGTACTCTGCCCTTGATAGAGTCCTAACCTCAACATCTGAGGAAAGGGATTTAGGGGTGATTATTTCTATTTCTGCCAATCTTCTAACGCCGCATTTTCTCTTTTGCCTAAGCATTAAAATTGCAAAATATGAAGCCTCCTCTCATGTTATAAAATTGAAGATTATGCTAGCGCAGTGTACTAATAATCTTAATTTTAATAATGACAGGAGGCGAGTATTTTCCGCCCCTTGTTATATCTTGATATTCCCTACCCAGACTGCGGTAAGTGATGAGATTCTAAGAACCTTAAAATTATGATTAAATATATATTGTCAATGATATTAGTAATGATACAGATTGCATGTTGTTAAAGACAAATATGGTTTTGACTTTTATGACTAGAATGTGTGTTTAATTAAATTATGTCTATAATGGTGTTATATATTTGAAGTTATATGTTCATACGGTCGATTCCGAAGCACTGATACTAGTTACCTTTTCTTTCAGCGTAACAAGTCACCTACACAGATGGATTATGTTTTATTTCAGGTTACTAAAATTGGTTGTTACAAGTTATTTTGTTCATTATGGACTTGTGATGTCGCATTCATCAGGAGGAAGTGATATGGATGTACTCCTTCTTATATATACTCTGACTCGCTCTGATTGGTTCTTTATTTCAACAGTTTTTTTCTTTGCTGCTATGGAGTTAGTAAAGAAAGTTAATGCAAAATTAATGCAAAGTTAAGGCAAAACTCGCCTATATCTGAAAAAGGAATGATTTTAGAAAATACACATGAAAGAATACAACTACAATTATCTTTACATCTATATATATATATATATAAAAAGAAATGGTACATAGCATACAAATAGCTTTTAAGAAATGGTACATAGCATACAAATAGCTTTTGTATGATATGCAGAAATAAAGAATACAGTAGCACTAACGGTATTTTTTTTCCCTTTACTATCAAACCATTTTCAATCTATAGTTTACCCATCGTTTGTGCTTATAACATGCTTTGCCACTGGATGGCGCCATTATACCACTAGCACCAAATTCTGTAGTTTACTTGCTACAGCAGCAAACAGGAAGACTTTATATTACTGCTAAGTGTAATTCACACAGTGTGTAATTCAAAATGCCGAATGAACGAACAAATGAAAGATTTTCGGTAAACGGCCATTCGTTTGTGCGTTCTTTAGTTTGGATACCCATTCGTTATTCGTTATTCGTAAGAATGGAAGAAAATGCATATTTTCGTACGAAAATCCATTCGTACGAATACGAATGCCCAAGTCTAATTCTTATTATTATCAGTTTTTATACAGCGCCAGCATATACCGTACTGCTTTGCAATTATGGAATGGGGATATTTAACAAGTAGTTTATATATAGAATATAACAGATACAAGAGGAGAAGAAAGCCCTGTTCAAATAAGCATACAATCTAAGAGCCGAGATTACAATCTATGAGATTAACATGGCTATTAACTAAAGTGAGAATTCAAAGTGAATTTGAGATGTAAGTCCAAAGCAGTCATATTGGAAGCACTTACAGAACATTTACTATTTTGTTAGGGAATATTAAGCATTAAAGGGACACTGTAGGCACCCAGACCACTTCAGCTCATTGAAGTGGCCTGGGGGCAAACTCCCATCACCCTTAACCCTGCAGTGGTTTTCATAAACTGTAATAATTACCTTGCAGGGTTAACTCCTCCACTAGTGTTTGTCTACCAGACAGCCACTAGAGGGACTTCCTGTATTGAAACTGACCTTTTGGTCTGTTATCTGATGCTGAACATCCTCACACTCTGCATGAGGACTTCCGGCGTCAGATTTTTCCCTATGGGAAAGCATGAGGAAATCCTAATGGGAGCGCAGCCATTGCTGGACATGCGCAATAGGTCCCCCCACCCCCACGCAGATGTAGGTGGGGGAGGAGTGTGGCGGAGCCTGACCCAGAACTGAGGGACATCTGTGCTGGACACAGGTAAGTGACTGAACCCCTGCGCTGTGGGAGGGGGGCCTTAACAGACAGGGAAGCTATAGTGCCAGGAAAACGAGTTTATTTTCCTGGCACTATAATTTCCCTTTAGGGCCACAGAATAATGTTATTTGAGTGCACAATCTTTTCTCTTCACTTATGACACCAGTCTTGCCCGTGTGGTCTTTGCAGTTTTGATGCCTAAAGGAAAAACTCTCTCAATTGGAACACAAACAATTACTATTTGTATTAGTACCTGGGAACAGGGTGGAGCATTACCTGTATATGATTCACACGTGATAATTATATAACCACATGAGCAATTAAAATATTTCACTGCAATTTAAACACTGATTACTGATGGTTATATTGCAGTGTAGCTCTGTCACTCATTGTTGGATATTAACATTGAATTCCCAGTGAATATAAAGCAAAAACAGTCAAACTGAAAAATAACTGACTTTATGGCTATTTTGACCTAACATTTTAAATTTACTTTGTATTTTTGATAATTCACACTTTAGTGGAAACAATGTGTGAGTTTTATTGCTGTGGAGCTCTGTGATGCACATTTCTGTGAGCTATACCTCTGTGGAGCTCTGTGATGCACATTTATGTGAGCTATACCTCTGTGGAGCTCTGTGATGCACATTTCTGTGAGCTATACCTCTGTGGAGCTCTGTGACGCACATGTCTGCGAGCTACCCCTCTGTGGAGCTCTGTGATGCACATTTCTGTGAGCTACACCTCTGTGGAGCTCTGTGATGCACATTTCTGTGAGCTATACCGTTGTGGAGCTCTGTGATGCAAATTTCTGTGAGCTACACCTCTGTGGAGCTCTGTGATGCACTCATACACTCTACTTCCTGGAATAGAGTTTGTGTAAAAAACAGGCTCAAGGAAATTTGGATCGCAAAGCACTGATTCTTCCCTTTTATAGTGCATCTGCCTTGGGGAACTTTGAAATGCTACGATTCCTAGCAAATACGTAGGTAAAATTAATTATAAATGTCTTTTTTTTATCCGAGGAAATCTGCACACATGCCAAAGGTGTCATACTCTTACTATAAATTTCACCACAAAGTAGAAAAAGTGTATATACAGTATATACTCAAGTATAAGTCTAGTTTTTCAGCACATTTTTTGTGCTTAAAAACCCCCACTCGACTTATACTCGAGTCACTGTCTGTATTATGGCAACTTAGAGAGCCGCGGCCGTCAGAGCCATGGCAACAATCCGCGCGGCAACCAGACCACGAGACTTACAGTGGAGCTGACCGGAACGGAGGAGAAGGGAGCTGACAGGAGCTGCAGGAAAGGTAAGTAAATGCTTCCTGCCGACCCCCCCCACTTCACAGCCCATGCCACTGGACCACCAGGGATTAAGATAGCCCCCCTCCCTGACCGGTTAACAAGCAGGGAGGGGGGCAAAAAAAATTAAAATAATAAAAAAAAATATTAAAATTAAAATAATTAAAATAATAAAAATGCCCTCCCCCCACCCAGTTCACACACACTACACAAACACACACTCTTCATTATATACACACTCTGCATTATATACACAGAGTGTGTGTATATAATGCAGTGTGTGTTTGTATGAGTGTGTGTGTGTATATAATGCAGAATGTGTGTTTGTATGAGTGTGTGTGTATATAATGCAGAGTGTGTGTTTGTATGAGTGTGTGTGTATATATAATGCAGAGTGTGTGTTTGTATGAGTGTGCGTATATATAATGCAGAGTGTGTGTTTGTATGAGTGTGTGTGTGTATATAATTATAAAAATCACAGAATTTCATAGCCCCAAGTTTTACCCTCGACTTATCCACGAGGCATAGCATATTTCACAATTGTTGTTCACAAAACTGCACTCGACTTATACATGAGATCGACTTATACATGAGTATATACGGTAGTATTTTTTTACCAGTACATTTCTGTTAACTAAACCAATCTAGATGGTTGGAGAACTATTACTTCCATATGAATATTGGTGTCGGACCTTTAGCTAGTGATTTATCTGACACTCATATTTTGTATAACTGTATACATATAGATTTGTGTATTTTAGTAAAACTTCTTCATACATTTCTCTACTATTTTAACTACTAGACCTTTTTGAATTGATTGACCTTACTGAATGGGTGATTGCGTGCTGATGCTGTTTGCTACACTGACATATACAAGGAAGACTTTAAATGCAATGGGAAGGGAATTTGAGAATGTTTAATTATGTAACCACATGGTTAATGTTCTACAGAATTAACTGAGCAAACCATGCAAGGGCCACAGGATAGCAAAACCTTGTCATAAAAATGCTCCTGACAGAGTTTAAAGTTCACATTGTCAAACCATATGAGTTATCTGTGAGCGTCCTCAGATAGATTACTGAAGCCTCTTACCTCCTAACAGTATAGAATTCCAGACATACAACACGCTTCACCTCAATTTTACTAGCAATTAGCATGCTATAAAGCAGAGTTTGACAAAGGTAGCCATTCCATATATATCCATCAGTGTAGAATTACTCTGCATTTGTGTTTTTGGAGCCCTGAGCTCAAGCTAATCTTCACTGTTTTATATGTTCAGTGCTACTAGACTCCACTACACATTGAATATTATGATAAAAAACGTAACTATGTTCTGTTGATGGAATACATTGAAATATAGGGTTCTTCACTTAAAGTCTAGATGTAGGCATTATAATCAAAACCACCTACTGCAATGGTTATGTTGTCACGAGCCTCGAGGGACACCTGGCACCATAATCACTACAGAACCGTCTTTCCTGCCTACTCTTTCTTCTTCCATACTCTGCCTAATATTTCACACCACCATAGCGATAGCAACCATAAACTTTCCCTGATAGATATAGATAGACATAAAGATGGATAGATAGACAGGTTTCAGTAGAACTCTCCTTGACAAGGTCTAAAGCATTTCTAAACAAAATGGCATATGGCATTCAAACCTTCGTTGTGATACACGGGTTAAAACCAGGACCGCAAATACACAGGTCTAATAAAGGCAGGTAAAAGACAAAAAAAAAGAAAAAGAAACGAACACACTATTCTTCCAGTGGGTTATACGTACTCTCTTCAAGGGTGGAAGCTTGAGAAAGGAACGACAAGCTTTAGTGGACAGGTGGACAGCCATTGGATGAAGTTGCCATTGGAGTTGAAGGGTAGCGTCAGTGAGACACAATGCAAAATGGTTTATTTACAGTTGACATTATACAGTTCACTACGTCATTGAATTTCTTCCAAAATCGTTTTCTATTCTTCTTTTTTTTTATTATTACAATAACAAAAAAAATAAAAAGATTTTTAAGCCTTTTGATATTCATAGATACAAAGCTGAATTTGCTTTGTCTCTTAGCATGTAAATATTGTCTAACGTGGAAGCAATTTATTTTAGCTTGGATTTATTTTTATTTAAACTTTATTTACTTATGAAAACATAATATATTACATATATAACTTAAAACAATATACACAATATTACAGATATACACAAATCCCAACTCTGAGGGAAATAAAAAAGGGAAAAAACAAAACCTATGAAGAATTTAAAGTACAAATTAAATTTCAATCGTTCTATTGCCCGCCAACTCAACTGCCATTCCCCTTTCCACCACCCCGGTCCAGTCAAAAGAGTTAAGAGTATGATCCAATCGAACAGAGATATCATATCGTACTCTCTATTAACTTAATTAAGAAATGTAAATAGTGCATCCAATGTCTCTCAAACATCCCCTTTTTGCTCTTCCATAGGAGTGACATTGCAGTCCATTCACTTTACTAATCCAATTCTCTATTGATGGACAGTTAACTTTTTTCCATAAACCAACTATTAGGGTTTTAGCCAAGTTGATGAGTCTAATTATTATAGAATATTTAAATTTATTAATTGAAAAATCAGTGTGAAAAATTCAAATTGGTTCCGGACTCAAATTAAAGTCTGGTGAAAAATGTTTGAGAATAAGACTCTTAATTTTCCCCAGAAAGGGACAATAATAGGACAATTCCTAAAAGTATGTACAATGTCTCCCCCTTATGGGATGCACACCTCCATTTATCACTAAGTTGGGGCAAATCTGTTTATTACCACTTGGCTCCTGTAACATCACAACAAATATTTAAATGCTTGATTTTGGAATTTAACTGCCTTTAATTATTCCATTATTAGTGTAAATCATTTAATCCACACTCATGAGGCTCTTAGGCTTGTCCCAGATCCATTTCCCATAGTCTGAAAAGGTAAGGCAGTTTCTTTAACTGAAAAGTGCCTTTTACACTTCGATTGCCACGAGAAAGGCAGGCTTTAGGAGATGGACATTTAACTTATATTGTGACTGTTTAATAAAGTCTTGGGACAGAAGTTAGTAAAGCAATAAAATGTTTGATCAACACATTAAAAAAATAAATCTTTGCAATAGTCCAGTAATTGTCAGCATTAATTTCACAGAAATTCAATTGACAAAGCTGGAGAAAATAAAAGTGCTGAATATCAGCACATGTGGAAATATTTCTGAGGCTGGTGTGGACTAACGGATGTCTCCTACCTCCATCCTATGATGTCACAACCCAATGTCCTGCAGTCGTAAGCTTCAAAAACAGTTGTGAATTGATGATAGAGCCAATAAAATAAAAAAGGTCACAACTTTTTTGAGATATTAATAGTAACTCTAGAAATGCTAACATTTTATATTAATGGAAGCATTTCCACTGCGTTTGTTCCTCCAGAATTCATAGAAGGAGTCTCACTTTTGTTTAAACTGGTGCTGATTTTCTTGTATTTCGAAATTGGTTCTTTTAGTTTCTTTTTGACTCTAGTAGAGAGATGATCAAGTTGATTCTTTCTAAGTTTGCGTCGGTTGATTCCAGCCAGTTCTTGAAGCAATTTCTTAACGTCGGAAGGTAATCTGAATTTGGGGTAGTTGTTGAAGATATGGGGTATGCTAGTTTGGCCAAAGGAGGCAACCACATAATGGCCTTGAGCACTACCATCAACAAAGTCTGCATGGATACAGTTAAGGGCAGCTCCAAAAGAAGTGTATGGATCCAGGTTGACTAGCTGAGACGTTGAAATCCACCTTTTGAAACTCTGCAGTGCTCCTTCGTCAAACAAGAGAATGATGATTCCATTTTCCCTAAAAATTCTTTGTTTTTGATGATGGTACCAAGGCATTGGGTCAATGGAGGACATTTCCCTGCGGTGCCACTGATCCAAAACCACATTTAGGTGAAGATCCATTAAAGAAGCAGCAAAAACACGCACAAGTTTGTTGTAATATTGGTCATCTGGTGAGTATATAATCCACACTCTCCGGTCTTTGAAGATATCACCTGCAGTAACAAGATAAAGCTTTAAATAACAAATGGGCTCCACACAGAACAATGGCTTTTACCAGTCAACATCTCAAGAATTCATTCAACTCATCAGATTATTTGTCATTATATTTTTTAAGTTATTGAACTTTCTTGAGAGATTCCATAAAAATTAAAATCATATCTCTTAAAGGAATGACCTAAGCACCATAATCACTGTAGAATACTCTAGTGGGTGTTGTGCCAGGGTGTCCTAGTGTTATCCTATAATATGTAGTTATACCATTTGTTTTTACAAAGTACACTTACCTGGTTATCCCAGACACCAAAGGTCTGGCCTCTTCTTCTGACATTGTTCCTCTCTTTGCATTTGTGACTTGACTTGCACTTATTTTGGACAGAACTGATACATCTATTACACATGGAGGACTGCTGTATATATAGATGAGGCACCATATATATCAGAGACCAGAGGCACCCAGGGTACTTAGATGAGCGTCAAACTGTTCAAAAACAGTTTTACTACTTACTGAAACTTTAATTGTTAAGCTAGCTGATTCATACAGTTTGCAACAAAACATTTCTCAACAATTCTCCTTCTATAAGAAATTTTTTTTTTTATTTTACAGAATCTCCTCATGCTGGTATATAAGATAAATAAGAACTCTTAAAGGGACACTAAAAGCACCAAAATAATTTTAGCTTAATGGAGTGGTTTTGGTGTATACATCATGCCCCTGTAGTCTCACTGCTCAGTTATCTGAGATCTAGGAGTTCATATACTTTAATTATGCATCCCTAGTGTTGTGCTTGATGGGTTTGTGGTGATCTTTTATCCACAGTTTTGCGGTAACACTTGATGGCATCAATGATGACTGTCTTGAAATTATGTGTTTTTTTCAACATTCTGCAAATAATTTAAATGTAGAATCAATCGTACAATGGTACTTACCCAATGGTGAATATGAAGTCATTGATTTCACCCATTCTGTTTGAACAGCAAAACAAAATAAGGTATTGTGTTAACACTTGTAGGATAATATTATTATAAAAAGAAAACAGAGTTTGAAAATGTTTTTGCAAACAGTCTTTTAATTTCCTAGCTAATTGTTTTAAGTAACATATTTGAGTAATCCTGTGCTTGAGCTAATAATATTGATCTAGACCATCTCACGAAAGACGTTTCCCCTAAACTGCAATAATCCTATTAATGTCTGCAACAAAAAATTATGGGAGGAGAATTTATTTTTTCCTTCATTCCTTGTATAATTTTGACCTACCATATGGTCTTCTTTTTTTCTCCACATGTGTACTGTTACCCCCCTTTTTTTTTTTTTTTGCAATCACTTCTCTCGCAAATCTTCCCTTGCTCAGACAGCTCCTAACAACTGCTTCACCTCACATTTGTTCTATACAACATCAGACATGTGACCAGGGCCGGCGTGTCCATAAGGCGGCACACCAGCCCGTGGGGCGCTAAATTAGAGTGACTGGCAGGAGGTGGACACACATCGCTCCCTCCTGCCGGTCACTCAGTGTAGAGTGGTCGAGCCGAGCAGACCGCGGTGCAGGAGGATCTGTTTTCTGTACCTGGCCGGACTGACAGTAAGTGCTCACTGAGAGAGCAGTTCCTGTCAATCTGGCCAGGTACAGGAAACAGATCCTCCTGTACCGCGGTCTGCTTGGCTTGACCACGCTACAAGAAAGGTGGGAGGGAAGGGGGAGAAACACTAATGGGGGGAGGGGAAAGAACACTATGGGACAGGGGAGGGGGGGGGAAACACTATGGTATAGTGGGGCAACCACTAAAAGAGAGGGAGGGGAGAGGAACACTAGGGGAGAGAAAGAGGAACATTAATGGTGAGCACAAAGAGACAGGTAAGGAGGGGAAGAGGAACACTAAGGGACAAGAGAGGGAGGGGAAAGGAACACTAAGGGACAGGGGAGGGAGGGGAGAGGAACACTAAGGGACAGGGAAGAGAGGGGAGAGGAACAATAAGGGATATGGAGGGGAGGGGAGAGGAACACCAGGGGGGAGAGAGAGAAACATTAAGGGGAATGGTGGACACTAAGAGACAGGTAAGGAGGGGAAGAGGAACACTAAGGGACAAGAGAGGGAGGGGAAAGGAACACTAAGGGACAGGGGAGGGAGGAGAGAGGAACACTAAGGGACAGGGAAGGGAGGGGAGAGGAACAATAAGAGACTTGGAGGGGAGGAGAGAGGAACACTAAGGGACAGGGAAGAGGACCACTAATGGATAGGAAGGGTAGGGGAGAGCATCACTAATGGACATGGAGGGGAGGAGAGAGGAACACTATGGGATATGGGAGGGAGAGAAAGACACACACAGAGGGACATGAGGGGGGAGAAAGACACACAGATGGGCCTGGGGGTGAGGAAGATGTACAGAGGGGCTGGTGATGAAAGTGACACACGGGGGGCGGGGCCTGACCACAGAGCTGAGAGGACGCAAGCCTCAGCAGCTCTGACTATCTGGGGCAGAAAAAGCCAAATCTCACAGCTATAAAGGCGACCACTCGACACCAACAGGCCACCAGGGGAGAGGTGACATCAAGGAGCATAGAATGACACCACCCAAGCGACATTCACAGCAGCATGCACCTGGAACCATGGTGAGGCCTACCAACACTACAGGCGTAGGAGGGACGGCCGCTCTCCTACCACTGCAACCCGCCGACAATCAGCACGAGAACCCCTGTCCCCCCCTTTGTACTGATGGGGGTTATCCCGGTCTACCCCCACATGTCCCTCCTACACAGCCACGACCAAGCGACGCTAAAGCGGAACCACCAACAAACTCCACATGTGGCACACAAAATGGCCGTCAGCTGCTCCGCCGCGGACATGGACAGAGCAAAGATGAAGACGGAGCTTCGGCTAAATAAAATATTTCAAGCCTTCTGGCAGAAACTAGAGGCTCACATGAACCCCTCAAAGCCGGAGACTATACCCACCAACCCATCATACTACTTACCTCGAAGAGCCAAGTGGCGGGATACAAAAAGCCACCTGAAGATGGCGACCATGGTGGCAGAACACCCACAAAGGGCCACTTCTGGAGCACACTCCCAGAACCGGCCTAATAGAAAGCGCTGCAGACCTCCTCACCTAAGAGCCTTGCAGCGGCGGGAATCCCGGAGGACCACGGCTGACTCGAGCCAGCTGGATGGGCATGGGCCCCATGCGTGCGACGGAACATGTCGGACCCTTTGGGAAATCAGGCAGACCACAACCATGCCACAATGCACACCAAGCATGAGAACCCACGGAGATGACCTCCGGCTTCCCACTGAGTCCACCTCCCCTCAGCACAGTTACACGAGTGGCATCGGGGTCTGCTAAGAACCAACAAGGGAGTACCTTACTATTAACACCATCCCTGTTGACCTCTCTCTGTTCGCCTTCACTCTGCTGAGCCCCCGAGCTAGATAACAAGACTCACACAGCTGGACGCTGAGCCATCCCAGCGGGGAATTGGCTAACCTGGGGACAGAACGCTGCACGTTTTCGTGACTAGCATCACGCCACTACCCCTTCTGCTGCTTTACGATGTGGGGTGAACATTTCTGTTTTTCTCTGTTGCTACTATATGCCATGTGGGGTAGGTTTTTATGCTTTTATGTTTTTAGCTTATCAGGGGGCCCCCGGGGGTTCTATTACACTTAAAGCCATCCTCTGTGCCAGCGACTTTTCCTTTACAATTTACAACCTGCTAGACATCCAATAGTGATTAACCTTAAGAATAGTTGCCGAAGGCTTTACATTTCAGGGGAGCATAGGATAGTATCAATTCCCTGACCTAGGCTGACAGTGTGATCAGCGCCATGCTTTACCGCTTTACTAGCTTGTTCCCTGTACCCTAACTAAGAGAGCCATCTCTGCCAGGATGCTACAAGCAGGAGGCTGCAAGCGAGTTAACTAGCTAACAGATAATTATAGTTTAGACATATCATTGTGTTTTTCAAAACAAAAATGTGCAAATTATATATACCACTGTTTCATCTATCTATGTTCAAATATAAATGCATGCTGTTGTGGCGTATGATTATGCTTTGTACTCACCTGCACAACTAAAATAAAGATTAAAATTTTTTTTTTTTTTTTAAAGACACACAGAAAGGCCTGTGGGTGGAAATACAAAGGGGATGGGGTGAAAGAAACACAGAGGGGCTGGAGAGGAGGAAAAAGAGACACAGAGGGGCTGGGGGGAGATAGACAGGCTGGTGGTGAAAGAGAAACACACAAAGGAGCTGGAAAAATTAATTTAAAAAATGTCAAAATAGAGATAAGAGGGGGGGCGTGTCCTGACCGTGCATGTGAGTGGACGTGCTGAACCGGAGCTCTCCCGGCCTGCGACTTTACAACGGCTTTTACAGCGAGATAAACCTCACAAAAACGCGCACAACAATAGGTAAACATCCCCGCTCCAAATGGCCACGAAAAAACTAAAACAAAAAACGCTAAACTCTCATTTAGAGAGGCCCCAAAACGCAGAGCCGAAAAATCAAGATGGCGCCGACGGACAGCACTCACGTGCTCACAGCTATGAAGCAGGCGACAATCACCAGGAGCAAAACTGCCCAGCGACAAATTCAAATGCAAATACTCCCTACAAGTGGGGCTTCCCTGCAAAACTACTAATCAAAATAAATGGTGTAGACAAGCCCATTATGAATCCAGAAGACGGCAAAAGAATGTTGCAAGAATGGAACATACCGTTCCTAACCACCAGCCCTCGGAAGAAACAAGCAACAACCCAAGCGCCAAAGACACTCCCTAAGGAATGGTTGCAAGTTCCCAGAGCCTCCCAGGCACGAACAGACCCAGAAACATCACCGACTTGAGAGACCCAATGTACACTGTCACACCAGCAACTCCAATAGACTTACCGGACAGGTTAACACCATTTCTGGTTTATGTTATAATTGTTGTTTACCTTACCACCATGCAAAAGGTTTAATGGAAGGCCATATGCCTAGCTGCAACGGGTGAGTAACACCCAGATGCACTATGCTCAACTTAAGTTGTTGTAGATCTCATATTTACCAAGATCTTCGATACCCTGACCCTGTGTAATACACCCCCAAGGCTCCAGTAGCCATACTTCTCCGTTGCCCCAGGCACTCAAATGTCACCGAAAAGTGACTTACGGAACATTGTATATAGTTTATTCCCCTGTTTTTCTTTCCACTCCCTCACCACCCCCCCACAGAGTGTGTCCTGCAAGCATAATACATTTGCTGTACTGGGTTACAGAGTATCTAGAACCCCTGAGAACGCAATGCCCCAAGGTACTGACCAATTCAAACATAATGTGATAGTCACTGAAATAGTTAAGAAATACAAACCCCCACCACAGTACATTAAGCAATGGCTCAATGGTGATTAAACTCATGTCCCTAAATACCAAGGGGCTTAACTCCCCCAATAAGCGGAGACTAGCCATACAAGAAGCGAAGAGATGTGGGGCCCAAGTAGAATTTTTTCAGGAGACCCATTTCAAATGGAACTCCAGACCCAAATTCACCTCAAAATAGTATCCACATGATTTTCACATGTTACTCAGCTAAGAAAAGGGAGGTCTCCACTATGATTAGTAAAGATGTAGCATTCTCATTGGTTAGAAAAATCAGTGATAAAAAAGGTCGATATTTAATTTTGCAATGTATGTTGAACAATGCACCGTATACCCTGATCAATATGTACAGCCCTAACGCAAACCAAAAGGAGTTTTTACAAATGATCCTAGCATTAACTGACATGTACAAACACGGGGAGGTGATTATTGGAGGCGACACCAATTTTTTATTAGATAGCAGACTGGATTCTTACACAGCCCAAATTAAGAGTTGCACATTGAAACACAGAACCACACTAACAACAAGAATATGCTCCACCCTAACAGCAGCCCGCATGGTAGACCCGTGGCGCATCCTACACCCGATGGAAATAGACTATACATGCTACACGGCAGCCCACAACAGCTATTCACGGATAGATAGATTCCTCATCCCCGCCACATCGATGGCCCAAATAGAGGGAGCCACAATTGGGGTAATGACGTTGTCTTACCACGCTCCCATCACGCTCAGCATTAGAGAATCATTCGCCAATGAAGGATCAAGCTCATGGAGACTTAATGAGTCCCTTTTAACAGACCCAACGATAGTCTCCCAGATAACAAAAGATTTACAAAACTATACTGCTGAAAACACAACAGAGAACTCCGCGATAGCACAAATCTGGCTAGCACATAAGAGGCAGCTTTATAAAACACGCTAGCTATGCTAAAAAACAGAGAACAGCAGAATACACCAAACTCTTAGAAGAAATCCAAACCCTGACACATTCAAACAAAAAAGAACCAAACTCTACCACAAAAACAAACCTCTTAGCTCTCCAAAACAAGCTAAACAACATTGAACTAGCTAAAATTACATACTTATTCAGGAAACTCAAACACAATTTTTTCATGAGTGGCAACAGAGCTGGTGCTATTTTAGCATCACAAATAAAACGAAGGAATGTTGCCTCCAGGATCGCCTTCCTCAATGACTCCAAGGGCAAAAAAATAATGAACCCCCAAAACATTGTAGACCAATTTGCTCAATACTACGGCGAACTATACAATCTTGAACAGGACCCTAAGGTGGTAATGCCAGCCCCAGATAAAATAGACGAATTCCTGTCTAATTTAAACCTACCCAAGCTGACAGAGGATGACCTAATACCCCGGAAACGACCCTTCTCTCTAGACGAACTCACAAAACCATTTTTACAACTTCCAGCACATAAATCAATAGGTCCCGATGGTCTAACAAACGAATACTACAAAACCTTTTCGCCAACGATAGCGCCACTACTCTTACAACTCGTAAACAAATGCGCCACAACGGGCGCACTTACAAATGGAATGCTCTTAGTGCATATTTCTACTCTCCCCAAACCAGGCAAACCCCCCACGCAATGCAAAAACTTTCGGCCCATCTCCCTCCTCAATGGGGACGCCAAACTATATGCGAAGTTGATTAGTTACCGCCTTGCCCCCCTCCTGCATAAAATAATCCACAACGATCAATCCGGGTTCATAAGAGGCCGCCAGGGCTCAGATAACACCAGGAAAACACTAAACATGATCTCGGCACTGGAGTCCAAACAATCGGCATGCCTTCTCCTCGCCTTAGATGTGGAGGAGGCCTTCGATTGCCTAAACTGGGCCTACATGACTAAAGTTTTATCACAATTCAACTTTCCCACGGCTACCATAACAAGCATCATGGCACTATATCATCACCCAGCAACAAAAGTATCACACGGAGGGTTCCTCTCCACTCCATTCTCCATCACGAATGGTACCCGCCAGGGATGCCCCCTGTCACCCCTTCTGTACATACTCGCCCTAGAACCCCTAGCCCAAAGGATCCAATCACACACCGAGATACCAGGAGTCAATATTCACAACAAGATGTACAGTCAAGCCTTATTTACGGACGACATCTTTATAGCTCTGTTAGACCCAAAACGCTCTCTTGATCCCCTATTAGACCTCCTACAGCAATTCGGTAACATCTCATACTATCGCCTGAATCAGGACAAGACCCAAGCCTTGCCCATAAACCTACCAAAGTCCCTGTTGGACGTACTCCGTGCCTCCTACCAGTTTGACTGGAAATCAAACTCAATCACGTACTTGGGGGTAAAGATAGCACCCTCAATATCTGCCACTGCACAACTAAACATCCCTCTAACTGACTACCTGTGGTCACCGAGGAAGTTCAGAACCAAACGCACTGACTTATTCCCAACCACATTACTCACAATATCCCTATGGGACACCTTTGTGGAGACTATAGGCTGCAAGGACACATTACACACCAAATCCCCAATTTTAGCCTTAAAAACAATAGTACCTTCAATGTCAATCTGCAGTTGCTAAGGCCAGTAAGATTTTGTCATGTATTAATAGGGGCATAAATTCTCGGGATGAAAATATAATTTTGCCTTTTTATAAATCGCTGGTAAGACCACACCTTGAATATGCTGTGCAATTTTGGGCGCCTGTTCTAAAGAAGGATATCATGGCACTGGAGAGGGTCCAGAGACGAGCTACAAAATTGATAAAAGGAATGGAGCATTTTAGTTATGAAGAAAGGTTACAAAAATTAAATCTGTTTCGTTTGGAAAAACGGCGCCTGAGAGGGGATATGATAACTTTATACAAATATATTCGGGGCCAGTACAAACCTTTATCTGGAAATCTATTCATAAACAGGGTTATACATAGGACACGAGGTCACACATTTAGGCTGGAAGAAAGGAGATTTCATCTAAGGCAAAGAAAAGGTTTTTTTACAGTAAGAACAATAAGGATATGGAATTCTCTGCCTGAAGAGGTGGTTTTGTCAGAGTCCATACAGATGTTTAAACTGAAATTGGATAAATACTTACAAAAACATAACATACAGGGATATAATTTCTAATTAGTGGGGTAATAGCTGATTGATCCAAGGAGACATCTGACTGCTATTTTGGGGTCAAGAAGGAATTTTTTCCTAGTTTGTGGCAAAATTGGAAGTGCTTCAGACCAGGTTTTTTGCCTTCTTTTGGATCAACAGCAACAACATTTCTGAGGAAGGCTGAACTTGATGGACGCAAGTCTCTTTTCAGCTATGTAACTATGTAACTATGTAACTACCCAACATCCCTCTCAAGGATTGGAACGACGCAGGGTTAACAAAAATATCACAGCTCTTAGACACCAAAGGCATGATACCATTCCCAGTCCTACAAACACAGTGGCAGATCCCGAACAGAGCAATTTTTTCCTATTTACAACTGAAAAGTGCAATACAGGCACACGCACCGCCACCATACAAAATACAAGATACAACCAGAAGCACCTCCCACTTAATCCTAGACAGGTGTTGGGCAACACCTACAAAACCCAAAACACTCACACTATGTTACAAAGCATGGCAAGAACTCTCAACAACTAAATTGCACCCCTATAAAGCTCAATGGGAGATAGACTGCGGAGTAGTGCTGACGGATTGTGACTGGTTGCGTGCCCTCAACGACCTCTCTAAATGGACAAAGTGCTACTCACACATTGAAGCCCAGAAAAAAACTCCTCTACTGCTGGTATATGACCCCACAGAGGCTTCACTGCATATACCCCAACACACCCCATACTTGCTGGAGGTGCAATAAGATTATAGATACCTTGGAGCGTCTGTGGTGGTCGTGCAACAGAGTCCAACCCCTCTGGACCGCCGTAACTACAACACTGGAACAATTACACATCCCCAAATTCCAATTAACAAAACCCTCATGCCTCCTGCTGTTGCTCCCAGATAAACTAACCCTAGCACAAAAACAAGTCACAGCTCTTACTATACTGATGGCAAGGAACTTGCTAGCACTACATTGGAAATCACAGACCTGCCCATCCTTAGCCCAACTCCAAACCAAACTCACTCAGTACAAAATATATGAAAGAATGGCGATAGTATCTCCACAAAAGAAATTTGAGTTGGGGAGACTGGGAGGGGGAGGTGGACGAAACAGGAGGGACGATAGGGCAAAACCTGTAAAATAGTGACGAAATAAGGAAGCAAATATGATAACTCTCACATGAGAATACCAAGACCCTGTCTCAGATAAAGACAAAACACATACAGCAATCTCACACACTCGTCCCCCATCCACCCCACCAGGTTTTCCCTCCCCTCCATCCTCTACCAAGTTCTCGTCCCACCATAGGGAATACCCACTTATATACCCACTTAACCAACAAAGACAAGGTATAATTCAAGCATATTCAGAACCCGCTAACTAGGGACCAGTTGACTGAGACGCCACCACAAGCTATACAGACTATGCATAACAACAGAATAGGCTAAATCGGCCATCTAAGATCCCAACTCTGGTTAAGGGGGGACCTCCTCACCTAACAATTACCTAGGCATCAAATCACGTAGAAATAAAGGCGATAATGCACATGAAGCAACATGAAACAAGCTTACGCATGTACTCAAAACTGCTGTGACTATATTCTGTATCCTAAACAGCATTTTGAAAATAATAAAATACAAATTTAAAAAAAAAAAGGAGATAAGAGACAAAAGGTGGTTTAAGAGGCACACAGGTGAAGATGCTTTTTTTGGGGGGAGGGCCAAAATCATCTTTCCCAAAAAATCCTTGCACCGGCCCTGCATGTGACTACAAGAGCTTGCAATCTTTAATAAACTAAGCTACTTCTTCTTTTTATTTTCCCCCTTCAACTGCATAGAGAGCGTGCAACAGGCTCAGCTATGTGAAACAGATATGTACAGAGAGAGATGAGAAATAACACTGGTATATTTTTGAAGTTCAATATTTTGTTTCTGCAGCGACTACAGGAAATATGCAACACAGGTGTTTGATTTTTCCTTTGGCTGAGATCTCACTTAGTGACATACGCTCAAAGGAGGTTTCTCTACATAAAATAGAGAATTATGTAAATTTAACAGTGGAAACAAAGGTAATCTCTTACTTGTGAGTGTCTTCGTTGATGCAATTGCAAGGATCAGCACACAAAACATTGCTACTAATCCAAACACAAGCCATCTCTGCCGTTTCACTGTACAAACAGAAAAAAAAGTGTTTTACAATTTACAGATTTACAGGTCAATTCTCAAGATGTATGTTTATCCCAGTAGATGTTAAGGATCAAAATCTATATGCAGACTCTCTTAGTAGCTAATGGCGTGCTTTATTCTCATAGTGAATTAGCAGAATTCACAGATAATTTAACAGATTTTTAAGGTATTGGGTGAATAGGTATATTCTGAGGGTTTTACAATATGGAGGCAATTCTTTCATATCCTATTTGGATGTGATGTTTTTTGTGCCATGATTTTTTTTTTAATCTTATGTGTGAGGTTACCTTCCTGCTGTATACAATGAACTCATTACAGTGTAATCTGAATGTACCTTTACTGGTTAAATACTTTGTTATTATTATTATTATTATTACTTGTTACCTGGTAATGTTGATGCTGAATCATCATCGCTAATGATTTAGTATTTTTTTGGTTAAAATTTTAAATTTTTAAAGATATTTTAATATTTTGGTCTATTGATTTTTTTTATATATATATAATATATTTTAATATTTTTTTAAAAATAATTTTTAAAGTTCATAAAATAAAAAAATAATAATAATTTGAAAAGCTTATCCAAAAATATGAAATCAAGGCCAATGATTGGAACGTGCTTTTCTGAAATACCTTACAGGCAATGTTATAGCAAATGATCAATTTCTAATTTTATTTATGACTTTAATGTAATGGAAAATGATGTGTGTCCTAACATTTGCTTAGAGGATCTTAATAGAAAAAAAGATGATGATTTTGTACAGGGATGTCCAAAATTATTCAATGGCTAATAGGAAATTCTGAGAAAATACTAGCAAATGGAGGCAGTGTATTGGATCTCCCGAGGCTGTATAAAATTATTATTATTATTATAATTAAGCATTAATTAGAATATAACAATGCTACACTTATAGCATAAAAAGGTGTTACAAACTAGATTTTAAAATGTATTTTTTTGGAATGTTATCATTAGTTTCTCTGCATACAATTGAAGGTACAAATTATTATATATTTTTTTTACTGTGACAAAAAAAGGTATTAAACAAAAATGAATCAAAAACAGCTCTGGTTATTATTTATTTAGCATTCTTCAAAGTTGTTAGTTATTCTAAAAATCACAATGAAATACAATTTAATTTCTACGTTGAGCACTATGAAAGGTGAAAAAGTCCAAGGGCTGGTGTTTATTTACGCAAGGGAAGGCACAATATGTTCCTATTGTTCCAAGCTCTTTATTAAGACATTGTTATTTATTTAATTTTCTGTTGCCCACTTGCAATGACATTCAGTTGAATTTAAGCCCTTGTAAAGCATTTTTCTTGGCTCATGCACAGAACACATATTGACATTGGGTGAAGGGTTATGTAGCTGGGGAGATGGTGAAACAACTTGGGGATTTCCCTAATGACCTTTAGACAGAAACAGGTAAATATAATTAAAGGGAATGCACCCATCACAGTTACATTTGGGGATTATAAGAAAGAGTTAATGTGACTTTAACATGCTGCGACATGTAAGCTCCGTATTTATAAATTAAATGCTTTTTGTGGTAATGTGAAGACACAAGCTGTGCATGGCATAACAGGCTTCTGTCATGGTGTTTTATTAGTTGTATTATAACTTAGTAGTCAATTAAAAAATAAATAGGATAGCCCATATCTGTACACAGAAGTGGCTGCAGAGCTGTTGCACCCTATCCTGTCACTTCCTATAGTCTGTCCTACAATATTTATATTTTGGGGCAAATTAAAGAGGTTACTGTACCACATGCACAAATGTAAACCTCCTGTGGGTACCATTGTGCCATCTCTGACTGAGTTATGGGCCTGCGGTGTGTATTTCTAAAACGACCACTGATCTGTACATTCGAAAGACCTGTTTTAACACATTCCATAGATAATGCTTAACTGCACATTAAAATAATGCTATTATATTATGTCCAACCAATTTCCGTTAAAAAGAGCCATCTCCTTAAGAAACATAAAATACTGCTTGCATAATATATCCATTTTTTTGAAACGTTACAGTAGTGTGTAAATTATGTTTTGTAATTTCTATTTTTTTTTACTAATAAAATTCATAATAAAGTATGTCCTGAGATTACCCAGCCATCTAGATATATTATACCAGAAAAAGGAGGTTGGTGAACATGGACACTGAGCAGATTAAAGGAACACTGTAGTCCCCAGACCACTTCCTCTCAATGAAGCAGTCTGGGTGCAGTGGTACGTTTGACTCTGCAACGTAAAACAGCAAAGTTTTATAGAAAGTGCAATGTTTACATTGCACGCTTAAATTCACCTCTAGCGGCTTTATTCCTGACAACCACTAGAGACGCTTCCTCCTCCAGACCGAGTAAACCTTGATCTGGGTATCGCATGCTGCTGATACTTCTCTGTTAGAAGCAATGGACTACAACTTGGATGCCAACATTACGGAAGGAGAAACTGGAGGCTGCAGTGGAGGAGTCCCAGCGCTGTAATCATTATTAAACTTATATTTAGGGGCTTTTTTTTTTTATCAACAAAGAGTTGGACAGAAGGGAAGCTTTCCAATATGAAAAATGAAGGATGTCAAAAAAAATGTTTTAAAATGTTCTCGCTGTTATTTTGCTTGTCTCCTTTTTCAGGTAGTTTTGCAAAGATTTATTTATTTATTATTTATGGTTGAACCCACCAGGTCCCAGTAGTTACAGGATATCTCATACATAAGTAACCTGTATTTACCTAAAGTACATTTTAATTTGGTGCACTCACCCACAGAGCAGACAACCACCTCATTATTTTCATTATCATTCCATATCTAGGAAGAAAGGAGATGTGTAATTATTACTTTTTTATTTTATTTATTTTTATAAATATAGCATTTCTCCCCCCAAATTATATGTCTATTGAATAATAAACCATTTTAGCTTAACTTTGCCATTCAAATTTAAACAGATAATGAGGAAATCCACTGCCCCATACCTCCCAAGTGTCCCTATTTAAGAGGGATAGTCTCATTTTTGGGCCCAAATTTATCTGTCCCACTTTTCTGTGCTAAAGTACCTATTTTTTTTCCCCATATTGTTCATGTGCCTGGGTGTATACCAGAGCTCCACAGCAGTAAAACTCAAAGTAATGTGTCTTTAAACTACAATAAATGTGTTTAGAAAACAGTCTGTGTAAATAAGATTGTTCTTGTTCTAAATTCTATTTAAGCTGCATAAAAAGTTATTAGATAATACCAAAAATAAATATATGTGGGTCATAGATAAATTAGTAAGGGCTGTATCACACTAAAGAGAGCGACTTGAGATAAGTGTATAGAAACAATAGGAAATCTAGTGTGAGTGTTCATGTTCAAAATAGAATTAAATGATAATAATATTGTAGTAATCAATACATAAACTTAATTAAATAAAATCCACACACTAGAGGAAAACAAATTATTTAAGGAATCAATAAAACTGTAGGGGTATTGTACATATCCTTGAGTGAGCACCTATACTTGTAATGCTGTTAGGAAAACAACTACAAATCAAGATGTAACACTTAAATAAAAGTATCCAAGCCAGAGAAAGGGATACAAAATCATCAAAAATGTCCAAAGGAAGCAGTCACTAGAAGGGAGAGCAGATGCACTACATAGTGGAGTTTTATTTACCGTGTTTCCCCGAAAATAAACCCTACCCCGAAAATAAGCCCTAGTCGGATTTTCGGGGTGGGCTGCAATATAAGCCCTACCCCGAAAATAAGACCTAGGCATTGTACCTTTGCGGCGAGACTTCCTTCTTCTGCTGTAGGAGGAGCATCGCGCAACGTGATGACGACATTTTGCAGCGCCGTCAGTCTGCCTTCACGGATCTTCAGCGGAAGGATCCATTTCCGGGCGGTGAGGCTCCCAGTGGTCGGACTCGGCAAGGAATCTTTGAAATGTGAGTACCGCTAGATATTTTATGTCTGGGATTAATTGAATTAATTAAAGGGGGTGGGGTGAATTAATTAAAGGGGGGGTGAATTAATTAAAGGGTGGGCTGGATTAATTAGAGGGGGGTGAATTAATTAAAGGGGTGGTGAATTAATTAAAGGGTGGGCTGGATTAATTAGAGGGGGGTGAATTAATTAAAGGGGGGTGAATTAATTAAAGGGTGGACTGGATTAATTAGAGGGGGTGAATTAATTAAAGGGGTGGTGAATTAATTAAAGGGTGGGCTGGATTAATTAGAGGGGGTGAATTAATTAAAGGGGTGGTGAATTAATTAAAGGGTGGGCTGGATTAATTAGAGGGGGTGAATTAATTAAAGGGGTGGTGAATTAATTAAAGGGTGGGCTGGATTAATTAGAGGGGGTGAATTAATTAAAGGGGTGGTGAATTAATTAAAGGGTGGGCTGGATTAATTAGAGGGGGGTGAATTAATTAAAGGGGGGTGAATTAATTAAAGGATGGACTGGATTAATTAGAGGGGGTGAATTAATTAAAGGGGTGGTGAATTAATTAAAGGGTGGGCTGGATTAATTAGAGGGGGGTGAATTAATTAAAGGGGGGTGAATTAATTAAAGTGTGGGCTGGATTAATTAGAGGGGGGTGAATTAATTAAAGGGGGGTGAATTAATTAAAGTGTGGGCTGGATTAATTAGAGGGGGGTGAATTAATTTAAGGGGTGGTGAATTAATTAAAGGGTGGGCTGGATTAATTAGAGGGGGGTGAATTAATTAACGGGGGGTGAATTAATTAAAGGGTGGGCTGGATTAATTCGAGGGGGGTGGATTTATTAAAGGGGGGGTGGATTAATTAAAGGGGGAGGTTCAATGTACATACCGGTACCGTAAATAAATAAGCCCTACCCTGAAAATAAGCCCTAGTGTGTTTGTTGTGACTAAAATTAATATAAGACCCGGTCTTATTTTCGGAGAAACACGGTATATATACATATATAAATAAAACCCCAACAGTAACTAGTAATCAGGACACAAATCGCAGCACTATAAGATACACATAAAATCACGACTCTATATGTACCTCATAGTACTGGGAATAAAGGTACGTTTTTTCATTTTTAACGGAGGCAAGTGGCAGCCACTTAAAATGTGTTTTTAACACTTCAGTGTGAGGAATACACGTTTGGATTCCTGACACTATAGTGTTTTTTTAAAGGAACACTATAGCGTTAGGAATACAAATTTGTATTCCTAACTCTATAGTGCTATTTTGGCCTCACGTGTAGGAAGTAAAAAAGGTACATCTTCATTGACTGATTACTGAGATCTTCGATGATCTCAGCCAATCCAATGCTTTCCCATAGGAACATAAATGCTAATACTGTACACATTTGCAGCAAAACGATGCACTGCACCAATCAGATTGTCTCTTTGAGTCCATATGATTGCAATAGCAGAGTTTTATTCTGCTATTTCGGTGAAAGTGCCTCTAGTGAGGAGATCTGGGTGTCTACAGTGTCCCTTTAGCAATAGAGTTCAGTAACTTAGGTAAAATGTCTGAGCCATTTTTGGTCTCAAATCTGCAACACAGCTGCCATCTCTCAAAACCCATTGCTTAGGGAATAAGCACCTTGCTGTGCTAACATTTTTGTTGTATGGCTTATTGCCATGATAATGTACTGATATGTCAATTATTCAGGTATGTGCAACAAAGAGGCCCCCAGCGATTTTTCTTTTAATTCGCTGTTACCTAATGCAATTACTCTTTTTGGTGGCATAACAAAATTCCCCTCTAATGAATTTCCAAAACATTCCTGACACTTAGATGAATCAATCACACAGTAAAAACTGTCCTGGAGGAGGAAAGGAAGGAGTTACTGTAAAATGAAAGCAATTAACCTCAATACTCATTTGAAAGAAATATCACGGTGACACGTACTTACACATAAGTAAACACATTAGTGAAAGCAAGGACCTGTATTATTTTTTTCAATTAAGCAGCTTCCTTATTTCTATTGTGAGATTAAAACACAGGTATGCTACATTTGACCTTGTAGAGTTTGTATATAACAGTGGTGCCCAAAAGGTAGATTTCCCAGATGTTTTAAAACTACAGCTTCCACAATGCTTTGTCAAAATTAAGGCATGCAATGCATAATGGGAGTTGTAGTTCTACAGCATCTGGGATCTACCTTTTGGACACTACTTTTGTAAGATATAAATCCTAGAGACCTACAACTGAAGTGCATCTGCTTTTTAACACTCCATAAGACCACTGTAGTGATTAAAGTGCCAGACATGCCCTGGAGCCCTTACAGGGTAAGTAATCAAACAGTTTGAGAAATGTGGGACAACGTACCTGGGGCCATGGACGACAGGCCCACTGGCTGAGAGTGTCAGCTGAGCGCTCTCATCCAATGAGCTAAGCCCTTCCCTGCTGGTCTTAGCTCACAGCAGAAAGCTTCCAGAGGCACAAGAGTAGGGGACATGCGCCCAGTGGAACCTAAGTAAGTTGTCAAACCGTTCTCAACCTGTTTGACCACTAAGAGGACAACAGGACACTCTTGGCAACATAATGCTCTCAGCTGTCTGGAGTTGGTATTTGGCTCTAAGAGTTCCTTTAAATGAAAATATATAGATCTATAATTATTTGCATCTACTACAGCAAATTCTGCACAGGAAGCAGTTCAAAATCATTTAGCCAGTATTGGCACTCCCATTATCTTCATTCTCTGGGCTGAGCAAATCCCATAACTCTCTGCCAACGTAAGACCGGAGACTTCACATCACACCCTTTTGCTCACCTTAAAACAGCGGTTCGACAAGTAGGCCTTCACTATATTCTGCCTGAAGTGGTCATTGGTACTTGGCATCTGGAAGGACATTGTGAAGGCAAAACACTTATCAGTGTATTGTACATTAGTATACATCCTTACAGAGTTAGGTATGGATTTTAAAATTGTTCTTTTCAATGTTACAAAAGTGATTTTCCAAATATCTGGCCTACACAGTTCACATGTTGCCATTAATTAGGCAAATTATTTTTTTTTTTACATTCCCTTCAATTCATAGTTTCACATTTAGAGGTGATATGCCAGAACTGGGATATGACAAACCTCTAATCATAAAGGGGTTCATAAAAACAAAACTACCTTTAATTTTCAAATGCAAAAGGGATTTATTGGATACACAGTACAACGGCTGTCAGCAGTAAGGTACTTGACAAGCTGATACCAGATGCCTTGCTGCTTATTTTTACTCATCAAGTAGTTTAATTCGTGTTTAGATTATTTCATGAATAGGTACGTAAGAACATGTTCCTTTGCTGTTCTATATTTGCCGTATGTAAATCTTGTATGGCAATGGGAAACATGAGGGTGGACACATAGCTGCATAATTTATTTCTGATGATGCATCTATGACGAATAGAATAAAGGGATCCAGGCACAGGGAAGCTAATTGCACCATAACCCATATAAGAACCATAATAGCAACAGTGCTTGGATTGCAGTATAATTTGAGGGAGTAACACAGTCAAAACAGGGTGACTGAGAATGATAGGAGTTGGTCTGAGATGAATGTGGGTGCAGAGCAGGGTCGCTGAGATTCAAAGCAGCCTCAGTAATGAAGGGCAAGAGGTGGGAAGAGTTTGGGTCAGGAGAGCATGATAGCACCTGTTAGGAGACATTCATGATTGTTACTTAGTTCTAGATAAACCAAGTCTGTGCTTAACCTACTGTTAATGTTAAAAACTGTGAAAGACAATTTAAAAAATTCTTGATGTTTTTAATCTGAAAATATCATAAAAGAAAAACATGATTTCAGTGTAGAAATTCCCTTACTTCATGTGTTGAGTAATTTAGTGGCGTGCAGACATGTTTTTCCATGAGGCAGAGGGAGGCGGCATTTTTGTGCAGAATAACTTCCTCTTGAAATACAATGTCATTGTGGGAATCTGTAGAGTTAAGAACATATTAGCAAGGAATTTATTTGAATTGTGAGAAACTAAACTGCCAGAAGGCTAAATTAGTCACAGGATTATTCACCAAAGTGAGAATTGCAAGTGAATTTCAAATGTAAGGCTAGAGTAGTTGACCCGAAAGCAGGGGTGTACCTAGAGCATTTGGTACCCGGGGCGGGTCCCATTTTTGGCACCCCGCCCTCCCCCCAACTTTAAAATAAAATTTAAAAAAAACACAATTTTTTAAAATATCTTTTGCACTAAGCAGTGTTTATGTTTTTGAATGTAAGCATGTTTTTGTATGGAATATGTATTAGTGAATGAAGGGTGTGTGTTTGTATGTGGTGTTGGCGTTTGAATGCAGGCATGCATTTTTATGTAGTGTGGTTTTTTAATGCAGTGGTGTGGTTATATATAATGGTGGGGTTTGTATGTAGTGTTGATGTTGAAATGCAGGGGTGTATTTGTGTGTAGTGTTGGCGAGATTCTGAGATGTATACACATATACACACATATATACATAGACACACAGTCACATACAGATACACTGACACACATGCAGACACAGTGGTGACTCTAAGAACAATATATGGGGGGGGGGAGGGGGCACATAAGATACCACAGTCAAAACTGGGGGGGCACTAAAACGTTTCACTAGGGGATGGGGTAATGTGCTGCCATTGGCTGTCTGATGCCAGCATAGAGTGCACGTTGGCATCAGTCAACAAATTTGCATATAATTCATATTAGCCACCCAAATTTCTTGTTGTAGGCTGGCTGACACCTCTTAATTTCAATCTTTTTTTTAACAGTTAACTCCCCTATTTGCTATCCTTATGTGGGATATTGAAGGACACCATTTAAGGGAGCTATCTGCTAAACAGCACCCCAATTTGGTATCTTTAAATATGAAAATCTCACATGAGGGCATCAGTCTAGGGAATTATATACTAAACAGCTAAAAGATCAAAATTTAAAAAGCCCTTTTCTTAATTTGAATCTTCCGGTTGTTTAGTAGATAAATCCCTTATTTGTTATCCTTAAGTGTGATTGCTATATTTAAGGACACCAAATAAGGGAGCTATCTACCAAACACATACACATTTATATACACACACACACCCACATAACCACAAACACACACACACACACACACACACACTATCACTGACCCACACATGCAATCACTGGCCTACACACATAAACACACATAATCACAATACACACGCTTAACCAAAGAGATACACACACAATCACACACATAATTACAGACAGACATACACAAACACAATCACAGACCCACACATATACAATCACAGACACACAAAATTAGATACACACACACACACACACACACACACACACACACAAACATCACATACATACCCTGCTCTGGGAGGACTGGAGTGGATCCTCAGTCCCTGGTGGTCAGTGGTTGCTGCTGGGATCTCTGTGCTCTTCCTGCACAGGTCCCTCGAGCACCATGTAATAATGCTGTGGCAAACAGAACCTCGCCATAGGCTCCTGGAGGAGTTTGCTTGCCAACCTCCTGCCTCAGAACTATGGGCCCTGCAATATACCTTGCCCAATGCACTTTTTAAAAGGCTTCATTCATGGGATTTATTTACTTTTGTACTCTAGAAAGAGAGACTGACCGTTAGCCCTGATTCCCTGGAACTGTTTTGAGCATAGGACCATGTGCACGGTTGGTCAAAATTATGACTTCCATGTAAATCCCGTATCCCTGAACTGATCTGGGTGATTATTAGATATGTTGGTCCCTCAGATCGGGGCTATCAGGGGATGTTACTTTTGCGGGGTTTTGGGGGTACTTCACTGTTAAAATGTATGTTTTCTGTGCCTGGAGATAATTGAGTTTAGTACAGCTCTTGACTCAACTATCTCTCAGGCACAGGGGAGGGATTACCCTGTTTTGTGTGGGAGTGTCCTGGACCTATGCAATTATGTGTATGTTTTACTGTGGCCTCCTCTCAGGTCCAGAGGGGAATGCCCCTGGAATATGTATCTGGAAACCCATTGCATGGGGAGTTGCATGTGGCTCCCATTAAACCAGTTCCTCTTCACACTTAAAATACAGCCTCGTCTCATGTGTGGAGGGAACAGCTATATTCACTCTGGGGATTGCTATAATCACTATACTCTCTTGGATTATAATCACTAGCTCTTGAGTATTCTGCTTTACTCTTTGGATTGGGAAAGGTCTACCCACTGAAAGCTGAATCCTGGTCTTGGGTCCAAGGTGGATGGAGGAGAGTGAGACCCCAACCAAGCTGTAATGCTGGCTGCTTGGTTTGTGGTGGTTATAGTGTCTGGTGGAGTGCTTGGAGTACTTGTGAGCACTAGGAAGCAGCGATGGCGGAGGCACCCAGTCGGGGTGCCAGGTGGTCCGCCACAGACGCCGGGATGACGTTATTTGCCGGCTTACTGCTGGGCGAAGACAGTCAGACACAGTCAGATGCACACAGTTATACACATATACTGTCAAATACAGCCACGTGCACACAGTCCCAGACACATAGTCACTCACACACAGTCAAACACACAGTTACAGGCACACAGTTACATACACAGTTACAGGCAGTGAGGCACACACACACAGCTACAGGCATACAGTCTCACACACACACACACACAGTTACAGGCAGCATCACACAGTCACAGGTAGACAGTCACACACACTCAATGACATGCAGACGGTCACAGGCAGTCACACACACAGTCACAGGCAGCCAGTCACAAGTAGACAGTCACACACACACACAGTCACAGACAGACAGTCTCAGACAGGCAGTCACAGGCAGACAGTCACACACACACAGTCACAGACAGACAGTCACACACACAGACAGGCAGACAGTCACACACACAGTCACAGACAGACAGTCACACACACAGTCACAGGCAGACAGTCACACACACACAGTCACAGGCAGACAGACACACATACGGTCACAGGCAGACAAACACAATCACAGTTACACACACACAGCCACTCTCACTTACTGACAGTCTGGGCTGGAGGAGGAGTTGTTTCATTGCAATCCCTGGTGTGTAGTTGTTGGGGGAAGCAGGGGCTCCTTCCTGCTTCCCCTCAGTGAGCAGCAGTAAGAGGCTGCCGTTAGCTCTGCCCCTGCATCCAATTTGGCTCCGCCCCCACTGCCAATCTGGCTCTGCCCCCAACTCTCCGTGCAGTACTTCTGCTGTATTCCCAGTCGGCCTCTGCATGTGTGAGCTGTGTCGGCTCCCCTGTGCGCCTGCTGCACTGGCACCCTCTGCAGCCACACAGCTCACACACCCCTAAGCCTGGCCAGTCCTGGTGGCACCCTACTACCTGGTGGCACTCCGCTCCCCTTTCCCCCCTACCCTCCCTTAGTCTGCCACTGCCTGAAAGTATACCTGACTAGGAGAATGTTTCCACTTCAGCTATTTTGACCTGAAAGTTGAAATCCACTTTGAATTCACCTTAAATTCTCACATTAGTAAATAAACCTGTCCGTCTACAATATCCAAGTTGGCAAACAAGGTTTTGCTGAAATGTCTATCTATCCATCTGTCTGTCCGTCCATCCTAGCTAATCTGTCTATTTATCTAAGCATAAACATAGCAAGTCCTACTTAGACCTCTACATTGTGTTAACATTTTTATTATCAACTGTACCGTGGACTTTTGACATACAACAAATTTTTCCTTATTTCAAATAGATAGGCTTCAGAACCAATTCGTTTGTAAAGTCGGGAACTACGTGTACAGCTAAATATGATGTTCATTAAAAATGCAATGAATTTTGTTAATAGCTAGTGGTTACTTTGTATCCCTTTTTCGAATACTTGCATGGAGATTTCATCAAAACAATTCACAACGAATTTTATCACACTTTGTAGCGTAACTTACCGTTGGCAGGCAAGCACTTAACAAGCTGGTGTTGATCCTTATACTTCACCTGCACAAGAGTAAAGTGTTGCAATTAATTCAGATGTTAACACTCGTTCTACCCAACCGTGGTTTGAGTAAACATGGGGTGGTTGGAGCCTATCACAAGCTATAGCAAGGTACTACATTTCCGAATACTAGAACCCAATGGAATGTTTCCTGTGTTTGGTCCAAAACTGATACCATTCTACCCGTGGCTTAATGTGCCTAGGAAGTAACTCAAGTAACACTGTGTTTAGGATTCATTGACACATTAGCTGTTGTATTAATATATATATATCTGTCTTTCTTGCTTAGGTATTTCTTATATAATCCTCACTTTTAATATTGTTGGCTACATTTCTAAAATGATTTCATATTTTAGAATAAACTTTTAAAATTATCTTTTCAAAATATTAAAATATCAAAAAATATCTATCATATGTAAAAATATACAAATACATCAAAAATACTAAAATATTAAAATATTACATAATTGAAATAGTTTAAATGTTTAAAAACAAATGTTTATCCAAAATAGATAATAATTTGAAATGCCTGTCTAGCAATATTAACTTAAGGCCAAAATGTCAGATGAGTAAGAATTATTTATCGTTTCTTCTAATTCTCAGGAAATTTACAAATTAATTTCCTACCTGGATACAGATGGAGGGATGAAATTTCACACCATCGAACACCTGAGGATCCTGTGTAAAAAAATAAACACTTTTAATCATTTCAAAAGTGGCAGATGATGAATGTCACCCTAGTGAGTTCTTTGAGGACGAGATGTCCTTCAATGGTAGAAATGCAAGCCATAATAAATGTCACTGATTCTCTCTGAATCGGTAACATGTCCTAATTTCCTCCTCCTTGGGGACATCCAATTTGATCCCAGCTGGGATATACAATGATTTGACCAAGCAAGTTCAAACATCTAGGATATGGTATATATATATATATATATATCAGAGTAATTGAGCAAAGCTGAATTCAACCCCTTAGATGTGGGGTAGGCAACATTCACACTCCAGATGTGGATTACATCTCCCATGATGCTTTGTCAGAATTATGGCAGTGCGAGCATCATGGAAGATTTCATCCACAACATCTGAAGTGCCGAAAGATGCCTACCTCTGATTTAGACTGGCCCATGCATAATCCCAAAGGCCCAGAGGTGACTAATTTGTATATGCAAAAAGAAAAACTACAGAAGAACGGGAAAGCAAACAAATGTGAGTGAAATAAAATAATATAGATACTTTTATTTATGAAAATATTTAAAAAATACCCTGTGCATCAGTTAAAACTTAAAGAGACTTCATTTTAGTGAAATGGTTTGGTGCATGGACCATGACCTCTTTATTGTGGCAATGCAAAACACATTTGGCCATAAACATGCCTCTAGCGGCCGTTAAGCTGACAACCTCAAGCGGAGCTTCTACATTGCAGACTTTCATGATTGAAAATCTACATGATCAGTATTGCTGAACGCTGTGAATGCTTCGCGTAGAGAAACACTGGATTCAATGTCTCTCTATAAGAAGCTTCAGGTTGGCTGACTGTAGCAAGTTTAGGAACCTTCTGGGCCCCTGATTATTATCCTATAAATGGTGAGGTTAGTCTGGTTTCAGCTTCTTTAACATAAAATAGCGTACTGCGCCCATAGCTTTGTTCTTGAATTATGCTTCTATTCATTTTCATTAAAAGTTGCATATGACACAGAAATTACAAAAAAAATACAGCAATCGGAATAAACATTGCAATTAGTTTCATTATTATAAATTGCAAGAGTTACAATTAGTAAAACTAAAAGGCAGTGTTTAACTTAACTAAGAAGGGTTACCAACCAAAAATAATCCCATCAGGTGTATGGGAAGTGGGGAGCCCAAGAGAGGGGGGTCTGGGGTAAGATACTCAGCGGTTTCTAGCAGTGGGTTAATATGAGAGCCCACCAATGGTGTATACCAGTGTCCTGTAAGTGTGTCAAATAATTATTCCACTGGCCTAAACTTAAACTCCTCCATCTTAGTTTACCACAGTGTCAATGGAGGGGGACATTGCTGTTTTATTTGTTCCACTACATGCAGAAGGATCCGTGTCTTATATATGATGCTGTTTTAGAGGTCATGTGGTGCAACACTGGTCAGGAAGTATTACTTTACTGAGAGGGTAGTGGATGCATGGAATAGCCTTCCAGCTGAAGTGGTAGAGGTTAACACAGTAAAGGAGTTTAAGCATGCGTGGGAAAGGCATAAGGCTATCCTAACTACTAGATAAGGCCAGGGACAAATGAAAGTATTTAGAAAATTGGGCAGACTAGATGGGCCGAATGGTTCTTATCTGCAGTCACATTCTATGTTTCTATGTTTGCCACCCGTCATTGTGGCATAATGACAGCAATAAAATCCTTGGGATAAGTCTTGAAATGTTTTCCTTAATCGTACAAAAACAGTGTTACCTAGACATTCAAAATCCTCCGTTTGTGATTTTAGAGTCTGTATCTTTCTCAGAAAAAGGGATTTAAATAAAAATGATATTCATATTTTTGTTTTAAATGTATTGTGTATATTGTTTCTTAAAAGCAATGCTATGCATTTTGTTCACTAGTAATATTTATATATTTGTTTAAATAATCTAGAGAAAGGTTAATGTCTTACCAATGACCAGATCTTTTTTCGGATGGGCAGCTCCTGACAGTGAGAATTGTGACTGTATTTCCAACACAGAGAAATCTCAGCTGATACATTGCATGGGGCGCTAAAGTTGTAGAGCAGCAAATTATCCTTTACGGCCATTGAGAATGTACTCAGTCTCCATATATTTTCTTCTAGATAATTATCTGAAGAAAAGCAGAAATAAATGAGTTGGTTTTGTAACGATGCATGAAACATAATCAAAGGAAACAAAGATTGCAATTGTCTATGTTATGCTTACGTTGCACTCTAATGTTACAAATGATCAAATAATTCATTTTTAAAAATACCAGCAAATACGTCTTGTGCATCTTTCTTACGGTATGGAAGCCCTAAAACTTAATAAAACATCCATCATTATGAGTAGCTTTAAATGGAGATTTGTCTTCAAATGTATGTGGAGGCATTTGTACACTGCCCCGCACTAACAAGGAAGTAAGTGCTGGACAAAAAGTGGGTAGATCTTCCTCAGCTGTAAAGGGCCAGTTTTCCATGCTTTAGAAATATCTGTGAAAATTCTAGTAAATGAATAATTTATTTGCACTGCTTAAATTAACACTCTGAGCACCGTACTCCCTCAAGCCTGCTTTAGTGGGTATGGCTCCAGGGATGCCCTGATGTTATCCTACAGTAATATGTCAAATAATGTTAGCACAGTTTAACAACTTACCTGGGTTCTGCAGGGTACCCACTCCACATTCTTCACATTCTTTACATCCTTCACATCCAGCCTTCTCCCGCATGTCTCCTTAGAGCAAAGCAAAACAAACACAGATTCACAATCATGGTGGTAGGACCAAGGTAAGTTATCAGACTGTGCTAAACCGGTCTGTTGGCTGGAGCCAGGGCAGTCGGGCAACATAACCAGTACAGCAAGCTGTAGATGGTATGGTACTTGCAGTTTTCCTTTACTTATATGCATTTTAAAATATCCACTATTGGACATTGTAATACCCTTTAACATGGATTACAGGAGGTTTTCAATGGTTTATAAAAAATAATCAAATAATTTACTAGTTTTGTACTTTTTAATTGAAAGATAAGCCTAATTCCTATTTAACTTCAGCTGCGTCAAATGTGACTCAACAACTCTTATACTGGTAGAGATGTTACCATGGATGGGACATTCTGTGTAAAGAGACACACATTGGTGTCAACATAAAGAACTGTTATATATCACTAATGTCAGACTGCTTCATGTCAAGGTGCTGTGGTTCTTTAGTGTTAACCCTGCAATGTCCTTTATTTTCAACCCTGCATTGTTGTTTAAAAGACACGGCAATGATTACATTGCAAGATTAAATACAACTAATGGTTGTCTACTTGACAGCCACTAGACGCAGGGCTGCCCAACTGGTAGATCCCCAGATGTCATGGAACTACAACTCCCATGATGCTTTGCATGCCTTGAGAATGCATTTAGAATGACAAAACATCACGGGAGTTGTAGTTCTACAACATCTGGGGATATACCTGTTGGGAAGCCCTGCACTAAAGGCACATCCTCTATGAGAACCAAGTCAAAGTCAGTTTTCACTGGTAATGTCCAATAGGAGCAGAGCACTGGCCTCGCATGCACATTTCATCCCAATTGGACATTTAGTAGCGTTGGTGTGATGCCACTACAGGCAGATTGAGCGGCTTTTTTTTATTTGTAAATTTTCAAGATAGCTAAATCTTTATCCTGACTCAATAACTTTATTTGGTAAATAGAGCATTTACATAAAAGTTTGGTGTTTTGCCTTACAATTCTTACAATATTTAAAACTCTTGGGGTTATTAAACTCATTAATAAAACGCTCTGATATGCCGAGCAAGCATTACTATACTAGAAATTAGAAACCATTACTATTACGAGTGAGACAGTAGACATACCGTTACGATTCAAAAATGGACAATATCTTTCTCGAACAGCATCACTCTGATTACTCCACCAAACCTGTAGGAAAAAGAGCACAATGATAGTGAATCATATTCACCATTGTGATAACCATTGTATGTTCCACCACCACAGAATCATGCAAACACAATTTTAACAATTGTAAATGAAATGCATTTATTGCAGATAAATATTGTGACAGACCCATCTGTCTGGATTATAACTGCTTTGTTCGTCTGTTTTGCCGTTTTCATGAATTTCCCCGTTCGTATGCTTTGTTTAAGGGAATGTCGGTTTTGTCGAACGGAACTACCGAACGGACGGCCACCCAGAAGAGAAGTGTGCTGCTGGTTAACCTATTGATCCCAATTAGAACGTTGCGGTTAACCACAGACACTTCTCAATTAAAAACCGAATGCCGGGTGGTCGTCGTTCGTATGTCGACCACGAGGCGGCGGCCATTTTGTCCATGCGAACGACCAGCGGTGTTCAACGATTATTTCATGGATCGGAAAACGGACACTTTTTCAGCCGAACACCGCTGAAGCCGTCGACCTCCCCTTCTCAATCGACAAAAGCATGCGAATGACAGCCGTTCGGGAGATTCAACCACACGAATGGACTTAACCCAGATAGCCGTCCCATGGAGTCAATCGCATACCGAAGAACTGAAAGAGACTTTGACTCCATGGCGATTGAACTGTGCGAATGGGATCTGAGCGCTATTCTCCAATAATGTGCCCTCAGATCCAGGCTATCTGGGGATATGCAAGACTGATGTAAAATGTTCAGCAGTTACTAAGTTATGGATGTTTGTGTGTTTTTGTAACTTGTATCTAAAATGGCGATTGCCTCTGCTCGGGGAGATAATTGAAGTACTTCCCAATTATCCCCCGAGCAGAGGGGAGGGAACTGTACTGCATGCTGGGAATATTGTGGGGATGTATGTCCAGAATGTCCCCATGTCCCTCTGTGATTTCAGTCTCCCATTTGGTCCCCTAGGGGAGTGTCCACCAAGTGGGAGACCTGCATAAATACCGGGCAGGTAGCCCACAGTAAACCAGTTCGTGTTTTACCCTCAAAGCGGAGCTTGGTCTCGTTATTGGGGGGATTTGGATACCAGCGGCGAGAGACTGCTGATTTGGATTATTTGCCGCTTGGGAGAGATTGTCGTTCGGTTACTGATTGCCGTTCGTGGATTTGCGGCTCGTGAAGGGAATTCACCGTACAGGTACCGTTCGGGAGTTTGGAGTGTTCCCTGGCTGGTGGTTCGCATGGTTTTATTATACCCGCTACCCGACCCCATTAGTGCGAACGGGGAATACTCGCTAAACGGCGGTTTGTACATTTCAGTGCCGTAGGTACCGTAACAAATATAATTTGCAATTACTGTTCTGACAGCACAACCAGCATTAAAGCGCTGGTTCTGCTGAGCCCTCCTCCAGTTACATGGGACCTCTGGCTAAGTGCAGATTGCTGTCGATGCTCCTTCCTGTCCAAAAACTTGAACGATGCATTCCCAGGGGTCTGCACTGAGCCAGAGATACAGACCAGCCTGACAGCCCACCAGGGAAACCACTGGGCAATCTAAGAAACTAGGTTCAAAAAGTAAGCAGGACAAGGGCCACAGCAACATTAGAAAAAAAATACTGCACTGTTTGGGTAGGCTGGACATAGAAACATCTCCCCTTCACACATTCACCCTGTCTCATTTACTGCCTCCCACAATGACCCCACACAGTAATCGTGTCTCATTCACACACACCCACAATGTCACCCTGTCTTATTCACCCCCGCCCACAATAACCCCACACAGTAACCCTGTCACACTCATCCCTCTGACACTCAGCACACACACACTCACCCTGCCACAGTAAACCTCATACACACAATCAATCCTTTAGAAACATACACCAGAACCTCACCATAAGCACAACATACACATGGCAGCCCCCTCATTTATACAACACTTAGCAAGCAGCCCTGCACATATACTCCCAGACACTGAGATGCACTGCTCACAGACACACATAGACACCAGATATGCATTCCAAACACAGTTACAGTGCTGTAACAAAAAGCACAGTTTGCCTGGAAAAGATCTATGGATTACAAGGCAGTTCGGTACTTTGCAAGCATTCTCCATGCGAATGCTTACCTACCTCTAACAGGCCACCCTGACTGTTAATTGAGACTAATTTACCTCCCTGCTTGATGGGCACTTTTTGTCGAAAGACCGCACGAATGCTATGAGAGCTGTAAGCCCAGCCGCCATTTCGGGACTTCCACGTGTTCACGGCCATTTTAACTCCCGAACAGCAGTGTTTGCCGTCGAGTGTCTGGAACTAAAATCAGACACTCAAATAGGTGAACACCACTGAGACCTCCATACTTTCAGGAAAACCTCGCCAAAACTACCGAACGGCCAGGCGTTCGGTAGAAAGAATCAGCAACAGATGGGGATTTCAGCGAACCCAGGATGGCATACGGATGGCCGGCCGTTCGGGAGTTTTTACCCACGATCTTAGACCAACTGCAGGGCCAGCATTCATGGAACTGTTTTCGGCTACTGTGCCCGTGCGGTCGGTCAAAACTTCTAAGTCCCATATCTCCCGAACGGCTGAACCGAATGGGCTGATTTTTAAATATGTTAGTACCATAGATACAAAATTTATGTCTGTACCCCAAATATTTGGGGTACATCTGAACTTTGGGGAAAATATGTTCCTTTTTAATTGTGTTATTTAGTTATCTAAGGGGAGGGGATGTACAGAATGTATATTGTATTGATTGGTTATACTGCTAATTATGTGGGTGTCTCCCTTGCATGGGCAGAATTGCATAAAAGAGAGTGTCTGTCAATAAACCCTCAGTTCTTCTTGACCCTTCAAAACGTAGCCTCGTCTCGTTCTTGAAAGGGGAATCTATGCAGCTTAATCACTTAGCTCTTTTCAGAGCTGTACTTGGCTTCCACTCCTGATCCAGCAGAAGGGAATAGGCGACTCCATCACTACACAGCGACTTGCCGGGAAGAAAAGGACGTCCCCAACGGCTGGTACCCTCACCATACCAGGGTAGCCGTTACAAGTGCCTTCCCATATATTTACAATCACAGACACAAAAGGATACTCACTGTCAGACACACACTGTTAGGCTCATACACAGGTACACAATGCCAGACATACCCACAGGTATGTGTGTTTGTCAATATGTGTGTGTCTGTGTCTCATTGTGCATCTCTAGGCATCAGTGTGTTTGTGTATATATGTGTGTATGTATCAGAGTGTGTATATGTGTGTGAGTATCAGTATATATACATAGATGTATAAGTGAATGTATGTGTGTGTATTTGTGTGAGTCCAGAGAGGCAACATAGCTGTAATGCTATGGGCAATGTCATGGTAATGTGGCTACTTATACAAGAGACGTGGGGCTATATCTATATATTACCTAGATCACTTTTATCTGTATATTTATTATACTCCATTTATGTTTCCATGAATTAATTTGCTATATGTACCTATTGACATTAAAAATTACTTTCCATGACAACCAAAATACTTGGATTCTTGTGGTGGTTATTTCTCAAACCGCTTAGTAGCGAAGAGGTTACCTACAGCGCGCAGAGGATTATGGGAGTTTTACAGGGCTATTCCCAAAAGTGAGAATTTGAATGTGAATTTCAGATTTAAGGACATTTGGCTATTTTGCCCTACATTTTAAAATTCACATTGAATTAAATTTAAATATCCAAGCAATTCTCACTTTAGAAAATAAACCTGTAAGAATCATAAGTGTGTGGCGTTCTTATTTAACTAGTCCTATGCTGCTATGTAATCTTGATTTCAGGGTTATGGATGCAATTTGTATTATTTAGTCTTATGCCCGAGCGCCAGGCCCCTGTCTAGGCTGAGGCCCTAAGGGGCCCCCTATGCTGCCTTAGAAGTAATACTTCTCCTGTAGCTGTGCATCAATGTGTGTATAAGGATTATGTAACTTTATCTTTTTTGTGTTCAGCAAAAAATAAACACTTTGTTTAGCACATTAATTGTCTTTATTGTCATACAGATACAGATAAGTGTTGCAAGAAGCAGACCTATTTTTCCTTATCATATATCTGTACACACTTTTTTATTACATGATAATAAAGTTAATATTGAGCAAGTTGAGCTAGATATTTATTTAAAAATGATAAACTAATTGGTCATCAGTTTAAAACAAAGGCAAGCTTATTTTACCAATTAATAATTACCGTGCCCATATAAAAAACACATCATTTTTAGTCATTCATTAAGAAAGAACTGCCTGTTAATCTCTTTGGTTTCACAAGGTAGACTGGTAAAAAGCATGACGTAAAGGTAACATATACAAAAAAAAATAAATTATTGCATTAGTTAGTAGAGCGTTAAAACTATTTATATGATTTTTAGCATAACTGCGTACGGCTCTGCTGGTTTTAAATTTTTATCAAAAGCTACTGTATATTAAATAACAATAAGCATGATAATTATTAACTGTTTTTGGCCATTTTAAAATAAACAGGGGGAACATATTGTGTTCCCTCCACCCCACCCCTCACCACCACTCCCCCCCCCCACTTTCTCTTCCCGGCCCCAACCACCAGCAATAGGCAGAGCTTTATTTAAAATATGATAAGAACCAAGAGAGTGGGAATTTCTCTGGTATACGTGTAAACTGCGCAAAGCAAGTATACTCCCAATGTTGTAATGAATGATCCAAAGAAATATAATTGCGTGGGGAAAAAAATATATGTATACAGTTGCAAGAAAAAATATGTGAACCCTTTGGAATGATATGGCTTTCTGCACAAATTGGTCATAAAATGTGATCTGATCATCATCTAAGTCACAACAAGAGACAATCACAGTCTGCTTTAACGAATAACACACAAAGAATGAAATGTTGCCATGTTTTTTATTGAACACACCATGTAAACATTCACAGTGCAGGTGGAAAAAGTATGTGAACCCCTAGACTAATGACATCTCCAAGAGCTAATTGGAGTGAGATGTCAGCCAACTGGAGTCCAATCCACGAGATGAGATTGGAGGTGTTGGTTACAGCTTCCCTGCCCTTTAAAAAACACACACCAGTTCTGGGTTTGCTTTTCACAAGAAGCATTGCCTGATGTGAATGATGCCTCGCACAAAAGAGCTCGCAGAAGATCTACGATTAAGAATTGTTGACTTGCAGAAAGCTGGAAAGGGTTATAAAAGTATCTCCAAAAGCCTTGCTGTTCATCAGTCCACGGTAAGACAAATTGTCTATAAATGTAGAAAGTTCAGCACTGCTGCTACTCTCCCTAGGAGTGGCTGTCCTGTAAAGATGACTGCAAGAGCACAGTGCTGACTGCTCAATGAGGTGAAGAAGAATCCTAGAGTGTCAGCTAAAGACTTACAAAAGTCACTGGCAAATGCTAACATCCCTGTTAGCGAATCTACAATACGTAAAACACTAAACAAGAATGGATTTCATGGGAGGATACCACAGAGGAAGCCACTGCTGTCCAAACAAAACATTGCTGCACGTTTACAGTTTGCACAAGAGCACCTGGATGTTGCACAGCAGTACTGGCAAAATATTCTGTGGACAGATGAAACCAAAGTTGAGTTGTTTGGAAGAAACACACAACACTATGTGTGGCGAAAAAAAGGCACAGCACACCAACATCAAAACCTCATTCCAACTGTGAAGTATGGTGGTGGGGGCATCATGGTTTGGGGCTGCTTTGCTGCGTCAGGGCCTGGACGGATTGCTATCATCGAAGGAAAAATGAATTCCCAAGTTTATCAAGACATTTTGCAGGAGAACTTAAGGCCATCTGTCTACCAGCTGAAGCTCAACAGAAGATAGGTGTTGCAACAGGACAATGACCCAAAGCATAGAAGTATATCAACAACAGAATGGCTTAAACAGAAGAAAATACGCCTTCTGAAGTGTCCCAGTCAGAGTCCTGACCTCAACCCGATTGAGATGCTGTGGCATGAACTCAAGAAAGCGATTCACACCAGACATCCCAAGAATATTGCAGAACTGAAACAGTTCTGTAAAGAGGAATGGTCAAGAATTACTCCTGACTGTTGTGCACGTCTGATCTGCAACTACAGGAAACGTTTGGTTGAAGTTATTGCTGCCAAAGGAGGTTCAACCAGTTATTAAATCCAAGGGTTCACATACTTTTTCCACCTTCACTGTAAATGTTTACATGGTGTGTTCAATAAAAACATGGCAACATTTCATTCTTTGTGTGTTATTAGTTTAAGCAGACTGTGATTGTGTATTGTTGTGACTTAGATGATGATCAGATCACATTTTATGACCAATTTGTGCAGAAATCCATATCATTCCAAAGGGTTCACATACTTTTTCTTGCTACTGTACACTTAATATAGGGTGTGTCTGTGAACAATGTGAAAGCGGTGCCTTTTAATGCTGCTCCTTTAGAGAAAGTATCCCTACACTTTCTAGTACAAGACAAAGTAACACTGAAAATGGTTAAGGTAGCGCAAAAAATACAGTCTAATCGCATGTTGATAATAAACATATAAACATTTATTGAATCTTATATGAAGTCTAAAAATATATTTAAAATACAATAACAAAAAAAACCTTGTACAATAATAATTATTGATATACTGAGTATGCACACTACTAAGTAATATAGCAAAAAATGAGACTGCGTCAATTAAAGAAATATACCATAAAAAATAGAATAAAAAATATGGAAAAATAAAAATAAAAATGAGAGTGGAATGGCAGAAAAAAACAGAGTACTGTAAAAAAAAAGGGGGGGGGACAGCTTACTGTTGGGGATGTGTTTGTGCTGACATCCTTCTGATTACATTTGAAGAGAGTAAGGTCTGCTGCAGCGCAGTACTCTGTTTTTTTTCTGCCATTCCACTCTTATTTTTTTTTTTCATATTTTTTATTCTATTTTTTTTGTGATTGTACTGCATTGATTGTTATTTTAATATTGTGGTCCCTGAGGAAGTCCCATATTTTGTAGAAGGGACGAAACGCGTAGGACCTTTATTTGTATTTATTTTATATTTTTATACAATTAAAGCCGCTTTTTTCATATCTTCACCTGGAGTCCTGCATTTTGAGTGGAAGTGTCCAGGGGATTTCTCTAGCCCCCCATATCATCAGGGGTGGCACCATATATGCCTGAACTGTCCAATATCCTGTGAGTGCATTTTATATTGCGCAGTGTTAATATTGTAAAACTGTATTACACTATACCTCTTTTTATTTATCCTCATTTAGACAATCAGCCGGTTCCCTCGTTGTGTTTTGTATATTCTTGAATACTCAGTATAGCAATAATTATTATTGTACAAGGTTTTTTTTGTCATTGTATTTTAAATATATTTTTAGACTTCATATAAGATTCAATAAATGTTTATATGTTTATTATTAACATGTGATTAGACTGTATTTTTTGCGCTTCCTTAACCATTTTCAGGGTTACTTTATTTAAAATACACTGGTGGTGAGAGACGTATGAGAAGCAATCTTACTGAGATTCCATAGCATTGGCATGGGCTAACATGAATTACTTTTATTGTATTGTGTTTTTTTCTGCCACATGGTTTGTTTGTTTTTAGGCAATCTGTTAAGGGTTTTTTTTTTACATTTTAATAGTTTTAATGCCTTTTTTTCGCTAGCACAAAAATCATGCAAAAGCAGACGCAACTTATATATTCCTTACATCATCTTAACATAACACGAGTGCTAACAAAATATTTTAGTTTTTTTTTTACATGCCTTTTTATGGTTCTAAAAATTTAAAAATAAATACGTAAATAAAAATCTTACTAGGACTTACCACAATACACAGGCAAGGTACCAAATGCTCTTTAGGTATAATGTAGCGCTCATCTCCTTTCTAAGAGTAAGAATGAGAATTGGTACAATTTAGACGTGAATAAGTTAATTTTGATCATTATTCATAAAATATCCTTCTAGTTCATTCGATTGTCACTTAATTCTATTTTTACCTTTCTACTCTTTTTTTCTTTTACTTGCAATTTTTTTTTATATTGTTAAAGCATTATTAATAACAACTATAAAAGTATCTTATAAAATCGATTTGTGCAATCAGTAACCTCAGAGTTTATTTCTAATTTCAACATGACAACAAGTTATATTGGCTTGTATCCGTAATGAGATATGTTTGCATTCTGTCACTCGCACCAACCTTAAAGAAAATAACCATTGCTTTCCTTGTTCTCATTCTTTGAGAATTAAAGTAAAAAAAACCTTTAAAGTCCTGTGTGCCACAGAGTTCAAATATCCTATCCCGGGAAACCAGTCACTACTCGTTATCATTCCTGTCACCAATTTTAGCGACCAACCTCTGGCCTACTGTGAAGAGCATAACAACAGTTAAATCCCTAGATATACTATTGAAACAAAAAGTCTTGTTATAACTCTGTGGCTACTAGCAACAGTATGAAGTCTCCATGCACAGGTGTGTGTTTCTGTGCTTTACCGGCAGGCCGTTAATATGCAAGTGATTACTGTAAACTATACCTTAATTTATTAGAAACTGCTAAGTACAAAGGAGATGTACAGCAGCACAGGTATCTGCCATCGAAGACACACTGCGTCTGCCTCTTTGGTACTCTTTAGAAACTGGACATAAAATATAGGAGAACAAGTTTTCCATATTTGTTTTCTCAATGTTGGCAATTGTTTTTTTCACTGCAGTCTGCAGATATCCAAACGCTAAAAAATTTTTGTGCCAAAGAAGTAATTAGAAATGGAAGGCACGATGTGATTGGCTGGGACTCGGGGTCTTCAGTGACGATGCAGGGGTATAAATCTCCTGTATTAAAGAATCCACTGGATGACAGACTACAGATATTCAATCCGGGATAAACTGGATGACAGACTACAGATATTCAATCTGGGAAAAACTGGATGACAGACTACAGATATTCAATCTGGGATAAACTGGGTGACAGACTACAGATATTCAATCTGGGATAAACTGGGTGACAGACTACAGATATTCAATCTGGGATACACTGGGTGACAGACTACAGATATTCAATCCGGGATAAACTGGATGACAGACTACAGATATTCAATCTGGGATACACTGGGTGACAGACTACATATATTCAATCTGGGATAAACTGGATGACAGACTACAGATATTCAATCCGGGATAAACTGGATGACAGACTACAGATATTCAATCCGGGATAAACTGGATGACAGACTACAGATATTCAATCCGGGATAAACTGGATGACAGACTACAGATATTCAATCCGGGATAAACTGGATGACAGACTACAGATATTCAATCCGGGATAAACTGGATGACAGACTACAGATATTCAATCTGGGATAAACTGGATGACAGACTACAGATATTCAATCTGGGATAAACTGGATGACAGACTACAGATATTCAATCTGGGATAAACTGGGTGACAGACTACAGATATTCAATCTGGGATACACTGGGTGACAGACTACATATATTCAATCTGGGACAAACTTCGTGACAGACTACATATATTCAATCTGGGATAAACTGGATGACAGACTACAGATATTCAATCTGGGATAAACTGGGTGACAGACTACAGATATTCAATCTGGGATAAACTGGATGACAGACTACAGATATTCAATCTGGGATAAACTGGGTGACAGACTACAGATATTCAATCTGGGATAAACTGGATGACAGACTACAGATATTCAATCTGGGATAAACTGGATGACAGACTACAGATATTCAATCTGGGATAAACTGGATGACAGACTACAGATATTCAATCTGGGATAAACTGGATGACAGACTACAGATATTCAATCTGGGATAAACTGGATGACAGAATACAGATATTCAATCTGGGATAAACTGGATGACAGAATACAGATATTCAATCTGGGATAAACTGGATGACAGACTAAAGATATTCAATCTGGGATAAACTGGATGACAGACTACAGATATTCAATCTGGGATAAACTGGATGACAGACTACAGATATTCAATCTGGGATAAACTGGATGACAGACTACAGATATTCAATCCGGGATAAACTGGATGACAGACTACAGATATTCAATCCGGGATAAACTGGATGACAGACTACAGATATTCAATCCGGGATAAACTGGATGACAGACTACAGATATTCAATCCGGGATAAACTGGATGACAGACTACAGATATTCAATCCGGGATAAACTGGATGACAGACTACAGATATTCAATCTGGGATAAACTGGATGACAGACTACAGATATTCAATCTGGGATAAACTGGATGACAGACTACAGATATTCAATCTGGGATAAACTGGATGACAGACTACAGATATTCAATCTGGGATAAACTGGATGACAGACTACAGATATTCAATCTGGGATAAACTGGATGACAGACTACAGATATTCAATCTGGGATAAACTGGGTGACAGACTACAGATATTCAATCTGGGATAAACTGGGTGACAGACTACAGATATTCAATCTGGGATACACTGGGTGACAGACTACAGATATTCAATCTGGGATAAATTGGATGACAGACTACAGATATTCAATCTGGGATAAACTGGATGACAGACTCCAGATATTCAATCTGGGATAAACTGGATGACAGACTACAGATATTCAATCTGGGATAAACTGGATGACAGACTACAGATATTCAATCTGGGATAAACTGGATGACAGACTACAGATATTCAATCTGGGATACACTGGGTGACAGACTACAGATATTCAATCTGGGATAAACTGGATGACAGACTACAGATATTCAATCTGGGATAAACTGGATGACAGACTACAGATATTCAATCTGGGATAAACTGGATGACAGACTACAGATATTCAATCTGGGATAAACTGGATGACAGACTCCAGATATTCAATCTGGGATAAACTGGATGACAGACTACAGATATTCAATCTGGGATAAACTGGGTGACAGACTACAGATATTCAATCTGGGATACACTGGACAGACTACAGATATTCAATCTGGGACTGGATGACAGACTACAGATATTCAATCCGGGATAAACTGGATGACAGACTACAGATATTCAATCTGGGATAAACTGGATGACAGACTACAGATATTCAATCTGGGATAAACTGGATGACAGACTACAGATATTCAATCTGGGATAAACTGGATGACAGACTACAGATATTCAATCTGGGATAAACTGGATGACAGACTACAGATATTCAATCCGGGATAAACTGGATGACAGACTCCAGATATTCAATCTGGGATAAACTGGATGACAGACTACAGATATTCAATCTGGGATAAACTGGGTGACAGACTACAGATATTTAAGATGGGATAAAGTGGATGACAGATTACATTTATTCAATCTGGGATAACAACTAGTTATTCTACAAATGAGCTGTCTGTTAATTACTCATCCACATAATATGACTAATCACTGGAAAGATCCATTTGAGACTGAACTGGAAAGAAAATCAGTGTTTTATGCATGTATTATGTATATATTTATTTGTATTGTTCATTTGTAATTGACATGTAATGGTACAAAAGCCTCATTCGTTAGAGCTGGAAATAAAAAAAAAACAAAAAACTCACCAATCTTTTTCTTATAGTTGTAATATTGTGAGAAACCATTAATTCGTAGGAACGGCTGCTTGATCCATTCCTTATGCCTACTGAGAAATTCCTGTCGGTGGAAACATACATACTAGGCACTGCAACAACAACAAAAGAGATTAAGGAAGATAGAATTTAGATGTCTGATTCCAAGATGCACTACTGTAATTATGGTTTCACGTACATCAGTTTTCTAGTTAACATTAAATGTCACATTCCATAATGTCTTGTATGTTGCTAATATTACCTCCACATTCCTTCACTTCCTCTATAAAACGCAGCTCCTTGCACCCTGTTGGGATAATATACACAATATCAATATCAATACCCATTGTACAGCGCTACGGAATCTGATAGCGCTATATAAATAATAAAATAATAATTATATCAAAGGTGCAATAAATAAATAACCTGTATCGTAAAATATTGTCATACAATACTGTATGTTCTGCATGTGTTACCTAAAAATCTAATAGGTTTAAAAATAAAAGTGTTTTACGTTTCAACAAAATGTACACAAATCTACACTTTAATTGAAATGAATCCACAGAAGGACAAAGGAGATCACCAGCCAGTGGCGGACTAGGCCCTTGGCACTTTGGCCATGGACTCATGACAATCGAGGGCCCCCCATGGCAGTACTGTCATGGGCTGGCTAGGGAGCCATATATATAACAAATATTAAATGGAGTAGTCTACAACTCTTCACTACTATTTTCCAGTTTAGCTATTTCAGGCCTAAAATGTTCAATGCCTTGACAATTCTCCAATATCTACTTCATAACAACTGACGGCTTATTCACTAAACAGTTAAGATTCGGGACCCAAGGTTGCTTGAGGACCCAAAATCTTTAATTGTCATAAGCATGCTCCTTTATTCTTTGTGTCAATTAAATCGAGGTGTTGGTACATATTAGTGTACAGGTGAAAGAGCATTTTAAGCATACCTCCCAACATGACCAATTCACAGAGGGACATTAATTTCGGGGGGCTGGCCAGGGGCATGGCTGTTCTGAGAAATTCTAGGAGACGTACTAATAACAAATTATACACCTAATATGTAATTTAGAGTAAAACAATGTATCTTATTTACGCAGACTGATCTCTAACTACATTTATTGTAGTTTAAAAACACATTATTGGGAGTATTATTGCTGCGGAGCTCTGTTTTACAATCAGATGCACCAACAGTATGGAGCTTCTAGAAAAGAGGTAGAGGGGGACTAATGGATTTAGTTTTAAATAGGGACTTTACCTCCTAAATCGGGACACTTGGATCTGCTCCACTTCCACTAGCAAAGATCTGTGCCTTCTGAGACCATACTTGGAGTAAAGACTGTAGTTACTGATCACCTTTCTCCAAATATCAAAATAGTATGGAAGAGAGGCAGGTGAAAGCTGGAGGAGTGTACCTGTCATCTCCTCTTGCATTTGGTAATGCTGTATCAAAAACAAAACCCTTTGAGTCCTAAATGCTTAGATTTTGTTAGTTTATAATCTTCTGGGAGTTGTGACATACGGAAGGCAAAGGTTAGCAAAGAAGAAGAAGACACCATCATGAAACCAACACTTACCTGTCACGGGATGCATGCTGATTAAGGGATCCTGATATCTTGGCACAGTGTAAGCTGTTAGGTTCACATCACTTTCAGGAGATGCATTAAAGCAACTGAACATAAGAGTTCCCTGCAGAAAAGAAATTCATTTTTTTTCACAAATATATACTTGTTAAAAAAAAATTACGTGTTGACTATATTGACAAGTATTGATACTTGCCTACTGTATTTGCCAACATAAAATTGAGACTTTTATGTCCCTACAAGCTGTGTGACATACCTTCCAATGGTATACCATATAATCCTGGTTCCTTATATTCATTCAGATAAAATAAAGGGGAACTAGTATCTAAAAGATCATCAGCGTCATTTAAAAAGGTATAGCCAACTTTTTCTGTGTCTTGCAAAATCCATCAAAATTGCAACTGCAATTTCTTCCATGTATTTCATGCACATATGATGAGGATTTATCACAAAAACTAACATGGTTATTCCCTGAACTGGGACTTGCAGGCTACTTTTTGGCATTGTAGAATCCTCATAGATTTGATTGGCAGCTTGCTCAGATTTCTTACAACTGGATCCTTGCTGGAACTTGGTCGTAACGGAATCTATTCTAAGCCAGTGAATAATGTATTCTGCACCCAATGCAGTAATATTCCTCTTGAAATGCATAACATTTCTGTGATTTTTTTTAAAACCAGTTAATCAGAGCTCTAAACCTTTAATCGTGTTATTATTACACTATACCTTCATTTAACTTCCTTGATGCTTAACATACCAACCCGGTTAAAGAATAATCTGTGAGAAAAAACACTAAATATTTGCATCAACAAATATTGTAATATGTCTAAGAGGAATTACAATCTATTTATTTACATGTCATTCACAGGACAGGCTTCCTTCAAACTCACCCCAATGCCCTTATAAGCTTGTTCTTAAAGGGAAACAATGCAGTATAATTGATCCCCATATTTGTTTAATGCATTATTACCTTTAAAGGACCACTCTAGGCACCCAGACCACTTCAACTTAATGAAGTGGTCTGGGTGCCAGGTCCTTCTAGGGTTAACCCATTTTTTCATAATTATAGCAGTTTCAGAGAAACTGCTATAATTATGAATGGGTTAAGCCTTCCCCCTAATCCTCTAGTGGCTGTCTCATTGACAGCCACTAGAGGCGCTTGCGTGCTTCTCACTGTGAAAATCACAGTGAGAGCACGCCAGCGTCCATAGGAAAGCATTGTAAATGCTTTCCTATGAGACCGGCTGAATGCGCGCGCAGCTCTTGCCGCGCGTGCGCATTCAGCCGGCGGGGCGTAACGGAGGCGGAGAGGAGGAGGAGAGCTCTCCGCCCAGCGCTGGAAAAAGGTAAGTTTTTACCCCTTTCCCCTTCCAGAGCCGGGCGGGAGGGGGACCCTGAGGGTGGGGGCACCCTCAGGGCACTATAGTGCCAGGAAAACGAGTATGTTTTCCTGGCACTATAGTGGTCCTTTAAAAATACCCTGATGCCCTATTTAACCCCTTAAGGACCAAACTTCTGGAATAAAAGGGAATCATGACATCTCACACATGTCATGTGTCCTTAAGGGGTTAATAGGCTAGCCTTCAGTTGAAGTAAGACCCCCTCTGCAAAGACTGCTCTCCCAAATACATCTGCACAACAGAGGCTTTTGAGATAAGTAGTTTATCTGCGGAAAGGGAAATGATCACTTAAGAATAGTGGAACTGCTCTTTAACCTTTTACTATACATAGGACATGAGGTCATTAGTTTAGACTGGAAGAAAGAAGATTTGGTCTAATGCAAATGAAAGGTTTTTGTTACTGTAAGAACAATAAGGATGTTGAATTCTCTGCCTGAAGAAGTGGTTTTATCAGCGTTTGAACAGATGTTTAAACAGCAACTAGATGCATCCTTGCAAAAAACAGAATATTCAAGGATATAATCTTTCAATGTAGGTTAATAACCGCTTGATCCAAGGATAAATCTGACTGCCATTCTAGGTTCAAGAAGGATTTTGTTTCCCAGTTTGTTGCAAAATTGGAAGTGCTTCAAACTGGGGTTTTCTTTTGCCTTCTTTTGGATCAACAGCAAAAAAAAAAAAAAAAATGTGAGGAAGGCTGAACTTGATGGACATTTGTCTCCTTTCAGCCTATATAACTTTGTAACTATGTAACCTGATATCAGCCATCCAGTTTTCCCATAACTTAGTTCAGTGTTCAGCAAACTAGACAATGGGCAGCTGCCTGCAGAGTATCAGTTGCAGTTGGCAGTCTGCTCAAGCTAAAATGGTTGTGGTGCTTTAATATTTGATATATGTGGATAATGTAAGGAAGATTTTTGACTTGAGTATATATTGATTTAATATTATTGGATAAGCTTTCTAAATGATTTCACACTTTTCAATAAACTTTTTTTTTTTTTAAATTTTCAACATATTAAAAATATCAAAAATATATCATATATAAAATAAATATATTGATATAAATATTAAAAATCTAATTATTACAAAATGTAACTATTTTTCATCATATTAATGGATTTTAAAAGTGTATCCAAAAATATTAAATCATTTGGAAAGCTTTTACTACAATATTAAATTAAGGCCTAGGCATTGCAAATAATTCGATACGGTTATAAAAATGTTCCAATAATTTATCTCCAAAAATTCCCATATACATTAATGGTAAAGTCTCTTGATAAACCATTTTGGAAACTTTTTCTAACAATATCATGGAGTCATTTGGAAAGCGTATTAAATCGAGGCCTATGTCTTTACTTTGTGCTACACAAAAATGTCTTAGAAGGTCAATTGAAATTTAAAATTAGATGGATATTATCTTTAATGCGCTGCAAACTTTTTTTTCCCTAAAGGTTTTCATTGAACAATTTTTTCAAAAACATATTTCAAACTATACTAAATAGAAACATAACAATATGACACGAAAGAATATGGGTAACCAATAAAAAAGAAAATGGAAACAGGAAAGAGTGAGGGTAAAAATAAAAAGATTAAAAGGGTGAGGAGTTCCCTCCATAGTTGCATAATAATAATATCAAATCTATACATTATAGAATATAATACCAAGTGAAATAATTTGATAAGCACATATTTTCTTCAGATCATAATGGCCATCACTGCGCTAGAACTAATTGGTTACTTACCAGTTTCACGATGTTCTCTTCCGGTTTGAGAGGTATTGAAGAGAAGGGTATAGAGACCTTCACCCAAACACAATGTTGTATAGAATCTATATACACGTGGGCACAGAGGGAAAGTTCTGTAAATAAATATACAAACAACTGAATTAGACGATTTACAACCAGAGTAATTTTTCTTTTAAATTTGAAATAAATATTTTCTATGTGGTCAAAATGATAAGACCACAAAGGGGCAAAGAGACACAACATGCTTGTGGACAACGTCGATTCACAACTCCTGATTAAATACTATCGCTGGCTAAATATACAATCTCAAATTTGCTCTGTTTTTCTCTTTATTTGCAAGAATGATATCATCCTATAGAATTATATTAAACAATCCATTTGACATGAATTTTTTAAAATGTAAAAACCAAGTAGAACACACACATTTACAAATACATATAATGTTATAATTCCTTTGGTTAAAAAGATATACTTGCCATCTGCAACTATTTTACCTGGTGTTTCATCCGAGACTTCATTAGACTTATTGTTGCTGTCCTCCTCAGAGATTTCATCCAGATAATCACAAGTTAAGAAACCATCGATATCATCATAACACTCATTGTAATCATCGCAATCCTCTATCACATTTCCTACAATTATATATACAAACCATACTGTAAAACCATAATATAACATTTTACAAGAAGTAATCACTGCAGTTCACTATATAAGCATTGCTGCCATTCCAACTGATCAGACGACAAACAAAAGCCAACAGAATCCAACTCATACGAAACTGTGATTTAAACTCTCTAATTCTAATCTGTTCAGCAAACAAACATATCTGTTATTTGTCTTTTATATTAAGCTTTTTCATATTTTTTTTTTTTTTTTATGAATGCATTTTCACTTTAATGGCAAGGCTGCTAATGAAAAATAATACACATTTTCATATAAATAATTTTACATGTCCCATATTTCCTATTTTAGATTACGTTCTTAAACATAATGTGATATAATAATCTAAAAATGGCAGCTAATATTACCCATAACCAGACCCTTTTTTGGCAATTTCTTATATAATGGCAACCTTAATCTTATAGCTCTACATTAAAGAAGAACTGTCACTCCCCGGGGGGTTTTAATATTATATTTACTTTTAGCCTATATTTTAAAAATATGTGTTTGTGAAGTCTGCAAATTAAACTGAAATGTAGAAATTCACACTGTATGCCCCGGAACTGATTGCTTTGCCTCTTTTTTGATGCTTCAGGTCAAAGTTTGAAAGATGGGCCTGGAGCTTCAGCTCCAATAGCCTCTATGTTAATCTGTCCCTAAATCTTATGTGACACATGAAAATTTTTCAAATTCACTCTTACCTCTGACTAGAAAAAGTTTGTGTCTCAAACTGCATGGATTCATTTTGAAAGCTGGGGAAGTCAAACCCAAGTTGGAAGGTTGTGGATTATCGGTTATAGAGCAAATATATTTATTTTACAAGTTCGATAAGCCCCTTGGTGTATTCAGCCATAATCATGATTTAACTGACATCACATTGCAACAACGTGCTTATCTCTTTATGGTAAGTCCCTTAAACCATATGTACTGTTGGGCTGCTCAATGAACATTCTACCTTCTTTCTATATCTCAATATTCCCCACAACTATTTCAATCATAGAGCATTCAACAGGCTATCATCACACAATATCAGTCAATTTACAATACCTGCTGAAAAGTCAACGTATATGTCTATCTCTACTTTAACACATGGCATGCATCTATCGTCAATGCAGCGCAGCACGGTCTGCGATGACATATTGCCAATTATCATTACTGGTTGATTTGCTTCTTCCTTGTCTCCATGCATGCACAAAACATCTATAAGGGACACCAAAAGGTGAAAATCATCTACCATGCACTTTATTTTGTGTTTTTTTATATTATTTTTTTATTCACAGACACATAATGTGATGACACAATAATAACAGATATCTCTATGGTTTTATAAGGGAGTTGTGGATTTTAATTCCTGGAGTCCTGTGTGATTGCACAAAAACAAAACATTTTGGCCAAAAGAATATATTGAAAGCATGGTCCTTTTTTTTTCTCTAGGCCGCCACAATGGAAAACAAAGAAAGGGTTTTAGGACCTCAAGGTGTCAGGAACATATAGCAAAAATTTCAGAGGATCACAACATTTAAAACTCACCTGATTCCTAGATTCCTTTGTTGTGAAAACGGACTTCATGAGGGTCTATTTTTCCCCCATGTTTGGCAATATTTTTGAGAGTCACTCACACAACTGCTTCAGAAGTATTCTCCTCCAGGCTTCAACTCTCAATAACCTAGAGGTACAACCGTACAGACTCCCCAAGAACACATACTCCAGGCTGATATGCGTTAAGAAGCTCTAGGCACCGCAACAACTCTATGTCGTTGCAAAGAAAGTATGAGGTTACAGTGCAAAGGTTAAAATGCAGAGAGTGCACTGTACCCCCTCTCCCTGCTGAAACTGGCTTAGAATTGCAGCAATTTGTAAAACTTGCTGCAGCTGTAAGGCTACATCCCTGGCTCTTGCGCAGCAAAGGAGGTGCAAAAGAGAAGTCAGCCTGAGTTTATAGGGTAAACTTTTTGTCCTACAAACCTTGCTTCCAAGTATATTTTCTTATTTATATTTTAATTCCTTTTTTTCTTGCATATTTTTTAACTGTATATTAAAAGTAAGTATATTTTGCATGGCAGCGGGACTATTAGTCATGATGTTAGCTGTTGGGGGAATCACTGAGGTTAAGGGAGAGTGCCATAGAATGCCAGTAGATGGCAGGGCATTGCAGTCCTGCAAAAGGTAGAGCTACATGGGGCCATGGGGGCATCACGGGGTGAAGGGCAAGCATAAAGGGTTCATTGGTGGGCCCAAGCAAAAGGAAGCTTATTTTGTGGAGCATTTTTGACCACAGGAATGTCATTTTCTAGACATGAATGGTTAAGTTGGGTATTTTACCGGCTATTAGGCTCTGGGACCTCACTACTTTCTGGGGCTGAGGCAAAGGTGGGGGCACTCATCAGGCCTTATTTGATTAATGCTATTTTCAGTAGGAATAACATGTACCCCGATTTGTGCCAACTAGTGAATTTCTAACGGCATTGCAGTTTCCATGCTTCATTTTTGAAAATATTTTTTTTCTCACATCACAATGGTGTTAAGACATATATATCGCAACACTTTTTCAGTAACATCATAGGGGACAAATATACATGCATGAGAATTGTAATTGTGAGATATTTTTTAAATAAACATTAAAGAAAACAGTAATGCATCGCATTCAAATGTGCAACATAATGGTCATAATATACATTTAGCAAAAACGGAAAATGTTTCTAATGTGACAGATTGAATACAGAGTCGGGTAGCAATGCAAGTGAATAAAGAAAGAAGATAGAATACAGGAGTTCACTTTGGAAAAATATATCAAAATGAAACAAAAGATCCATACTGCACATAGTGCTGGCACAGGATACTGTCTCACCCGATTGCCAATCTGCAGGATGACCCCTTGCCAGGTAGTCCCACGCTAATTCATAGCTCGATGTGGCCTGTTCTGGTACTGCATCTAGATTTCACGAAGTCTCCCAAAAGTACCAGCCACAAGCTTGAGAAACAGAGTAAAAGGCGTCTCCGGGCCCAACTCCAAACCCCCAAAGGCTCAGCCTGACACAGATTCGAAACTCAAATGTGTATCAAAGTGAAGTTCGCCTGCATCTCCACCTTTTGGAGAGATTTCAGCTGATTAGTTGGTTTTGCAACAGTCCACATCATAGTGTCATCACCGATCACATAGGTAGGTTTCTTCTCTGCTTCACAGGTAGACTGTGGAATAGACTGTGCTCCTCGCTTCCTAGCTACTATACGAGGCAGGAATTCTGCAAAGATGTTGCCATGCCTGGACAATACTGTTGTAATAGACATCGCTCATGTGTCTCTGGTTTCTGCCTCCGACATAGTGGGAGTCACGTGGGCCTGTCGGATCAGTAAGTATCTGGAAGTGTTTATTGGATTCCTATGACCAGGATAACGACCTCCAAAGGTATGGGGGGGGAGCAACTACACTATGTTTGATCAGTTGGTATGGCGTCAGGGGAGCAGCCGCCTCTCCCGCACCAGCCCCGCCTGCAAGAATCTTGATACGGGCAATCCGGGCAAGAAAAGTGGGAAATGTTGTATTGTCCTCTGTTAGCTGAGTATTCTCCTGTGGTAAGATTAGATGGCTGACTGGATTTATTTCTCCAAAACCTGTTCTGAGCTCGGGGGCTCGCCCAGCACACGTCCACTCAGTGTGGAAGTCAGGCTGTGCCCCCAGGTTCAATGCTTTTTAATTGGTGTTTTTGCTCCACCACCCACATTTTTCGAGTGAAACTGCATAAATACAACAGCTACTAAATAGCCTTTTGATGTCAGCTGGTATATAGCCTTTTGACGTCAGTTAGTATATAGCCTTTTGACGTCAGCTAGTATATAGCCTTTTGATGTCAACTAGCAAATAGCCTTTTGACATAACTCATTAACGTTAGCAGAAATAAACGCCAATGCTGCTTGGTGACTGACCTTCTACAATGTAAGTCGTTAGAGTCTGTATAAGCTATAACCTTTTTTAATAGATTCACATAACCATAAAACTAAATTGCTATAGTGACTCTGTTGAAGATGTATCACAAAACATTTACAACCTCCATATGACTATATTTACATATCATTTACTTGTGCTTCAATAAAGCACAGTAGAAATCTAGAAAATAATCTATTTTTAAAAAAAGTAACATTAAAATTTTCAATAATCCTTAAAGATACAAAAACATAGCTATTTAAAAAAAAGAAATAAACATGGGGGCAGGGCCCGACCGCCATGCTGCCCGGTCGCAGGCTGGAGAGGCTCCTGTACCCGGTCGCAGGCTGGAGAGGCTCCTGTAGGATTTGGTCTATTTTGACAAAAATACTAAGTTTACAGCCTGCCTTGGAGTCAAGATTCTACTTCTCATGTCCAGGTAGTTGCCGGTGCCACCACGGTCCCCGGGATCGGGAGTTTTGCAGTCCCAGGGGGTGATGTGAGGCTTTGTGGCCTGCGGCCTATGTGGGTGTAGAGCGGGGCGGATGGCCGCCGTCCTGTTTCGGAACCTGGCAGCCGTGCAGCAGTCCAGTGACGGGTCTTGTGGGTCCCGCTCCCCCCAATGGACCGGGGGGATTATCCCAGTCCTCATTGGAGGGAATCACCACCTAATACTGGCCCAACGAGCCTGCAGGGCACTGTGTGTCCCATGCGTGGGCGCCAAAATGGCGGTGACGCGACCAAAGCTGAGAACTGCAACTTTGCCTACCTGCAAGCAGCTCCGTCCGCAGGACTACAAGCAGCATATACCACCGCAGGAAAACACAGCAGATCTAACAATTGTAAGCCATGCAAACCACACTACCACCTGAGAAATCGAGGTGTGGACCGATGTCCTGACCGCCGCTGCAGTGGAAAGGCTAGTCCCATTATACCAGCGTCTGTACTAAGCTGCATCAAGAGACGACCACAGCCACTGAGCCACCCCTCATGCTACCAGTGGCCAGACATCTCCTCATCAAGCGAGCGTGTCGCTCCCTGGCAAGTTACCTCCATGCTGGACAGTTCTGCATAGCCGGTGGGCATAGGCTGACAGGGATTAATTCCATAGCCATGTAGTCCAGGGGTCCTGTCTCCACATTTTACATCTCATGGGACATTATCACCATTGGCAGAAACTTAAGGCTCTGATAATTACCTCCTACATGTGTCCAGTTCATATTTTAGTTTAACTTACATGTACAAGCTTATAACATGCTATATGAGTTCTTCTTCATTGAATTCTAAGCAACTCTCTTCCTCTTGCATTACTTAAGCCTCCATGAGTCTTATTACCTCTCTCAGCATGTTTAGCTTGTGATTAACAATCTACCATCATTTACCCTACCCTATGTAGGTCTAAGCAAGAACATCTTGATATTATAATCTAAAAAAAGTGTAGTTCATCAGACATGTCATGTACTCTACCAGCGAATATTTTCTGTGATACCTTTTGCACTGTCTTTGTTTATATGTGAAACTTGCAAAGCACTATAAAAATAAAGAATTAAAAATAAATAAATAAAATAAATAAACATATGTTACAATTTGATCTAGAATATCTTCTGAAAATTATCCTTAGGGCACATAGGATGATTAATATTGGGACATTTGTTTAACAGAATAACATGATTTCTAAACTAACGTTCTTTGCCCTTGTGTCTGAAATTATGAGGCAGACAGAATGGAATTTAAAATTAATTAATTAATCATAATTAATCAAGGCAGTGAAACAAGTTTTAGAAAAAAAGTAAAATGTAATGCACTACTTACTATTGACTGTGCATGACAGGTTCTGAAAGAAAAAATACATATATACAAATAAGCATTTCAGATAATCATCATTTTATATAATCAACATTTTATCAACCATTTTTTTCCTCACAAATCTCCAAATTTTAGAACATTCCCCACCAATAAAACAGCAAACGTGCAATAGAGTTGTTACTAATTAAGGATCACTTAGCAGTACTAGAATAAGAGTAAAAAGTACCAAAGCAGTCACATTCATCTGTATGAAAAATATACCCTAAGTAGAGTGTTCTACTAGGCGTGTGGTAACCTGGCCAAAACAACTATTTAACTATAGTCTTCCCACCACAGTGTGCCATACATTTTGTGACACTTAAAGGCCTATTTACTGAAATGTGGACTGTTGAGAACTAAACATTTTAGGCTAATATAGCCAAACCGGAAGCATATAGTTCATGTTTTACTATTTCGGCCTAGATGAGGTCATCGGATGGCACTGTACAGGTGTATTATTAAGTGGGTTTGTGAATGATTGAATCAAAAGCTTGTTATAACTGGCCATTACTGGCCAACAAAGAGGAATCTGCAGGCATTAAATTATTACATATACATATGTATACAATACATCACATTGCTTATATGCACATCTCACAACAGTCCCAGAAATGGTAACATCCTGAGTGTAGCCATCAGCAAATGTGTTTGTGTAACAAAAAGTAAATTCAGGACACTGAACCTAGGCAAGAATGCTTCAAGAGGGAGGCTGGTCAGTGTGGCTGCTGGTCAGCTTGGCATACAGTCATACCCCTTTACATTATTGCCACCATAATTACATTATCATGCATGTCTGCAATATTCTCTGTATGAGAGTGAGTTGAACTGCTGTAAGCAAAGTAGTCCACATTAGAAGAAAAGGACATGCAGGCAATCGTCACCAAAACAAATTTAGCTTAATGAAGCTGTTTTGGTGTATATATCATGCTCCTGCATGTCACTCTTCCTGTAAACGGTCGTCTAATGTTTAAACTTCTTTTATTGCGCATTCTATTTAATTTATAATGTCCTATCTTCTGCTCTGTTAATAGCCTACTAGGCACTGCAGGAGACTCCTATGTGTGATTAAAGTTAAATTTACAGAGCTGGAGATAAAAACTTCTGAAGTCAGTTAACATCTGATTGAAAATAAAAACCATTGTTTTTCATGCAGGCAGTGTCAGTCACAGGATAGGCTAGGGCTGCATAAACAGAAACAAAAGTGATGTAATTTCTGATGGGCAGTGAATTGAGCAGTGAGACTGCAGAGGCATGATCTATACACCAAAACTGCTTATTTAAGCTAAAGTTGTTTTGATGCCTTTAGTGTCCCTTCATGGACTAGTGCATTAGCAGTTATGTAGTCCTATATATTTTGGGGCCACTTGACTAAACCCTCTTTAATAGCTAAAGTTAGAGGGACTGGGTATCCTCTGGCCCAATTAGCAATAGATTAATGAGCCAGGGCATTGGGTATCCTCTGGCTCTCTTAAGTACTGATATTAGGGTCAGAGGAAGTGGGCATCCTCTGGCTGTATATTAAACGGCATCCTCTGACGCTATATATCCCCCTTTACACACATCTTATAGGGTAGAAGAATAGGTATGAGCCATTTGTTGGATGCAAGTTCAATAAGAAGGATCGGAGAAGGGGAGACACAAAGATACAGAGGACCACAGACAGGATAAAGGAATATCAAATGATCACCTTTTTAGAAAATAATAAAATTCCTTGTGTATATGTAATCAAATGAAATGTGTTGGGCATGCTTATCCATCTTCATTTTCAAAGTTGGGCATCGCACATCAGACATCCTTTTTCCCCAAATGCTTATTAAATGAATAATTATAATGGCAGCAGCAGAGGGTCCAGGCTTTGTGTGTACCAGAGGGACTGCACTGAAAGACACCATAACTCCATCGTGTCCCTTTAAATAGTAAACTATTAAACTCTCCATTACTGCTTATCGATCGAGAGTCATTAAATAGTCACTACAGGGTTCAGGATAGCATGGAATTTAGTGGAAGATATTTAATATGACTACCTCACTGCATAATAATAATAATGAATATTATATTTAGCTATAAAGCTTAATCGCTATATTTATAGTTATAAAGCTTTATAATTAGCTATATAATCACTAAAAAGCTTTAACATATCCCAGGACTCCATAAAGGGTTTCCTGAGAGGCTGTGAATAAGTTCATATTGTATAGGTTAGGACTTAAAACTAAAAATCCTGTATAACTCGATATGCCGAAACCAAGCCATAGATACCTTTCTCTCTTAGTAGTTGCAAGCATTACCAAAACTCAGATCACTTTCCTTTTAAGATGACCCATGCACATTACGTATCTCTATAATCAAGATAAACAACCCACACAGTCACAGGCACAAGTCAGCTTGAAAAACCAGCCTAACCACATAATTGAATGTTGAACGGCACACAATACACCTGACAATGGTGGGCACAGCTATAGAAAACAATGTACACAGGCAAATACAACCATTCTAAACCTAATGTAACATTAAAATGTCACATAGTATCCATGGGCACATTAGTCTCTCTAATTAATCCAGTATAATATATATTTAAGCAATTAATTTAAGGTATATTTTCCTTTGCTTCAAAACATGGATTTAATTGAGGACTCGTATGCTACCATTTTCCTGGCAGTCTTATAATATTGTCGGTTTGCACAGCAACTCTAATGCTAAACGTCATTCTAACGTGGAATGATACTAATAAAGATTCCTCCGCAATAAACTTTATTCCTCATACATATTAACAGGGTAATTTAATAAACCAGGAATTTTAGAGCATTGACAGGGAAACTGCATGACCTAAATGACCTGAAAGTTGCATTATCTTCACAATTTCTAGTTTAACCTCAGATAAGCACATATCAGAAAACATCTCAAATCAAAGAGTGGTTCAAAGCCAGATACCAGGAGAGTGGAAAAGGGCAAGCGACAAACCCATATTAAAGTTACACTCCTAGCACCATAATTACGGCCACCCACTGTAGTGTTTATGGTGCCAGGAGGACACTGGAGCCCTCCATTACACTGGAGCCCTCCATTTAAGTTGGGCTGGCAACTAGTCTGGGTCTCTCTGATGCAGGAATGATGGTGCTTTGAGGTTCCCACTTTTCATGGAATATGTGCATAAAAAATTGTGAGCAAGCTGGAAAGATATCTTCCGTTTACCAACACTGCTAAAACCAGCCACACGTGCAAACCACTTAATCTATAGACCTGTCTGTTATCTTGCAACAGGACAGTGAGGGGAGCTTTCTTGGGGTTGTGGTTGTAGATATGACCAGTGGTAATAACCATTTATGTAACTGCAGACATCTTTACTACAAGATTGACGTATCTTATTTAAACAGATTCATTTCTAATCTTTTTTTTGTTGTAGTTTAAAGATAAATTATTTTGAGTTTTATTGTTGCACAGCTGTTTTACACTCAAACACTAGAAAATGACTTTCCTGTTACTGGTCACTGAAACCAGAACCAGGACTGTCAGCTGGACAAAATATTAGTAAATAATAAATAATTAAATCAAAATTGCCATCAATATGTCGGAATATAGAGAGGGTTCATACGTAGATTCAAGTGATTAAAATAGCCTAAATGGCTCTTCTCCTGTCTAAAGGACTCTTAGACGTAAAGAATCTATTTGAGACTCAGGACTTTAATATAATCAACCATAGTATGTCCATGTCAACAGTAAAAGCGGTTGTGGAATGAGCCTTTAAATTAACTCCTGTAATCTAGATGGAAAAGACAATCAGTCAAGGAGGAACTTTGAATAGTGGCTGTATATAAAGTAACACTTGTAGCAAAGCCCGCTGTATCAAAAAAGCTACAATAAGAGTGTAGTTAAGCAATCAGCAATTAAGGATAACAGCATTTAGCTGGATACCAAGTAACATATAATAAAAGGAAAAAAGTCTACATGAAAATTCGTAGATTAATCACAAAATATGTCATAAATGATAAATCTTAAGTTAGTGGTTTCCTAAATCGCTATGGGGTACAAAGAGTATCTGTTGCCCCCTCAAATACATACAAAGCCAGTCCAGATTCCTCAATCAAATAGATAGTTCCAATCTAGATAGCATATCAGGAGTGACAGGAGGAAAAGGTGAAAAATTAGGAAATAATAGTGCTAATGTGTAGAACCATGCTTAGAGTGCTGGTTACCTACACATCGTGAAATAGTGCCCTAGAAGTGAAAATCAAAAGTGAGTGAAAGTGAAGGAGAAAAACCTCCTTCAACCCGACGCGCGTTTCGGTGCTGTGATGCACCTTCGTCAGGGGCTGAATTCGTTATGGACCCTAGACCTTGTTTAAATACCCCTGGTATTGTAACTGTTGGACCCTAGACCTTGTTTAAATACCCCTGGTATTGTAACTGTTGGACCCTAGACCTTGTTTAAATACCCCTGGTATTGTAACTGTTGAGTTACAATACCAGGGGTATTTAAACAAGGTCTAGGGTCCATAACGAATTCAGCCCCTGACGAAGGTGCATCACAGCACCGAAACGCGCGTCGGGTTGAAGGAGGTTTTTCTCCTTCACTTTCACTCACTTTTGATTTTCACTTCTAGGGCACTATTTCACGATGTGTAGGTAACCAGCACTCTAAGCATGGTTCTACACATTAGCACTATTATTTCCTAATTTTTCACCTTTTCCTCCTGTCACTCCTGATATGCTATCTAGATTGGAACTATCTATTTGATTGAGGAATCTGGACTGGCTTTGTATGTATTTGAGGGGGCAACAGATACTCTTTGTACCCCATAGCGATTTAGGAAACCACTAACTTAAGATTTATCATTTATGACATATTTTGTGATTAATCTACAAATTTTCATGTAGACTTTTTTCCTTTTATTATATGTTACTTGGTATCCAGCTAAATGCTGTTATCCTTAATTGCTGATTGCTTAACTACACTCTTATTGTAGCTTTTTTGATACAGCGGGCTTTGCTACAAGTGTTACTTTATATACAGCCACTATTCAAAGTTCCTCCTTGACTGATTGTCTTTTCCATCTAGATTACAGGAGTTAATTTAAAGGCTCATTCCACAACCGCTTTTACTGTTGACATGGACATACTATGGTTGATTATATTAAAGTCCTGAGTCTCAAATAGATTCTTTACGTCTAAGAGTCCTTTAGACAGGAGAAGAGCCATTTAGGCTATTTTAATCACTTGAATCTACGTATGAACCCTCTCTATATTCCGACATATTGATGGCAATTTTGATTTAATTATTTATTATTTACTAATATTTTGTCCAGCTGACAGTCCTGGTTCTGGTTTCAGTGACCAGTAACAGGAAAGTCATTTTCTAGTACTTCCATTTTGGGGTTATGCCCCTTGACACCACTGGAGTGTCATTTAAAGGTATGACTGACCACTAGGAGGGTGGTATATTCAAGTCTGGAATAACCACTACCTTTGGCCTAGTCAATTTCTACTACCTTTTTTTACACTCAAACACAACTGAATCTAGAACGTCAAAGAACAGGGGTAAACGTTAGGGTAGAAAAAGAGGGCCAGGGCGACTTGGCCCAAAACACAGGGATTAACCATTTTAAAGGAAGACACTTTTGAGGTCTCCTGTCAGCAACTTGCCCCATAAAATGAAAAATGGCTGGATGAGATAATAACAGAGTTACAGGCAGATGTTGGGCAGAGGGCTGCGCAACCAAGATAAAGGAGATGAGCAGAACAGATTGGTGGACAGGCCAGTAAAAACACAGATAACATGCCATTACTATATGATGTTGTTTTGCACCCTTACTGAGTAGAGCTATGAGTGTTGAACCTTATCAATGTAATAAAAGTTTATTTTCTTTATATATGTTAAGCACACAATGTCCATTTGTCAAGTTTGGTCAGTTGCAGAGATAGATAAATGGAAATTAATTACAAGCTATATCACTGTTTTAGGAGATTATCAGTGTCAGTGCTGCGCCCAGGCTGTTAATTACTATTTATAGTTCACAGTAACCTGATAACAAAACTTCTTAGTTTCCAAGAAAAGACGTTGTTTTATGGCTTTGACTCTCTGGGATCATATAATGCAAACAAAATCCATACAAAGTATTACTTATATTTCAGGCAGGAGTGGAAAACATACAATGGTATCAGTTTATAATTAAAAGGAATCTTGAAGCTTAAAAACCATATGACGCATACTCATTTTATACGCTATTCATTTATGCTTGAAATGCCTCATCTGCAATCTCTCATGCTATGAAGCAGGCATGCTTCATGGAAAGCCAAGTGTCCTGATATTTATGCACAATAGGATTAGAGTGAATTCCTTCTGCAGCCCCTCTGGTCTTAAACATGATCCGTACCACATCATCATGGCTTAATTCAGTAAATACTACTAAAACAGTGTACATACTTATTTAATGTTGCTGCCGTAGGTTACATAGTTACAGATGCTGAAAATAGACATATGTCCATCAAGTTCAGCCTTCCTCACATTTGTTTTTTGCTGTTGATCCAAAAGAAGGCAAAAAATCCAGTTGAAGCGCTTCCAATTCTGCAACAAATTGGGGGGGAAATTAATCCTTGACCCCAGAAGGGCAGTCAGATTTATTTTTGGATTAAGAACCTATTACCCCACAATTTAAAAATGATATTCTTGAATATTACGTTTTTGCAAGTATTTATCCAATTACTGTTTAAACATCTGTATAGACTCAGATAAAACCACCTCTTTAGGCAGCGACTTCCACATCCTTATTGTTCTTTCTGTAAAAAAAATTTCATTTGCCTTCGACTAAATCTAATTTCTTCCAGTCTAAATGTGTGACCTTGTGTCCTGTGTATAGTCCTGTTTGTGAATAGATTTCCATTTATATATTTGTGTAAGTTAAACGTCACATCTGGCTGTGTAAATAACCAATGCCTAATTAGATTGATGGCCTGGCAAATGTAAATTATGTTCATATTCCTTGCACAGACACTCATTCAATGGCGAGTGCACTCAACCAATGCTTTCAGCCAATGAATGATCAGCAGGATTGGCATCTGGTTTGTGGTTCTATCATGTGATGTATCGTTGGATAAGCATTATGTAGCAAATTCTGCAAGGTTTCACAGAATATCATGTGTTTACTGTATCAACTACACATTTCTTCTCAACCTATATTTAAACTTCCTTTTGGCAACATAAATCTAGCATTAGTCTCCTACGTGCAAGCTCAAATTATCTTAAATCTTTCAACACATTTATTTAAATATTAATTTCTTATTTATGATTGAGGGAATATCAAAATGCTCTGAGAAGAAATTGGCAAAGTACCTATATGATCATACCCCCAACATTTCAAATGGACAAAGAGGAATACTTTAATTTTAGCTGTGTCACTGACTAACTGTCTCTCACTGTCACACTCAGAATTCTTCCAGTCATAAAAAAAAAAAAAAATCAATAAAATGAATGGGACTCAAGTTACAGCTGCTATTAATGCTTTATGTAGTGGTTCTGGTGTCTATGTCCTCTCCCTGCAGGCTTTTTAATGTAAACACTGCCTTTTTGGAGAAATGGCAGTGTTTACAGTGCTGGCTAGTTACACCTCTAGTGGCAGTAACTCTGGCAGCCACTACAGGTGCTTCCAGTGTCACTGCTCAGTTCTCTGCCATTTAGGTGTTAGATTACTTTTGTTTCTGTTTATTTAGCCCTAGTAAAACCTTCCCTGGCTATGATTGACACAGTAAGCATGAAAACAAAATGGTTTAATTTTCAATCAAATGTTAACTTGCTTTAGACGTTTTTATCTTTGGCTCTGTAAATTGAACTTTAATTATACACAGGAGGATCATGCAGTGTTTAGAAGGCTATTAATAGAACTGGGGGTAAGAAATTATAAATGAAACATACTGTGCAAGTTTAAACATTAGATGTGTTTAAAGAAAGGCTCTACAAGCCACATGCAGGGAGGTGCGACTATAGCTGCATGGACAAAGTAATTCAACTCATAAATGGCAGAGAACTGAGACAAAACTGCTTCATTAAGATAACGATGTTTTGGTGACTATTGTGTCCCTTTAACAATACAATGCATGCTCAGAGGGGACATTTTTATATTTATTGATTATTTGTTTACTATTTAAAACCTTATCTCCATAATGTACTAATGTATTATAGCGGAGATGGTTCAAATCCAACTTAGATTGTATATTTGTGCAGTGTTTATTAATGATTGCATTGCTACCAAATCATTGTCCTTGATGATATGGGTCACAGTGACTTGAAGACTGGTAATTAGATGTTTCTCCTTTTCTCAGACTGCAGTGACCTTGTCCTTGAGTGCACTGTCTTAAAGAGTACTGTAATAGTCATAACAGTTGTGCATTACTGCAAACTGCATGTGATTATTTAAATCTAATTACAAATCTTGTCAGTCAGTACAATGTTGTATAAATTTACAGTGTTGCATTTGAAATGGCAAGTTTTAAATGTCATTGTAGCTTTAAGTGATGTAGCAATGTGACTGTGATCATAAGAGTGCATTGACATTACCACACTGTTGCTTAAAGGGACACTGTAGGCACCCAGACCACTTCAGCTCATTGCCACACATGTGCATTTGGTCTCCCCCGCCGGCGTGGTGGACTTGCTGGATGAGCCCCTTGATTTGGCTCTGTGCCTCCTGGAGCTGGCTGTCTCTGACTGTCTCCCTCACTTCCACTGCTGTAATTTTTTGGTGAATATCTCCAATTTCGGCCTGAGCCTCTCAAAGACTGGCCTTCCAGACCTTTCTCAGGTCGATCAGGATCCTCTTGATGTCTCTTTTAGTAAAAGGAGGGGAGTCTTCATCCGACTCAGAGGACTGGTACTCCCCAATGGCTCAAGGAGATGTAAGTAATTCCTCCTCCTTGTGTGAATCCTCTGAGGCTTCCTGGTCACTCTGGGCCTCAGGCGCCATCTTAGAAAGTGCTGGTGGCATAGGCCTATCGAAGGAGAGTCTGATATCTGGTAGACGAAGGTTTTCTGGGTGGTGTTGCTTCCGATTTTTGTGCTCCATTGTGTCATGTGCTGGGGGTTGTGAGTGTTGTAGTCTCAGAATGGATATTTTTGCGGCTGGAGTCGCTTTATTGTGAGGTTGCATTGTTGCTCCATGTATAGACGTTTGGTTAGGTGAATATTTAGATTTTTTTTCATTTGTTAATTTATTCTTTTTTATTTTTAAATTGCTCAAGAGGGCATCCATTTAATTTTAGTATGGAACAATGGTTGATTCAGCTAAAGTAATATTTTCTAACTGAAAATCCTTATCTTTTTCTTGTATAATTAGGTATTCACTGTTACACAGTGACTGATGATGATTATAGCGCAATTTATTTAAGGGGGAATCAGAAAAAACAAACAAGTCTATATATATATGTATAATATGAATTGATGCCTTTATTATAGTTGCATATAAAAAGCTGTACATCAGTGGTCAGTATAACATCTTTTGTGCTAAGTTGTAATGAAATGAGCACTACCCGATGTATATAAATTTGTGCAGAAAGAGGTATAGCTGCACAGTCAATTGTACACATATAAAGTGCTTCCTAATGATAGAAGAGGCACTGAAATGTATACAGGTAGTGCAGACAGACACAACCCATGGGGCCCCGGTGCGAAAATTGATCCGTGCCCTCCCCCCCCCATGCACTTACTCTGCACGGGCTGAGACCGCAACACAGGGGTCGCAGGGGTCACCGCGGTATGTACGCCAGTGCATGCAGATACACATACACTTAAAGGTCCACTATAGGCACTCCGATGACTTCAGCTCAATGAAGTGGTCTGGGTGCCAGGTCCCTCTAGTTTTAACCCTGCAGCTGAGGGTTAATCCAGCCTCTAGTGGCTGTCTCACTGAGAGCCGCTAGAGGCGCTTCCATGATTCTCACTGTGAAAATCACAGTGAGAAGACTCTGGACGTCCATAGGAAAGCAGTGAGTAAGTCTTTCCTATGGGCAGTTTGAATGCGCGCGCGGCTCTTGCCGCGCATGCGGAGCTGAGAGGCGGATCGGGGCAGAAGGATCCCCAGCGCTGGAGAAAGGTAAGTGCTGAAGGGGGTTTTAAACACACGCACACACACTCTCACGAACAGACGCATACACACTAGCTAACAGACACACACATTTACTGACAGAGACATACTCAGTTACAGACATATATTCACACTCACTGACACACAAACTAACACACACACTGACACTCACTAGCAGACACACTCAATAGCAGACACACACTCAATAACAGACACACAGTAACACACACACAAAAACTAACACACTCACTGCAACTCACTAGCAGACACACACAGTAACACACACACTGACACACAAAAACTAACACACACGCACTCTAACACTAGCACACACACTCTAACACTAACACACACACATGTTTCTTTAAAATTTAATCCCCCAGCCTCCATACCTTTGGGAGAGCTGAGGGGATTCCCTGGGGTCCAGTGGTGCTGCTGGGCGGCTCCCCCACCCCTGTGACCACGTTATGTACGCCAGTGCAGACAGAATATATATAACTGCACAAAAACAAAAAAAGCCTCAGTATGTATAACAGCATAAAATGATGTGCCAATATTAGAGGTGCTGGGGATATTGTCACAGCACCATACTTCGGCTAATGAATAGATGGAACCTTGCTACAAATACTGGGAGGTAATCATAGAAGGATCTAAATGTCGGTGGTCAAGATGCTGGCAAAGTCGCCATGCAGTGATATTATCTTGTGGCTAGCCCCCACGGCAGGGGGAACTAAGCCGAAAAATCCCCGCCCTCCCAGATAATAGCAGGACTATACCTCGTGATCCAAAGAGTAATAATATAATAAAAACTGGTCTTAACACAAAGGGTAGCTGTGACTGAGGATCACCGAGGGCCCCTGACTCGCGCATTTCGCCCACAGCTCATCAGCTGTTACCAATAGCTTTACACTGTTGTCAGATTTATAGGTATCAGTTTATTACACAGTACGTTTACCTATAAGTTAGATCCACATATTAGGCTTTATTTTGTGTATATAGTGTTCACATTAATTTCATAGCCTTGTATATATTATTATTTTTGAATATAATTTATTTGTGGGTACCTACTTATTGTTTTTTAACTATACTATTAAAGGTTATATTTTAATTGCTTTAGGAAAATATAAAGTTGTAAAAATAATATTTTTCTCAATTCTAGTTTGCATATATCTTGCTATTAATTTACCTGGAATAATTGGTCATTGCCCATATGGCACCTTAGGCAATAGAGCACCTCAAATACCCACTCTGTTTGTTACACGGGATCAGAGTCAAGGACCCTTTTATGAGTAATTTAATGTCTTATTACCGTCACAAGCCACAAGGAAATTAAAGTATTTGGTTTACCCTTTAAATAATAATAACAATAAGATAGACAGATGTCTGGCATGCTCATAAACACGTGCCTCCAAGCACCCACACGTGATTTTTAATATAAAGGGTGCTCCTGAATTTACATTTGGAGTCTGGATAATAAATATAATTGCTCCATTAAATTAATTAGCCTTCTTCTGTAGAAGAAATGTTATTATAAGAACTAGAATAATGGAGCCATCCCACAGCACACTGTAGATACTCTGCCTAGGACACATTGGCATAATTGTTGTTATATAGTAGGGAAACACTTTAGGAACCATAACAACTTCATCTCATTGAAGTGGTTATGGTGCTCGCAGTCCCATTGTGCTCACTGAAATGAACCTTATGAGCGCCCTGTTTGGCTGAGTAAGCGGTAGCTGCCCCCTCCCGGAATGCCCCATATGCAATGTAATAGCCGGAGTTCCATCACAGACTGTCTGTTTCTGTGTCAGCATGAATGAGTTAACTCTTTCCATCCCAACTCTATGTGTGTATTGAGTAACGTTTGTGTTCATGCTCCATTTTCTCTCTCTGCGTCTCTGGAGTGCTCTGACAATATTGAGTATGTTACAGGTATTATTTGCAGGGGGTGATAGTGTTGTATAGTACATGTGTTTATTTTAACTGTACTTTTTCCCTTTGCCAACAATGTGAAATTTCTGATTCATGGGTGAATTTCCATGTTGTACATAAGTGTTTAGCTCCCCCGGGCACATACACACCTTGGGTTTCCCACTTTATCCATGTATCTCTTTCCACCACCCCATTTCTTGTTTGCCAATCATTCTCTTCCCCCATGTGTGCTTCTGTCAGTCTATTTCATCTTATGTTTCTCTTTCAGCCCTCCCCACCACATTTGATCCCCTTTCAATCTAATCCTCTTTGTGTTGTTCCTTCCACTCCTCAACTTTGTAGAGCTCCTTATATGTTCCCTTCTTGTTTGGCTTCTTTCAAGCTCCCCCCACCCATATTCCACCACTTTATGTGGCTTCTTATATCCTCCCCTCCTTTGTGCTTGTATCTTCCACATTTTTAGCTTTTTCTGGCTCTCCAGGTTGTCTACCCAAAATTGTAGAGTAACCAAGCTTTGTACTGGCAGTTCTAGCTGTGCCTTTATGGAGGTGATTGAGATACAGTGAGTTCTGAAGGTAGAAACACAGCATAGCATTGTGTCCTCATCCCGCCCCTCAATTTCCCTCACACTGTACCCAACGCTCCGTCTCACCGAGTATGAAAGAGGCGCATCGGCTGCCCCACGTCTCCTCTCTTGCTATCTATGTATTTATTTAGAAAATTGCATGATTCTAGATTTCCTGTACATATTCTCTTAAACACATTTTCTCTCAATAAGTGCATTTACGTTTGCAAAGCAAAATATGTCCCTCAGTCTCAATCTGCAGTTCTTTTTATTATGTTATTAAATGAGAAGTCACTTCAGAGGGAAAATTGATAACTAAGAATTAGTCATTGTTTCTGGTTAAAAAAAAAAAAAAACACAATTTTTTTTTTTTTTTATTCCAGTTATTCACTGGAAAACTATGCATGATACATTTGTTTGTGCATTTCATGGCATGATGAAAGCAACATCAATGAACCAGGCCGATAGTTTCGTTTAAAGGGGTATTGCCACTTCCCAGGATTTTTTATATTATATTTACTTATCATTATGTATTATGTATTAAGTATCTAATGAGTGAAAAATAAAATAAAATGTACAAATCCACAACTGTTAATCTTGCACCTGGCTGCCTCCATTTTAGCTGTCTGTTAGTCATTGTTATAAGCACTGTCCTCTGCACCTGGCAGTCAGCCTTAAAAACATACAAAGAAGAGGAGATATGAAACAACGTTTCTATTTCTCCTTTCCATTTGCAGTTTGTCCTGTCTTTGCCTTGTCTGAACTAGATTATAGTTCCCCTTTAAACTTTATCTTAATTAAGTAGTTTTGGTGTATTGGTCATGCCACTGTAGTCTCAATGCTCAATTTCCACCATTTAAAAATGAAATCACTTTTGATTCTGTCCCTGCAGCCCTAGCCACAAAGGAGGATCGTGTGGGATTTAGAAGGCAATTAACAGAGCAGGAGGAGATAAGAAATTCTAAATTAAACAGAATGTGCAATAAAGGAAGTGTAAACATTAAATCTTGCATTACAGAAAGTGTTTAGGAAGGATGTGCAAGTCACATGCAGGGAGGTGTGGCTAGAGCCGCATAAACAAAGGGATTTAACACATAAATGGCAGAGAATTACATTGAGAATGCAGGGGCATGATCTATACACTAAAACTGCTTCATTATGCGAAAGTTGACTTAGTGCCTATAGTGTAATAAATACACATTGGATCTGTCTGCTCTTATAAAAGTTAATCGAATCAAACTGAATCTGTACAGAGGTAAGTGCTGCACACCTCACTCCAGTAAAGGCATTGCATGTACAGCTTGAGAAAAAAAAGTGATCAGCTACTTATTACCTTTATAAAAGATTATTTAAAAAAAAAAACTTGGCTATCTCCAGCATCCAGTGACCACCCTTTCCTTGGCTGCATTGACAGCAACTTGACTATTTTAGCCTACATTTTGCAGTTAGGATTTTAATATGGTACAATTAAATTTTTGGCACATAACCATGTGAATATTTGACGAAGGATGTTCTTCGTACCATAGAAGTAATAATGTTTTGGAAATGATCTCTGTGCAGTGCTCAGTTTATGGACCGTCTGTCATCCTGGCATTCATGTGTGCTAGGATGACATACTTTGTTTGTGACTCTTTTCTGTTGATAATAAATGTTCCTTTATTAGGTGTTGCCGTTGTCTGGTACAAAAATCACGTTACCGAAGAGACATAAAATAGAACTGTGCGGACTGTGATATTTTCCAAAAATGTGTTATGTATTGTGCGACACTTCCATTTGCCGTTGGGGCATAGCAGGCCTGTTTTGTATTTCTGTGCACAACAAAAGATAATTGTTGTTGTTTTTTTAAATATAGTACTGTGATTTCAAAGATATTTTTGCAAAACTCTGTTTTTGTGGTGTCTGATTTAATTTGGTTTCGGTAGACCAAGACACTTTTATTTTTATTTAGTTGTCTTGGTTGGAGCTTTTTATACTGGAAATAAATGTGGGTGGTGTTAAAAGTAATACCTTATCATTATTTTGTATCTCGCGCAGAGAAATAGTGATTTTTTTTTTAACCCTTTCATCCAATGAAGCGAGTCACGTGCCTGCCTTAGAATGGTAGTGTTCGTGACAATGGTAATACCTCCAAACAAGAAAACGTTCATGAACACCAGCATTGTATCAAATACCTTCCATGACACATGACCCCCCTAGTAGCCAGATATCTATATCGACATTTTCTGAAAATCGGAGTACGATGAAGGTTTTCCACCTCTTTCATAGAACAGAAAGCGTATCTTCTTCAGGATAATTAGAATATCGCTACATACAGTGCACAACATATATGGCAGCATTCTTCCCAAGAAGGACGGGCGATGTTCCAAATGCAAAGGAAGACCCTTCCACTTATAGTTCTTGACATACAGAGGATACATAACTGTTAATATATGTAATTGAGCGGTTCTACAGATATCATAAACCAAAGGTCAACTGGTTTATAGCTGTATCCAGAACCCACGGGATTATATTATTGCACGCAAGGAAGGTCTACATTAGGGTTGGACAGTTCATAGCTGCTCTTTATATTTCACATTAATCCCAATTGGTTTTGGCATGCTCTATGGGCCACTAATATCGCTTACCCCTTTTTCAGTATTCTGTTGCTCTACGTTTTCATATTGTATCTACCATTAAAGTGTTAATAAAGTCTAACACAACTGACGCCACTTTATTTGATATTATAGTGTACAGTTTTCTAGACAGGTGTTGCGTTTGATTTGTTTGTTGAATTCACTCTGCTTTGAGGGGTGTTTTGTCACATAGCAGGTGCAAGCTACTGTGGACTAAAATAAACTAAAAGAAATCACTAAACCAGCCCAGGTAGGAATGTTTTTACATGGGAGGGTGAAATGTTGCCCAGAAATAATAAATTACGCCCTAAATTTTCTTTAATGTTTTACAAATTAAGTACAAAGTATAATCTTGGATTTTTTTAAATTTTTGTTGCATCAAACTGTTTCCAGATTTAGCACTCCCTGTTTTACACTTAACCCCAAAAGGCTCCTATAATAAATATCTTCATATGATGGTGGCAGATTAATTAACCTATCTGGGCACATTACCCTTTAAGTGAAGGGTTGCAGATTTGTACAAATAAATAAAAAGACCAGGTCCTTTATTCTGGTCCATGAGGTTGGAGTATCGATCAAGCGAGCAGTAAGAGCCATAATTTAGGATTTCAGTAATCTCTGTATTATAACTAGAGAATATTATCAAATATGTAATAATATTTTACTTGCTGCAACAGTTTAGTAATTCTTCAATTAGATTTACTTACGTGGTTTATACAATATGTCCTCAATGCAGATAACTTAAAATGTGTTATTTGACTAGATTATACACGTTGTAAATCCTCTGCATTTCTGTTTTTGTATATGTTATTTTATACTAGATTATAAATATTGGAATTCCTCTATATAGGCCTCTTTATATAACGACAAGTGTAAAAATAGTGCTGTTGTAATACAGCCACATTCTTAACAGTGTCATTACAGTGCCATCACAAGAGAATACTTTGAGTTACACTTTTATAAATAAAGATGCATACGGATGAGGCTTCCACTAAACCCTAGCATAGGCTACAAGGACTATCCACACTGGTTATGGGGAAAACCAGGATTCAAAATTCTGTTTACCGTTACCACCTATAATTCACTTGGATAATAATGATGGCAGTGAAATACCTAAATATCTCCTGTGTATAGGACTAGAGAACTTGGTTAGGGAGTACACAACAGTGTACCTCCTTACTCTAATATGTGGAATCAGGAGCCAATTACACTGTTCTCCTTATAATAAGGACATTAGCATTAATAAAGTTCAGTCGCCCAAAACGTTTGCAACTTATATTTTGTCCTTCCAATAAATATGGTAGCACCTGGGTGTGCACTTTAAATACGAGTTACGCATTACTCCATTTTTTTTGTTGCTATAATGAGAATAGGTGATAATGCACCTCATAACCTCATAATAATAGCTGCTGTTTTTTTTTTATCAAATACAATAGTATTATCACCCAACATTTTACAGTCAACATTATGACTTGCTGCTCTAATAGTGAATCTCCAAGATTTAGATAAGTGTGATACACACAGCGTTATACACTAAAGAGTGAATTGTCGGTTTTTTTTAAAACCATGGGCATTACATTTAAGAAAAGAATTTGTGAGACCCCTTCAAAATAACATTGTGCGTGCCCTCTTGGAACACACTCCCAGATATGTACACAGACACACATACACATACCTAGACATACTGTACATACACAGATACACGCTCTGTGTCACTCATGGACACACAAACGCAGGTAAACATTCCCAGCTACACATACTCATTCCTAAACAGAGACATTCATAGACACACACTCAATACACACTGCCTGACACACAACATTTCAGGAGTCTGCTATCATGGAATTAAAGATTAAATGCGATAATGTATGATTTCATAGAGTGGAATGGCATATGAGACTATAAATATAAGATTAGACATGTCTGTGGGATCTATGATTCAAAGTGAATCCAACGTAAAATGTAAAATTTTAACTCAGAATAAACCAAACTGAAAACATAACCGGTTTGTAGATTTATTTAAAACTTTAGATATAAATTAGCGTTGAACGCATTTTAAGAAATTAACACTTTAGGGTATAATCTTTGCAGATTTGAAATCATTGGGGTTTATTTACTAAAAAAAGAATTGTAGTGAATCTAAAAAGTGAATCAGAAATGTAGGCAAAATAACAGATTCAGAAAGATTATCCATTTCAACTATAGTCATAAATAGCCTATTTCAGACTGAATTTCCTAATTCGGTTTACACTTTACTAAAAGTTGGTGTGTAGTGAATAAACCTCTAAATTTGCTAAGGTAGTTCAGAGGTCACTGTTAATTGAATCTAGTGTTGTTAGTTTTAGTAGTTAATAAAATAGATAATGATAAAAATGAAAGTATTCAAACATACCCCAGTGCAACTGACATGATCATCACTGCTGTGGAATCTCTCCAAGGTGCAGGTTCCAGTATTTAGGAGAAGTGTCAGTATAACTGCATTCATTATATATTGTGCCATTGCTGTGTGTGGTGCTCACCGATTGTCAAGTATCTTAGTGTCCTGTCAACAAACCCAGCTTGCACTTGCTGCTTGATGAGATAAATCAGCGACTAACAGAGAAGGTATGAAACAGGTGTAACAAATGACAGGATGACACCAATAACAAAAAAAAAATAAAGTGAAAAAGAAGAATAGTTCTCAATGGGGATATGAAGCTATGGGAAGGATGTGAGTCCAGAAATATCAGACGCAGAGTGCTGGCTATGGAGATAACACGGTGTGACCAATGATGAGGTTGGTGATCTTCTGATAAAGAGAGGTTTTGTCCAGAAGATGAATCTAATCCTGGATGTTCGATGGCAGTTCCCTAACCTGCATCCCTCAGACTGGAGCCTCTCATGGTCATTGGAAAGGTCCTCTCACAGCCATGTAGGGAGGTTAAAGGTCTCGGAGTGATTGCAATGTCCTGGATCTGTGTGTCTGTGCTCTGTCTGTCTCACGATCACTGTCTCTGGGGTATCGCTGTCTGTGTGCCGCACGGCTGCTGACCTGTGCCAATGAGTTTGGAGACTGCTGGGCTCTGGGTTCACTCTGTGCTGCTATGTTGCTGCCAGGGAACAGAAACAACCGAGGACTCTGATCCTCCCTCCCCTTCCACACCCAGCAGTTGTCCTTCATACAGAAACCAACTCCTCAATATCCTGGAATCACACCCCCGCCTCCTACACTGGGCACATGTTTCAGTAGTCCTGTTTGAGAGGATGATTTCGCATTGAGTAATGAGAGAGTGCTCAGTATTCCACACAGTAACTCTCTGATCCAAGTTAAAGAGACCATTTCTTGCTAACAAACAACATATAATAATGTGCAGTGGGTTTGGGTCTATTATATAGCTTTACAGTAATGAGGCAATATATTGAGCATATATGAGTGTATCACAGAGCTCCACAGCAATAAAACTCACAGCAATGAGGCAATATATGGAGCATATATGAGTGTATCACAGAGCTCCACGGCACTAAAACTCACAGCAACGAGGCAATATATGGAGCATATATGAGTGTAACACAGAGCTCCACAGCAATAAAACTCACAGTAAGAGGCAATATATTGAGCATATATGAGTGTAACACAGAGCTCCGCGGCAATAAAACTCACAAAGCAACGAGGCAATATATGGAGCATATATGAGTGTAACACAGAGCTCCACAGCAATAAAACTCACAGTAAGAGGCAATATATGGAGCATATATGAGTGTAACACAGAGCTCCACATCAATAAAACTCACAGTAAGAGGCAATATATGGAGCAAATATGAGTGTATCACAGAGCTCCGCGGCAATAAAACTCACAAAGCAACTGTGATGGGATTCCAGCATGGTTAAAATTTAGTAGGCCAAAATCTCCATGTGGCATATGTGTATGTTGTGTCAGTTGGTTAGCTACATGTAGCTAGGATACTGTCATCAGTGTACTGAGCATGTGCAGGAATGCAGGAACTGAAATTGCACTTATTTCCTTTGTCTTGGATGAGCCATGTGGTTTGACTAGATGTACAAGTCTATAGTCTGCTCATTGATTGGTTAAAGGTATATGTGGGTGTAGCTATTAATGGGAGGAGTTATGTGCCTATATAGGGAGCCTGCACTATTGTTCAGGGCTCAGAACTTGCTGTATTTTTGGTGACATTAGTCCCTCTGAGTCCCGATCGGTGATCCAATAAAGAATCTCTTCCTTCCTGAAGAAACCTGTGTCCATCCCTCTGTGCTTTGCTTCCGTCAGTTTCTCCGGTATCATTTGGTGCATTGGCCGGGAAGCTCATCGTTCAACGGTAGCTGAGAGGCAGAGGCGTGAGACGGTCTATCTTTGCCCACGTTCTCTACGGCTGCACCCCTGAACTTCTGCGTGGACCTCCCTTCGTCTCGGCGCCACTGGTCTGTTGTCCAGGAGATCATCGGCCTCTACGTAAGAAGTGCTGGGGTGTCCCCGTCGATGAGTGTGAACTCAGGTTCAGGAACGAGGAGGTAAGACAACTGCTGTTTTAGACGGCAGACCCACTAGGGGTATACCGATTGTGCGGTAGGCCCAAAAGGGGTTTAAATCTGTGTATGGAATCTGCCCCCTCTGTCGGAGGGAAGGAGCGAAGGCGCACCGCTCGATCGAACGCTCTTTAGTAAGACCGTTTGATCTGGTTAGTCAGGCGGGGTCCTGTGTAAATAGCCCTAGCCGGACACCGGTGTCTTGTCTAGACTAGCGTTCTAGGGTGTATATTACGTTCGCTAGGTCGGAGGGACCGGGAGACTAAGCGGCGCCTGTGTAAATTCGGTTCGCTAGCTCTCAACCTATCTTGGCTAAGTGGGAAGGCGTGTAAATTTGGAACCCACTAGACTTTTGATAGAGTAAATAGACTAGAAGGGCAATTTCCGCCCTCTAGTTCGCTATATGTGGTGCTTGGGCAGTGTGGCTAACCAAAACGGGTGTATATAGTTTTAGGTAGTCTATTCAAGGTACTGGCCAATAGTTTAGTTGGGATTATTGTAAATGTTGTTAAATATATTGTAGTTGGTGAATTGGTTAACTTGTATGTCCTACTAGAAAGTTAGAGCTCTGCTGTCTAGTGGGAGTGTAAATTGTGTGTATAACTGTAAAATAGCGCACGGTACCATAACTACTGACATGTACCATAACCACTGACATTGTGTAAAAATTACTAACAATTGCTGTTTTATGTTATATGTATAATACCATAACTGTTACTAACTGATCTGTGACTTTAAAACTGTATTATAACCACTTACTAACTGTACCATAACCACTGACTGTAAAGATGAGGTTACTAGAATGTGATATAGTTGGTTAGTCAAAAGTTGATTTATAGTACAGATAATTGTAGAGATGAATTTGTTGAAATGTTATGTGATCGGTTAGTTTATATGGATTAATAGCGTGGATAGTTGTATGGTTTGAATAATAGTTACATTGATAAGTGTATAGTCTTTGGTGGTTTTTTGATTTAATTTTGTGTGTGCGACGTCGTGATATTGTTGAGCATGTGAGGATCCTGTGTGTGTGTTTGGGCCTAGTGACTGCGCAATGTGTTGCTGGTGATAAGGAGATTGGTGTGACTGTTGAAACTGTGTGTATATTTGTACAGCTTTTTGAATCAGATGCTCTGTTGAAATAATCTGATTCACTTGGCTGTTAGTCTTTTGTCTTGTATGTTTAAAAAAAAAAAAAAAAAAAGTAGGGAGTAGCTTGTCCTGGTGGCCGCATGGCCTCCATGTAGCAGTTTTCACTTAAATTTAGTGCAGGGTGTACATGTGGCTGTAACTAGTAGGCTGGAATTCTATGATCAGTTTCTATATATTGACTGTTGGAAACTGATTGTTGCCTTGGTGAATTAAACTGTGTCATATGGGAAACAATGTAGCCATATGGTGGTCAGAACTAAGGACTTAATTACAACTGCTTTGGACATCCCCTCCCCCCCTGGCATCTGATTACCAACCCCCCAAACATCCTCCAGAGCCAGAGTAGCCACGCCCATTTCTGGCTGGTATAATCAGTATTTGCACTCCCCCTGCTCTACTGTCCCCGCCTACCCACATACCTATCTGTTCCTGTGTTTCAAACTCTTGTATTTCTGTACTACCCCTCCCCCTAATCAATGATCAATGGTATCAAATGGTATATTGGTTTTTTTTAGTTACTGGATGGGCCCCTCCCAGCTTTGTCCAAAATGTCCCCTTTTACTAAACTACAAACTGAAATGTTTAATTTACCTTAGAACTAAAGATTTAATCAAGCCTAGCTAGCAGGGTGGACATTGATTAAAATAAGTAATAATAAAATAGGACATAATTAATTAAAGTCTATTTGTTTCATTTGACTTTAGGGAGGCACTCTAAGCCACCTACTGGCCATCTTCGGGAGTTACATTGATAATACATTGTTTATAACAGATAGATGTAGGATTGCTTACCCTATTTTAATATATTTATTGCTATAAGGTTTTATTTTATGTATAAATATATTAAAAGTTGAGTTTTCTTATTAGACCCATAAATATTATTTTGATACAATTACCCTCTGGTGACACCTACTGGTAGGTTTTTGGTTTAACACTTTAAAAAAAAAGTTTTTTCATCCACCAAATGCTGACTAATAAAATTATCTTACTACTCCTAGACTGGAACCTATTATTGGGCAGCCTTGCCGAAGTCCCATATTAGACACTGCTTGAGTCAAATAGGTTGTATACTCCCTTTAATCCAGAGGCCCCTGAAAACTTCCGAATGATAGACTCAGCATTTGTCAGCCAGGCCCAAGGTGATAGTAAAAGGAAATTAAAGAAAATTAGAGGGATTTGTAGGGATGTCCATAATACAGCTAATGGAGATTGCAAATACAGTATATATGAATAGGGAGATGGAGGAAGAACGTAAAATGAGGAAAAAGGCAGATATGCTAGCGGTAGCTATCTTAAGTGTAGAAAGACAGGGAAGTGAATAGAGGAGACGAGAATAGGCTGAGCAAGGGACTTTAAGTAGGAATTAATGTGCGTATTGTAGAAAGGAGGGACATTGGAAGAGTGAGTGTCCACAGAGAGAGCAGTATGAAGGTGATAGATAAGGAGAGAGAAGGGTACGAGGAGGTTATAGTGGTAGTTATAGAGTAAGAGGAAGTTTTAGAGGGAATGGTGGGAATAGTAGAGGAAGTGTTCAAGGAGACAGATACTATCCACCCACGCAGAGACCTAGAGAAAGAGAGGATAGAGATTTTGTGGGTCTGGCTGACACTATCATGGAAGACTATTGATACCGACTGGGCTCCATCCCACTTGGTCGAGCGTAGCCTATGGTCGATGTAGCAATAGGGGGAAAGAGAAGTTCTTTCATGATCGACACAGGTGCTGAACATTCTGTGGTGAAGCATTAGTTCCTATATATGCCAGAGTGTCCGATTCAACTTTTAGGACGAGATCTATTATCGAAGCTTTAAACTCAGATAACCTTTTACCTAATGGATTAACATCTCTGAAGTTTAAGGGATTACCAGGCATAATGGTGATATCGGTGCCAAGGGAAGAAGAATGACGCTTCTATTCCATAGTGACAAGTGTTAACCCTAAGAGTGATGAATCCTTACTTGACATTCCAGGAGTATGGGAAGAAAATAATCCTCCAGGACTTGCTCGTAATATCCCACCAATACATATTGAGTTAAAGCTCGGGGTGTATTCTGTTAGCCTTTGTATGTTGTTCTTTTATCTACCCCAACAGCTGTAAAGGTGGCGGAAGTGACTCCTTGGATTCATCATTCTAAGGTTAAACCAGCAGCAGACTCTTGGCAAACTACTCCAGATCCTGAGAATCCTTGCAGGACCCGGTTGAAGCGTGCAACTCAGTCGGAGTGACGAGGGGATATCGAGACATTCTAATTAAAAGTCTACAAAGATCATCAAGTAGGTGTTTTGACGGCCATAATAAAGCCTGACCACCTGCCTACGTGTCATAGCCAGAGTATCTTGAAGGGATCTCTGTGAAGGAAAGTGAGGATCAGAAGAACAACATCCTTGCAGCCCTCACAATCGGGAAGCTGAGAGGCCATCGCACGGTCGAAGAAAAATGAGGATTTTAGGAATAATGTGTTTTA